GGGCCGCTAGCTGGAATGCCTGTAACTGTCACTGATTGGAAAAAATGTTTATATGTTTTTTAATGACAAAACTGGAAAATTGCATTTTACCAGCATTTCAGAACTTAGAGAATGTTTCCCCCCCACCTAGGATGAAGCTATTCGGCAATCAACAGTTAGAATGCCTCCAAGGGTATATTTTTTCAAGGGTATATATATATTTATCTGTTTTAGATATGTACAGTGTATATACACATATCGACGGACTGAAACTTAGAATGCCACACTCCTTCTTAAATTAGTTCTACAGACAGTTAGAATGCTCCATGATGCTCCATCCGTCATTTCAGTATATCTTTATCTATCTAAATCTAAACATTTTGGGTCAGCATTCTAACTGTCTGTTCGCCGTCCGAGGCTGTGCGGCATTCTAAGTTCACAAAAAAAAGATATTTGGAAAGATGGAGCGGCATTCTAACTTTCAGTCCGTCAATATAATGTCTATGTAGTTCCCTTTGGTGCTTTGAAAGTAGTTTATCTTCAACCTTCATATTTTCAGGTGCTAATGGGTAATCCGCTTGTTCGTCCTGTATCTCCTTTGGATAATTATTCTAAATCAACTTCCAGTATGTAGGCGTTGTCATCGTTTTCATTCCAGTCCATTATCATCTTTTCTGTCAGTATCTTCTTTATCCACTTCAGTTTTCCTGTGGGTAGTTTCATTGACATTGCCAGTCCATAAAGGTTATTAGCATCTAAATAGTTGATGTAGTTGGATGGTCTTTCCGTATCATAATCTTCACCCTTATACTTATTGTTCGCTTTTGCTTCCTCATGACTGACTTGACACATTCCACCTCTCAAACCCTTCTCAATCATCTCATACATCTCTTGGTCAGTTAAAGGGTCTATTTCAACACCAGTTTTTAGAAGCATAGCATCCCAAGCAAAGTTAGGAAGGGTAAAATAATGTGCGGGGTCTAAACCGTAGTATTCCAAACAAAGGTCTCTAAAATTTTCAAAGACATCAGTGAGTAGTAAAACATCAGTTCTCAAATACAAGTCGTGGTATTGACCAATATTTTTCAAACCAAAGTGTTTCCATATCCTTTGTGCCCTTTCATACTCATCATCTTCAATATGACTTTCGGTAAGATTACTGTAAAAACTTTCTTTCGGTGGCAGTTGTTTTTCCCTAAATTTATCAAATGAAGTAAAGTAATCATAAGGATAAACACCTTTATCAGTCAGTAAATCTAAATCCTCATCATTACTCACATAAGGGTTTCTTTTGCTAAATCTGAAGTTGTTTTGCCAGTTTTGTTTCTTCTCTCCGTCTTCATACTTACTCAACTTCACCAACTTATCCAATGAAGATGATAAAAACGAAAAACTGTCTTTGAAACAAAGATTTTTAAATGCGAATGTTATGAACTTCTCACTATTCTGTGCTATTACATCTATCTTACCCCTTTCTGACAGTTCATTTGCCCTCTCAATGATTAAATGACTATCGTAGTTTTTGAGATTATGAAGGAAAACTGGAATTTTATAATAACGCATAGCAAACTGTAAATTACAATCATCGTGAGCACACCCCCTATATCTCCCTGTAAAGTGGCAATGGTCTCTAACCTTTCTGGCCCCTTGTTGGAAGTCTTTACCACAAATAAAACACTTCGTGGCGGTATTAAAGTCCCTCCTGTTGTTGGCATTAAAGATGATTTCCTTGTTTTCATTCATCTTCTCCACAACTTCATCTTTAACTTCAATAATCCTTTGAATGAACACATCCATACAATCCTCCCCTCTGTAAAGGAAAGGCTTTGATGAACCATCAATTGAATTGACAACATTTATCATAAAACCGCAGGGTCGGTGATGTTGGTATTTATCAGTCTTAACTTCTTTAGTTGAAACTGTCCCTGTTCTTGTGGTTAAACATTCAAAGTCAGCATAGATGACAAAAGGTGCTTTCAACTTTTTGTAGTGATTTTTGAAAACCATAACGTCCTCTTCATTAGGCATCTGTATCTGTTGCCCTTCAACTGCCATACATCCCTTTCAACGTGTTCATCAAGAAGTTCTTTTGTTAAAAAAAACGTGTTGGCAGTGAAAACAGTGATGTTTCTTTGCTTTCATTTTGTTGGTTTGACTTCCTATTATTTTATCATAATCTTTGATGAATACATAATGGTAGTCATCCCCATCCTCCAGTTTTAGAAGACTGACTTGATGAGTTGCTTTTGATACTTTAGACTGCCTGTAAAGTAGGATGGACTGTTTCCCTTCTTCGGGGTCAAGAAAATAAACATTGACTGCTATTTTTCCTCCGTTGTTTTCTTCAAATGTATCTATATCAACATCTGACGAAGGAAAATTCACATTATCCCAGTTCAGTTCATCATTGAGGTTTTTGTAGTGAGACACCCTTTCGGGGTGGTCTTTTTCATAATCCTTACATATACCACATTGAACGGAATACCTGAAACACTTTTCATCTTGATTTTTGATGTTGATACAGGCTTTTTTGTTTGAAACCCATTTAGGTAATGGAATGAACTTACCCCCACGAGTTGGATTGTATTTGTCACAGTTGAATTTTAGTTTATCAATCTGGGTTATGACTACAGTAATCCACTCTCCGACACTTCCATAACCTCCGCTTGGTGCTCTACATCACTTGCCATCTGATTAAGAACATTGGGTATTTCACCCTCGTTGGTGATGTTGTATCTTCTACTCTTGATGACTTGTCTTACATCTTCATTAGTCTTTTTGCTCCTCAAAGTGGCGAAGACCTGTAGCATAACCTTCATTCCATTGTGTTTCCTCAAATACTCTTTTAACCTCAAATCTTGGTATTTGAGATACTGTAGTGCCTTTATGCCTCTAACCCTGATGTTAGTGATGGCATACGAATTGGCATACCCTTTGAAAGCAGATTGTTCGTTGGTGGTGGTTGCTTTGTATCTCATTTGAATGCCAGTGAGTGCTTTGTTCTTGTCCAAATTGACCCATCTAATGCCTCTCTTCTCTTTCAGTTCATACTTTTTGTAGTCCATAGTCTGCCTAATCTTGTTGAATTTGGTAATCAACCTTTTTGAAATGGGGTTCCCCCTTTCAAAGTTGTAGGTCTTGTCTCCAATCTTGAGTTTCTTGAGTTCTTCTCCATTCCGTTTCAATATCTCACCCTTTTCGGATGACAAAAGATAATCTAGAACAATCTGCTGTGAAGTGTCCATTGTAGTATAATCTATATTATTATAATCTTCTGTTTCTTTAAGTAGTTTTTCAGTGTGAATTGTTTGTTGAGGATGTTGCGGATGATTGGATTGTTGGTGGATTAAGTTTTGAGATAAATTTTCATTTTTTAACCTTATACCCTCTCCCATATTCTCCTTAATATATAAAACATCCTTTCTTTAAGTAGTTTTTGGGCTCTCGTTCAGTTTTTAGGTCATTGGGTTCTGGGTTGAAGTCCAACGTGAGGACACCGTCGTTTGACTTGATAAATTGTTTTAAAGAAATGGCAACTTATTGTAAATATAGGTATGAATAGGTATGAAAACGGAAAGATTTACAAAATTACAGATGTTGGATATAATAAATGCTATATTGGGAGCACCTGTGAAAGTTTGAGTAAAAGAATGGAAAGACATAGAAAACAATATAAGGAATACATCAAAGGGAGGATGAAAAAGAAGACAACCGCAATAGATATATTCAATGAATTCGGTATTGAGAATTGTAAGATTGAACTGATTGAGAACTACCCGTGTCAAAGTAAGGAAGAATTGTTCAAAAGAGAAGGGGAACATATCAAAGCAACAGAATGTGTCAATAGACAGATTGCCGGTAGGACGCAACAGGAGTGGAAACTGGACAATCCAGAGCAAGCGAGAGAATACTATGAAAGAGGCAAGGCACGTGCCAGAGCATACTATCACAAACATAAAGAGGAAATAATAAAAAAACGCCGTTTGAATGAAGAGAAAATAATAGAACAACGCCTTTTGAAGGTTGAATGTCCGTTTTGTAAGCGTGAATTTTTTCAATACTATGCTCTATGGCATCAAAAGAACAACTGTGTCAAACAAACGGGAATGGACAATGAATAGATAAAACATTCTGATTGACAAAACGTTGTTAATGAGAAGGTTTTATTTTTAGTGTCGTCTACTGTTCATACATCTGTTGGTTTGACGGTGTTTTGATAGATTGGATTTGCTTGCGATGGTTAGTCCGCAGTCTGGACAGGTGAAAGGGGTTGATAAGTTCTTTTACTTTGAAAAATAATTGGGGTCTAATGGTTTCTTGTCGTAAGTTCCGTCGGGCTTCCATTTTGTGGATGTTGTGGTTGGTGGATTTTGAGGGTTGCTGGATTGGTGTAGTGCTTCCGCCATTTGGTCAAAAAGGTCTTCGTCCATTTCTTGCTTGATTCCATCTATAAACATATAGCAGGGCATATTCAATTCTTAATTTCGTAAGGCGTCATTTCTTTAAGTGTTTTTGGGTCTGTTGCTCTAAAAATTGTGTTTTTAACAAGTGTCCTAAATTGATGTTTTTTGGACGCTAAAACAATGGTTTTAGGACACTTGTTGAAGTAAGGATTTTTTGTCTTCAAAGGTTCAGGGTGAAACGATTTGTCCGTGTTTGATGGCTTGGCTATAAAAGTTGAGGGTGAAACGACTAGTCCGTGTTTGATGCTTTTGTCAAAAGTTGAGGGTGACACGATTTGACCGTGTTTGATGGTTTGGCTAAAAAGGTCCAGGGTGAAACGAGTTGTCTGTTGTTGCTTGTTCGGTTCTGGGTATCGTTGATACTTGGATACTGGTATCACGGTATCCTTGATACTTGGTTCTGGGCATCGTTGATACTTGGATACTGGTATCAGGGTATCATTGATGCTTGGTTCTGGGTATCGTTGATACTTGGATATTGGTATCTGGGTATCATTGATACTAGGGTTGGGTATCTGCGGTTACGAATGCAATATGTGAAAATTACTCTTGGATGACTCACCCACAAAACATCTCAAGCGCCACATTTTTTTTCACCGGCGAAGCCCACATGTATCCTGCATCCCTTAACTTCTGCTCATCCTCTTGAAAGAGCTTGGCGACGAAATGCCAATGCTTCAAAGCCACAGTTTCACTGGTTGTACTCCTCAGGACGCAGTCTGCTGGCTCCTCACGAAGAAGCTTCAACGCCATTTTGGTGTCTTCGTCGCTCTCTGGGAGATACCCCATGGGTCCTGCCCCTGCCACCTTGAGGAGATAGTCCTTCACTTCCTGGTCATCCAATTTCCTTTGGATTGGTTCCACCCTCCGCTTGTACCACTGCTCCACCAGATTGATGACCGCATCCGCACCTTTCTGACCTTCTTTGGAGACGTTTCGCAGTATCTCGCCCAAGGCGCGGAAGTTGCCCCCTGTGCGGATGTAGTAGGGCTTCAACACCTCCTCTATCTTGTCGTCGGCAAGAACCTTGTTCAGCGTCCGGAAGTCGTTTCCCTGCTTTGCCACCTCCTTGACCACAGACGTGAAGTCTTCGAAAGGTAGTGGTCGCACCACCACCAAATCTGACATGTTAAACCTTTCTTTGATGATGTCTGCCACTGCAGACACGTTGACCTCCAAAATGAACTTGCACGCGGCATTGTCGTAGGTGACGTTGCGAGCGAAGGCACCGAGGGTGGAAGCAATGTCATCACAGGCATCCCTGCTAAATTTGTCTCCGCGGCTTTTGGTTGTGAGTTGCAGGTATACCACGACGGCACTGCCTGTTCGGCGCTTGGACGTCTCATTCACCCGTTCCAGCAAAAATTCGACATTTGACGGGTAATATCGGGGCAAATCTACGGCTTGTAACGCTGGGGGTAGCGCCTCGTTCAGCTTCAAGTCCTCACCAGGACGAACAGAAATATCAAGAGGAAGCACCCTTTTGCCATTCTTCACATGCTCACACAATGTGTGAGCATGTGAAGAATGGCAAAAATGTGTGAGCATGTGAAGAATGGCAAAAGGGTGCTTCCTCTGAGATTGTTCAGCATGGTTGATTTCCCAATGCCTTGGGAACCACTGAACACCAAGAAGGAAGGGGTGCTCAAAGCTTCACGTTGAGGTGAATTGATGAAGTCCTTGATGTATTCCTCCTCGACCGGCCGTGCAGGGGCGGGCTCTGTCCTTTTCAGCCTTTGCCCAGCCTTCCTCACTTCCCTGTTCATGAAGAAGCCAGGAAGGAACCTTTGAATGAGAGCTTGGAGAACCAGCACTATGACGCTCCCTGTGCTCAACAAAGTCCAACCAGTTTTAACGGTCTGCGCCGGAAAAGCCCTTGCGGGCTGTGTTCGTGCATGACCGCTTGGAAGGACGAACCGGCCTGGCGCAAGCTCAACCTGCCTCACAAAGATGCATCTGCGGAATGTCGAAGAAAAGGGACAATACATCGGTTCAGTCAATTTGTGCCAAACTGGCTTTGGTATTGAAGGATGCTTGATATGCAATACGAAACAGGAACCACAGCGCCTAACCTCAATCAATACATGAATTTGAAGCAAATAATTCGACATCTTTGAACAACAGCTTGGTAGAATTTGAACCTGAACCTACACATAGAAACTCTGACCACCTCAACAATTATCCCCTTCATTCAATCCAAACATTATCACAACAACCTCAACAACACATTTAGCAAGATAATCAAAAAGAAACAGTCAAACATTTCAAACTATAACGTGAAGAAAAAACAAAGCAACATCCCACCTGACCTTTAACCTGTCTAGTCCTAGCATCCCTGTTTTACCATATTTTTTCCCATATTTAATGCGAAAATCGATGGTTTCCGGTTAAGATTTTCCCTCAAACCAATCCATTGTCACCACTTCCTAAGGTGCTATGAACCCCCAACCCCCAACCACTCCCCAGACCCCCCAGCACCTTCACCTCTAGCGGCGCCTCGGCCGGTCGCCGCACTGGCGGCCGGCGTGGCGGCTTCTTGGCGCGGATCATGTTCATGGCCTCCGATGATGGGTGGAAGGCATTGGAAGACATTGGAAGACTGGATGATGAGTGCTCTCCTCCGGTCCGATGGGCTGATGTGTTTCCTGAGATTTCGGAAGGTTTGCGGCTGAGAGTTACGAGTACTGGGTGGTGTGAAAGATGATAGATCAGTTCATGTCCGACGTCTGAGCATCCGGAGTTTGGAGATAGAATCTCTGTCTCTGGCCACCTCAACTTAGCGACGTTTGGAACAGGTTACGATTGAACAGCCGAAAGCATAGTAGGAGAAGTAAGGGGCATCTGGCAATAAACAATCAACCAGTCAAATCATAATTTGGCTAGGAATAAACAAATTGAAGTAAATTGACAGTATAATTTTTGGGATAATTTCCAATAATTTCAAATGAATTATATAATCACTGGAATAAACAAACTGCCACAGTCACCTTGAACTGGTTTGATTTTTCGTATACTGTATAGCAACCCTTCAGGACAACGTTGGCCCTCTCGGACACCTCCATGGAGAACAACTCCAAGTAGGTCTCCTAGTGATTCACATCGAAGCCAATCTGCCACGCAAATCTTGGAATTTATCATGTAATCTGGTTGTTGGTTTCAACCCCTCTGAAAAATATTAGTCAGTTGGGATGATTATTCTCATATATATGGAAAAAAATGTTCCAAACCACCAACCAGGTAATTTGGAAGCCTTGGTGCATGCTAACGAGTGTGCACGTTGATGTGCAAAGTCTCTCTGAAACACTTCACTATGAATAGATTGATGACAATCTCCCAATATTAATATAGGATAGGTAAATCTAACTGTTCACCATGGTACATCATATCAAACTACTCCTTCCAAGCACATCCTGTGTTCCGCTGCGCGGGGAATCGGGCTCCTCATTGAGTCTCAGGCGCCAAAGGAGTCTTAAGCACTTGGTCAGAAGTTCAGGTGAAATGCCTCTGACCTGCTGGCCGAGTGGTGTTGGTGGAATGGGGAGCTCCCTGTGAGCTTTTTACCCTGATCATTCGCCAATAATCCCCTAGATAATCTGATGGCAAAAAGGAGCCTTCAAAAAGATTGTGGATCAAAACGGCCACCAAACAAAATCGATAGGACATCTTTCCCTTTGCTATGCTTCATGATAAAATCGTGAATTTACCAGGCTACCAGGGGCGTTTTACTTTTTTTTTCACTCCCCAGAGTCGTCAACCCCTGATCAGGTCCAGCGGCCTGGACCGGAATCTCACCCAAGACGTTGAGATACAAGTCGTAATCCTCGTAGCCCGTGGCGGAAAAGAGGTTCAAGGCACGCACGAGTTTCTCCTGGGACTGTGAGGCTGTCTGGATCCTGCCATGGAAACGAGGTCAGAAACCTGTCTGAAGCTGAGAAAATTCTGATAAATAGTCCGACGATTATCGGAATTGAATGGATGCTAGGATGTACTCCTACCCATTTTGGGTGACGTGTGTCACGTGTTGACCCTTCCACACGTGTTTGGCAACCGCTGGAAGGTCCAATGAAATTGATGCCACCGGGAGTTCAAACAAGACCTAAATATATTGTTTGCAAGCGAATGTTCATCATTACTCTGTCTCGTTGCTGCATTCAATCCAACCAAGAACTCCCCTTTTATCACAATCCGTACTCCTGACGCCAAGAGTTCCAAGAGTCATCAATCCCATCACCATTTCACAACATGTGCCAGAGGTATAATCAGCCCCCAAACATATTGGCTAAAGTCCTATCATCTCCCATCAAAGATTACACCCCAACAGTCTGATTCTACCCCAACAGTCAATGCATAGAACACATTGAAATACACCTGAAAAAAGTGTATTAAAAATAATGGATATCTTTGTTCTACCGAACCACATCCCCGGTTTGTTCTACCAGGCGTTTCTTCCCACCTGGCCAAACCAACGTCCAAGGGGCTAAGTTCATGTTGGGCAGCATGGGTTTTGCTCTTTGGGCCAGGTCCTGATGCTGATGGCGATGATGAATTACTAAGACTTACATGGGGATTTTACCAACAAAAGTGGTACTATAATGTATATCTAATGTGTATATAGTGTGTATATAATTTGTACATAATGTGTATATAATGGGGATGGGGATGGGGATGGGGATGGGGATGGGGATGATGATGATGATGATGATGATGATGATGATCTCATTGTTGCTGGCCCTCCCTTAACCCGACCTATACCGTCGTTGCTTTTTCACATCACCACTGCCATTGGACATCCCAGTCATCCCAATGATCCCAGTCTCCCATGGCTCCTTCATTTCGGCCGCTGGCAACTTTTCCCCGGCCTTGCTGCGGCTCTTGGCCGATTCCAACTTGCTGAAGAGCTCCGCCTCGCTGCGGCAAAAAAAAAAAGGCGACTCGATGGATCAGAATTTGGCCAGTCCATGAGTACTCCAACAAGTGATCATATTCTCTTGGAAGTGTATTGAAACACACATGTACTTCTTTGTATATATGTTGTATGTACATATAACATCTATGATATATATATATATACACACGTATTTATTATGTATATATATATATACGTATTTATTTGTTATATATATATATGTGTATTTATACATATGTATTATAAATATACCAGTTCAATGTCCGATCGTCGTTTTGTTGGCACTTTGAACACTGCAGCTGCCCTGCGAACCTCTGAGGCGCCTTCCGCCTTGGAGGCTTTGCCTGTCTTGGCCATGACCTCGCGTGGTTTTTTCAGGGGGAAACCATGGAAGACCTTGGCATTTTCGGCATGAAGCACGGAGAAGCTATCGGAAAACAATGGAAAAACTCTGGTTCCTTCATGTTCCTTCAAGCTTTAACTATCAAAGATGGATAAAACTGGGGAACTTTCGGTAACTTGACCCTTCAAATTGAGTCGATTTGATGTTAATCAATCCACCTGTGTTGGTTGAGGGTTAGGAGAGACACACATCAGGTGATCTTTTCTCAGCTTCACTGAAAACTCAACGGGACGGCTACCGTGGTCTATGGGGCTACCGTGGTCTACCCTGAAGCCACTGCTTCGTGATCTTCCCCATGGCGCATCCCCGTGATTTTTTGGCGCAAAAGGACATCTATCATCTATCCATGGCTGACATGTGAGACAACAAAAAAGAGTGATTGAAATATGTCAGGCAGATTTTAGAAGATTGCCTCACGTTTCAATAGTTGACTCATAGATACCCTGTGGTAATTTAATATAGCTATGGAAAATCACCATTTTTAATGGGTAAATCCAATATAAATGGCAATTTTCAATAGCTATGTTAGTTTACCAGAGGGTAGTTTTTTGTTTGCTGCGCATTCTTCATGGTCAAACCACCGAGAGAAGCCACCAATGTCCTCACCTCTTGCAGGGAGACGTCATCATGTCGGAGTCTCAGGCCTGGCACTGGCGAATACGATGTTCTAAATTGGTGATGGCCATCCATGTTTATCCATTAATATGGGTTAACATGGGTTAACATGGCTTGATATGAGTTAATCTGGGTTAATATGGGTTAAAATGTACCCATGCATACTCAGCATAGCTCTGGATGAAAGTAAAAGATTGCGAAATCCAGGCGATGAAAAGTCTTTCTCAGCAGCTCGTGGGATGCTGCTTTTCACCTTTCTGGCATTGTTCATGGCATCATCCACGTTAACATTGGATGAATAAACCCCCATTGGATTGACATAGATTTAAAAGCGGGATTATGTGGGTTTATATGGATTCTTTGGTTATGGCTGGATAGTTCCTCACTAAATTGTAGCCTCCGATAATCATGACAATCTAATTTGCCCATCTACAGTAGTTGGATGGTTTACCTCTCCACAATGGTGATTTTCCATGGCCATGTCAAATTACCAAAGGCCACAATATGCTCTGGTAATTTGCTACATAGCTATTGAAAATGGCCATAGAAATAGTAGATTTTCCCATTGGAAATGGTGATTTTCCATAGTTGTGTTAGTTTACCAGAGGGTAATCTCAGCCTATGTTCATTCGATTCACTGGATTGGTTCAAGGGAAACATCTACAGTGTCTACCATGCGAAATCCCCAAGGTATCGGGGCTGAAACAGGTTCGATTTTCTCACCAATCCATATCATCCTGAGCTGCTCAGTAAAAATATCCCCGTGATAAATTCCGTGAATCCCAATCCGAAAATTCCAAAAAAAATCCCAATCCGAAAAGTTGGTGTTTCACAGCCACATCTTCCAGAGTTCCAGCTCCAGCTCCGACCTTCTTTGACCTGCTCAGAGCAGGTGACATCATCTTCCAACCACGAATCGATGGCTCGAATCTGATCACCTTGGAGATTCGCGGTTAAAACTGGTGACTCGTATGGTGTTTTATCATGATTCATTAGGAATTTCGCTATCATATATTACGTAATATCAATGTGAATGTGTGTAATTAATTGTAATTATATGATATTATATGATATTATATGTATATACATACAGTATACACTAACACGCATTGATATTTTTGGGCAAACACAATCTAGGTGGTGGTTGAGTCACTGTGGTCCCAAAACTTGTGGCTCAATCGTGCCCAAACTTATGCGATGGAACATGACAAATAAATCTGAAACCAACAACCAGGCCTTCCTCCATACTTTTCAATTATTTCATAGTTGGACACCATCCCAATGCTCCCACAAACTGCTGGTTACAGACCCCTTGTACCTCATGGCCCGTTCTACCCTGCTTTTACTTCCACAATTCCTGAGGGTCGTACCTTCAACATGACGGAGTACAACAAATTTCGGCGCGCCCATCCGTTTCACGACAAAAAAAACGAGAATTCTCCAAATCTTGGGACAGACCCACACATATGCTGCCAAATATCCCTAAACAATGGCTGAATCTCCCCATCTCTACTGGTGATAAGCAGGGAAAACGGTTCTCGTCAAGCAACGCAGCTTGGAGCGGTCAGGAATGCTGAACTCCGTCTCAGAGACCAATCTCCTAGGACAGAAACTTTCAATGGATTGGTTGATGAGGATTTGTTTAGGGACCATCTTGTTTTTCTCCCTAAAGATTGTAGTTTTCTGTAGTGGATTTCGCCGATATATATATATATATATATATGGGGGTTGTCCAAAATACCTTTTCCCGGACAGCCCTCAATCGCTCAGCCAATCGCGTAGCAATCGCGGTACCACAGTGAGCAATCGCGGAAGGGTTTGTTCTTCGTTGATCAGATCATATACATAAAATATAAGTTATGTATTATATAATGAAGATCCATGCGTGAACGCATTCGATTTCAAATTTGGGAACAAAATAAGCTCGCGCGGTCCGGAAACGGTCCGGAAAACTCACAGTAGTACCAGCAGCAGTAGTACTAGTAGTACTAGTAGTACTAGTAGTACTAGTCGTAGTAGTAGTAGTAGTAGTAGTAGTAGTAGTAGTAGCAGTAGTCGTAGTAGTCGTAGTAGTCGTAGTAGTCGTAGTAGTCGTAGTAGTAGTAGTAGTAGTACTAGTAGTAGTACTAGCAGTACTAGTAGTAAAAGTAGTAGTAGTAGTAGTAGTACTAGTAGTAGTAGTAGTAGTAGTAGTAGTAGTAATAGGGTGGTAGCCGTATAACCAATCGCCAACCAATCGCTCAGCCTATCGCGATGCAGGTTTTAGCAATCGCGCAAAGCAAAGTAAACGCATCAATTCATAAATTTGTGACCTGCTTTTACGGACGGCTCCCATATATAATATGTATACCTTGATGAACATTTCTGGGAGTCACTGGCTTCACCGTGGGAAGCTGCTCCTTTGGATGCTTTGTCAGGCAACAATCCACTAGCAATGGGATTTTACCCACATCATTTTCCATCTTGAGGGCCTATGACCAGTTGATCCGACTCATTCTTGGTTGTGTCCCCTTCAATTCTATTGCTGTTACTCACCATTAGCCATTAAATTATATATATATACCGATATACCACATATGATGTTGGAGACATTGCCTCCCCGGCTCCTGTCTCTGCGGCTCTCTATCCTTGGAAAAAAGGACTATGCTTCGCTGGATCTGCGAATGGCTCGAATGACATAGTGAACCCTCCAGATGGTCCCCCAGTTAACAAATAGATCCAATATGATCCAATACATTCCAAAGTGGGGTTTCCAGGGGAGTATGCAATATTCTTAATAATAGGGGGATGGGATTAGTTAAATACCAAAAACATCCAAAAACGACGAGATAATTCTGTGGCTCCTGCGGTAGCTTCATTTTGAGCCGTACCAATGCAAGACTTGCCAAAGATATCTGCCAAACATGTTTGCCAAAGATATTTGCCAAAAATATTCGCAACATATTTCACAGTTGCAGTCTAAGTCATCATGGAGACAACGTATGTACATGTTATTCCAAAAATATTGTAAATATAATGTTCACATTGAGTCTGTACCACATGCAACGCCAAAACACATCAAATTTGTATATCCTATCTTATAACACACAAAAGATCATGCACTAAACATGGTCAAAAATCGCCAAATAAAAACAACACATCCCAACATAGTAGGTCTATATGCCCATATCCTCCATATTTGTCTGAAAACAAAGCACCCCCTAATATCCAATTCCCATGGTTGATAATCATGTGTCCCATTTAAAATTAGCCATACTGGGTTCTACATGTTCTACACCTTTTTTTGAAAATCTCCCAATTACATCCCCATTGTATCAAATTGTCGTATCCCAAGACATCCCTAAAGGAGACATCCCTTTATGATATCTCCCCGAAACATCCCATGAAATGGTTGGTTATAAATAAAATGCTCCGTGGCCCGTTGTATATCCACAACATCGGTGGTTATGGTTATAAGTTATAATTTATAATATTATAACACTCCCCGTTGGGCGTTCAACTTAGGGTGCAGCCCCAGGCTTTCAGCCCAAAACCAAAATCAAAAAACCTGGAGGGCTAAGGTATAAGCAAAAAATAATAACACGATGAAAAGCTGTCCTGACACCTATTTCCGAAAATGAAAAATCAAGGTACAAAAGATGAAACCCAGTGTCTCTAGGGTATGTTGAAAATCAAAAACATTGCACAAGAGATGAAAACAGCAGTGCTCAGCGTGTGATTAAAACGACTTAAACTATAAAACAAGCACTTGCGCGGGAAATGTTCAATCACAACCTTTTCTTCCCACCCAGTTTCCGCTCCCACATCGTATCAATGCCTTGTTGGCATCGCAAATGCCAAAGCTTTCAACGTTGGCATATCAAAAATAATGAGGTAACAGCTCTCCATGTTACACCACGCATTTGTACCAACCCATCCTTAACCAAAGCCCCAAAGGCACACCACTAAACTTCACATCCTTAGGCCTTAGACTTTCATCTCACACATCCCTCTTTTGAACTTTGCCGGAGCAGCTCGCCATGTTACACCACGCATGTGTGCCAACCCATCCTGTACCGACGTCCCAAGATACACCACAAACGACTCATGACTGAATTCTGCAAACCCATCCTCATCCAACCTCCCAAGATACACCTCTCAAAATTTCTATGTTCACCTTATAGGCGGCAAAAATGTCGAGCCTTGCAAGAAAACACTGTCCAATAAAAACCTGGTTGCGACACTCACTGAAAAAGTGGTTCTCAGTAAGCTTCGGTGGCTTAAACTACCTGCGCCCAACCTGTTGCAAAAATGTTCTCAAGAGGTGTTCCCTGGGCTAAAATCCTTTGGCTGCATGGCTTATTTTTAATCAAAATTCTAAAGTATGTAAAAAGGGACCAAAAGCTAAAAAACTTTGGCCTAACATTATTGAAGCTAAATTTGGCTGAAATCTGGCTAAAAAATCTAGCTCCAGCCACCTAGTTTCAGCCAGGAGCCCCAAACGGGGATTATAATATGATTGCATATTATTGCATCCCATTTATCATCATTTCCCCATTAAACCCCATGATTGATAGGGGTCCTGAACACCTTCCCATCCTTCCCCACCCCAGAGGGCCCCAAAAGCGTCCCGCCAAGGCTCGAAGCCTTCACTGTGGACGGGGTGATTTTGGCCTCCTCGCCAGTGATGCTGTTCATGATGCTATCCTTGGCCACTAGATTCCACATGATGCTATCACTGGAGTCCTCAGAGGCTACAGTGTATGATTGGAGCGACTGTCAACGAAATGCCGGTTGAATCGTGAAGAAAATCATATGTCATTATATTCCCTTGCCTGCCACCAAAAAAAAATGTGTTATTCAATTCTACATGTCCAACAAAAAGAGAGAACCTGCACCGGCGCCCAAACCTTTTCTGTGCTAAGCAGCAATGTCGGCGGCTGAAAACAACTCGCCCGATTTCGGCACCACTGTGACCTAGGCCATGTGGGCTCCATAAGGTGAGGCAATTCTGTGCTCGTTTCTGTGACGGGAGAATTCTCTGGTTTATTTCACTCGGTGAATTCTGTGATGCACTATGGCGGAATCAACATGTCCTCCCCCATCCTCCCCATGTTCAGGTCTATCGTCTATCTCATCTAGGGGCTCCTTCAGCCAACGTTCCCCCATTTCGATCCATGCAAAATCCTTGGGGCTGGACCATAAACATCATAAACATCAACATTTTAGAAGTCTTCGTGGAAGTGATCGATGGCAGAACAGACGGTCAAAGAACTTATAATTTTGGGGTGCCATGTGGTCAAGCCAACAAAAAAGCATCTTTGCTCTGCATACATACAATAATTATACCACGATCAATTCAAGATACTTCAATCCGCTTGAAGTATCTAAGTCCTTAAACCGACCTTATGATGTGGATTTTGCCACCCTTGTGTATAATGTCAACCCTGGATTAATAAACCCCAAACGGCTGTTTAATTGGGGGGGATACCAATTGTGACAATTTGGAGGGTACCCCAACAATTAATAAACCATGGTTTTAATTCATCCGGAGTTGACATTATACCATTAGTATACCATTAATAAACGCCCGTCGTTTTACGCCCAGCCACACTGGGCTGTTCCACCACCGGCTCCCGCAGCTCTGCCGGTGGCTCCGCCACCGGCGGAATCGGCTCCGGTGTTTCTTGCGCAGCCGGTGGCGGAGCAACTGGCGCGGCACCACCTGAAGGTTGGAATATATAGTTGATAGATGTTGATAGTTCATACTTATAGAATCTATATGAATCTTATAGTTCTACAGAATAGTTGATAGTTTTTTCGCTGATAGAATCTATCCGGGATAGTCTATCAAGTACAATTACAATAAGTAGTCATTAACATCATTAACTATCATTAACTACAATCATGTATAATATCATAAATGATATTCGCATGCGAATTGTCTTCTTTTTGTGTTCATTTGCCGACCCCGAGATCTTCGCCTGCGTCCAGCGTCTCCGGCCCCGTCTCCCCCGTCTCCCCCGTCTCCGCCGTCTCCGGAGCCGTTTCAGAAACGGTCGAAACGGTGGCAGGTTGCACCTTGAAGGCCGTACGGGGGAGGTTCCCAACCATCAAGATGTAAAGGACATATGTTGAAAATTCTTGAAATAAGCATGAACACGTTAAAGATATGTGTTCAGTCCCTGCTCTGAGTCACTGTCAGTTGTGAAAAAAATCGACTCAAATGATCTACATGATCTACTAAAATACTTTCAGTTCTACAGTTCTACAATTTTCACACATCTTCGCGCTTCAATGACATCAGGGTCCATCCGAAAGTCCGAAAGTCGGCCTGGTCCGAGTCGTTGCTGGGCGAGGGAGGAGCCGTGTCCAGTCGAAACTTGTAGGGGGACACCTGGCCCGGTTTGGAAATGGCATTCAATGGCCAATTTGGAGATAAAGCCCCGCCCCAAATCCGAGCAAATCCTTAAGAATAGTTTATACCATAATAAGTACCATAATGACATCATGAACTTTGGAATGTAACCCATGGTTTTTTGCATATTGTTTTGCTGGGCATATTGTTTTGTGGTCACGGCACAAGAGCGATGTCTCAAGCTTGCTGGCTTTGCATGGGGATTTTGGATGAAACTCTTGGGATTCTCAGGTCGCCAATTCTACCGAGGCGATTTTGGTGAGTCACCTGGGGAAAACACACCAGGAATTTGTTGCTGATTTCACCACCTGGCATTTCCTGGCTTTTTCACACCATCTCTTTTGGATAAGGCCTCCCCCTGTTCTCAACTGTTGGTGAAAAACTAATGTCCGGGTGCGATTAAAAAAAACCCTCCAAAATAAAGTACGCCAACTCCCGGAATGTCATCCAGATGTTTAGCCAATTTTCTTCAACCCAATATTTGCTCACGCCGCAGTTGTTCAGATATTGGCACAACTCGTTGTGACACCTTGGGAGGCGTCGGTGGTTTCTTTCGGACGGCGCTTTCCCGCGGCGGTTTCCGCTGAAGCTGCTCGATCATAGCGCGATCTTGCGCCAACATAGCCTGGAAAACCGCTGGCTGTCCGGAAAAAGTGTAAGGCTGTACGAAAATTGAGGGGTGGGCCTGTACACATCACAAACCATCATATCTCATATACATACTGATATACGGGTGATACGTATCATTAATGATATACAACAAAATCATAGTTGAGTTCTATAATTGTGCATAATGTTTGCACCTGATTAAAGAGATGGTACCCTATTGTGAGAAATTTCTTGCTCCTAATTCAGTCACATGCCAATTGTTGGGGGGGGGCCTCTATTGTGAGAAATTTTTTCCAGATTTGTTTTTTTTATTTTTTTCCAAATGCTTTAATTAACTTTACTTTTCTTTTTAATTATTTTTCTATTTATGATTATTTTTAATTAATTTTATTTTAGAAGCCTTATCAAACCCTTATTAAAAAAACAGCATCCAGACAATTTTTCAAAGGGGTACCCCATGAGTGGCTCAGTTACTCAATAATATAATTGTCTGGATGGTACTCTATTGTGAGCACCAACTTTTTGGAGTGAAAAAAAAAGCAAAACCCTTTCTCCACCTTTCTTTGGGTAAAGCTGGCCCTTTCACTTTAGAAAGCCATAGTTGTGTTAAAGCTTTAAAATGCAAGGTTTCCCAAATAATTAGATGCCTTATTAAACCCTTATTAAAAAACAGCATCCAGACAATTTTTCAAAGGGGTACCTCATGAGTGGCTCAGTTACTCAATAATATAATTGTTTGGATGGTACTCTATTGTGAGCACCAACTTTTTGGAGTGAAAAAAAAAAACCCTTTCTCCACCTTTCTTTGGGTAAAGCTGGCCCTTTCACTTTAGAAAGCCATAGTTGTGTTAAAGCTTTAAAATGCAAGGTTTCCCAAATAATTAGATGCCTTATTAAACCCTTATTAAAAAACAGCATCCAGACAATTTTTCAAGGGGTACCTCATGAGTGGCTCAGTTACTCAATAATATAATTGTTTGGATGGTACTCTATTGTGAGCACCAACTTTTTGGAGTGAAAAAAAAGCAAAACCCTTTCTCCACCTTTCTTTGGGTAAAGCTGGCCCTTTCACTTTAGAAAGCCATATTTGTGTTAAAGCTTTAAAATGCAAGGTTTTCCAAATAATTAGATGCCTTATTAAACCCTTATTAAAAAACAGCACTCCAGACAATTTTTCAAGGGGATACCTCATGATTGGCTCAGTTACTCAATAATATAATTGTTTGGATGGTACTCTATTGTGAGCACCAACTTTTGGGAGTGAAAAAAAAACAAAACCCTTTCTCCACCTTTCTTTGGGTAAATCTGGTGCCTTTACTTTAGAAAGCTATATTTGTGTTAAAGCTTTAAAATGTAAGGTTTTCCAAATAATTAGATGCCTTATTAAACCCTTATTAAAAAACAGCACCCAAACAATTTTTCAAGGGGATACCTCATGATTGGCTCAGTTACTCAATAATATAATTGTTTGGATGGTACTCTATTGTGAGCACCAACTTGTGGGAGTGGAAAAAAACAAAACCCTTTCTCCACCTTTCTTTGGGTAAAGCTGATGCCTTTACTTTAGAAAGCCATATTTGTGTAAAACTTTAAAATGCAAGGTTTTCCAAATAATTAGATACCTGAAAAAACCATAATTGGTTCAGTTACTCAATAATATAATTGTTTGGATGGTACTCTATTGTGAGCACCAACTTGTGGGAGTGAAAAAAAAAAGCAAAACCCTTTCTCCACCTTTCTTTGGGTAAAGCTGATGCCTTTACTTTAGAAAGCTATATTTGTGTTAAAGCTTTAAAATGCAAGGTTTTCCAAATAATTAGATGCCTTATTAAACCCTTATTAAAAAACAGCACCCAGACAATTTTTCAAGGGGATACCTCATGATTGGCTCAGTTACTCAATAATATAATTGTTTGGATGGTACTCTATTGTGAGCACCAACTTTTGGGAGTGAAAAAAAAACAAAAACCCTTTCTCCACCTTTCTTTGAGTAAAGCTGGTCCTTTACTTTAGAAAGCCATATTTGTGTTAAAGCTTTAAAATGCAAGGTTTTCCAAATAATTAGATGCCTTATTAAACCCTTATTAAAAAACAGCACCCAGACAATTTTTCAAGGGGATACCTCATGAGTGGCTCAGTTACTCAATAATATAATTGTTTGGATGGTACTCTATTGTGAGCACCAACTTTTGGGAGTGAAAAAAAAAAACAAAACCCTTTCTCCACCTTTCTTTGGGTAAAGCTGGTGCCTTTACTTTAGAAAGCTATATTTGTGTTAAAGCTTTAAAATGCAAGGTTTTCCAAATAATTAGATGCCTTATTAAACCCTTATTAAAAAACAGCACCCAGACAATTTTTCAAGGGGATACCTCATGATTGGCTCAGTTACTCAATAATATAATTGTTTGGATGGTACTCTATTGTGAGCACCAACTTTTGGGAGTGAAAAAAAAATAAAAGTAAATTAAAAGTAAATTGAAATCAATTGAAAGTAAATTGAAAGTAAAGTAAAAGTAAATTGAAATCAATTGAAAGTAAATTGAAATCAATTGAAAGTAAATTAAAAGTAAATTGAAATCAATTGAAAGTAAATTGAAAGTAAATTAAAAGTAAATTTAAAGTAAATTAAAAGTAAATTGAAAGTAAATTGGAAGTAAATTGAAATCAATTGAAAGTAAATTAAAAGTAAATTGAAATCAATTGAAAGTAAATTGAAAGTAAATTAAAAGTAAATTAAAAGTAAATTGAAAGTAAATTGAAAGTAAATTGAAATCAATTGAAAGTAAATTAAAAGTAAATTGAAATCAATTGAAAGTAAATTGAAAGTAAATTAAAAGTAAATTAAAAGTAATTAAATTAATTAATTAAAAGTAAATTGAAATCAATTGAAACTAAATTGAAATCAATTGAAAGTAAATTGAAATCCTTTCTTAAGTTGATTGACCAAAAAAATGTCGAGGGGGGGGCAAAAAAAAGTGCGAGTTATAGAGTATCCTCAAATTGTTTAGGGGGGGGGGGGCCCCCTCACACTAATCAGATGCAAACATTACATACCTTTTTGTACAATGCTGACAAGTCCGTGCTTGAACATCATTGGGAAATAGCATGGGCAGCTGCTTTTTGGTGTCTGTAGCAGATCCACACGGGTCCGAAAACACCCCCTGGACTGTTTGATCATTGGGGCAAGTTCCATTTTTTTGTAGCAGATGAACTTACTATTTGTTTTGGGTGAGGTACCCCCCAATTAATCAAATAGGTTTTTGTTCAATCATTCAATATCATTAGCTGATTAATAGTCCCATTGCCTGATTAATGATTAATAGGCCCATTCAATATCATGGGTTGATTAATAATCCAATTATGAATCCTTCAATTATCAATCAATTGATCATCGTCAAGAACCTGGTTGCAAACCGGTTCTACTGCTTTGTTTATAGCTACTCCAGTAGCGGCTTGTTGGCTGATCCCTTTTCAAAAAAGGTTTGTAGAAATCCAATATTAACAAATTACACCACCACTGGTCTTTTGACGCTGCTCAATTGGTTGCCATCGCCCTGCCTTCTCAAAGTCGTTTTCGCGCACGGCTCTTTGGCGAGGCGCTGGTTTTTCTTCGTCCTTCCTGGCAATTTTTGATTCTGACGAACCAAACTCCGGATGATTCTGACTTGAAACTGGATGATAAACCTTCAAGAAACACCTATAGAAACCCAGGGTTTGAGCATGTTTTAGTTTTGAGAATTCAAAGGTCAAGATGTAAACATTGATCATTATTATTATATATTATTATTATAAATTATTATATATTATTATTATTACTTATTTAATATGTTATTATATATTATTATATATTATTATTAATTATTATTAATTATTATTAATTATTATTAGTTGTTATTAATTCTTATTATTATTATATGTACATAGTATATAATCCCCTCAATACCCCTTCTTCTGTGGGAAATGTAACTTAGCTATATAAAATTGTATTAAAACTCTATATTATACATATAGCGCACCTATGCGCACCTATATAATATACGATAATATATATATATATATAATACACAGAATCTGATAGAGACCTTGGACCTTGATCGATCTGCACAAAAAATGCGGCCTCCGATGGAGGAAGGCATCTCTCCAACTCCCACGTGCTCGGGGCTCGGGTGTCCCTTCCATGGCGACCATGGCCGGCAAGGCCTTGAGCCGAGCTGCGATTTTCTGCTCTCAAAACCTCCAGTGAAATTCGCTTTTCAGCTATGGTTTATGGATGTTTATGGTAGAGTATTGGTAGATCTATCATAAACATACATAAACATAAAACTCTACTATCCAACTTTTTTTATCCCGTCAATGTATATTGGTAGAGTATTGTTTTTTTTTTCAGAATTAATGGAACATTGTTGGGATAATTGCTGGATATACATGGATATATGATATACATAGTATACTCTCCAGTAATCAGTCACATAGCTGGAAGATCACCCATTTAATTCGATGTTCCCAGCGAACTAAACATCCATTTACAGAGGATGTGAAAAATTGCCATGTTTGACTACCAAAGGGTATATCTTGTTAGGAGAAATCCTTCAACAGTGGACTCATCTGGTCGGGGCTTGCTGCTCGAAGGTGTATTTTGGACACTTTTTGATCGATGTTTGCCGTTTTTGTTGGTGCGCGCCGACGTCCAAAACACTGTAATTTACAGTTTTGTTTTGCAACTCTTGCATGGACAACTGCATAAGTACCAGTGTTGTTGCTAGGCAAAGTCCACAAAACACTGTAAATACCGTGATGTTTGCTCTCAAGGGCAGAAAACATCGTACATACCGTGGGTTTTGGCTTGCGAGGCGCCAAAAACATTGATATTTACAGTGTTGTTTGATGTTGTTTGCTCCGATGGTCTCAAAAAAACGTAAAAACACAACCAAACACATCCTATTTGACGATTTTTGGCTACTAAAGAATGAGAAAAAAAAGCTGTGTAGTCAGATGGTTGCAAGATGACAACCAAGCAGACGACATTGCAACAACCATCACCGGGGCATCGCCGGGGTGCGAAGCCCTAGCCGCTCCCTGAGAGATCACCCTTGAGGGGGTGTCCAGATATGTCCAGATGCTCAATCCGAAGCTGGATTGCTTGTGCCAACGACTTCCAGATGGGAAAAACCATGCGTCACTGAGTCACCAAAAATGTCATTCTCCAATCAGGACATCTCTAGGTTTATTCTTGCTGCATCTGAAGAGATTCTTCAGTATTCGGTTCGAATGTTCAAAAGCCCAATGTCATTGAAAACTCAACTGATCTGATCCAGGTGCTGCTCTGCCCCAGGAAAGCCAGCGGCTTTTTGGGCACTCTTTTGGTCCACGCACTCGTCTGGTCTCTTGGATCAGCAGTGCATTGATAAGTGGCAGCGCCTAACGGTGGAGTTGGTCGTGTCCAGACTGTGTACTTTCAAGATTCAGCACCTAAAAGAAATATGTCAAACTCCTAAGTTTCCGTGCTGAAATGAAGTGTAATTATACAAGATTTAGTTCTAGAATCTAGAATCAAGTATACCACTGTTCGATTGGTTCCCAGATTCAATCAAGGTACCATGCAAATCCATGCAATGGCTCTGAACTCTAGTTCCATCAAACAACTCACTTTCCAGAGTTCCATGTAGCTTCAACCACACAGGGCCCGGGGGCCCAGTGCCGTGCACGGCCTTCATGGCAACACCGCCATGGCACGCGGCCGAAGCGACACATGCGACCTCTTGCGACCTGCTGTGGATTTTCCCATGAGGGGAAAATGCTGTGGAGATGTGGTAGGGCATTCCCAGTCGTCACCATGGTCGTTTCAATACTATGGTCATTCATGACGACTGGATGATGTGGGAAACCTCCATGTGGCTAGTCAAAACTCTGGCACCTGAATGGTACACTCAAATTTCTAGCTGGTGAATGGACGTTTATTCCCCCAGTCATATGGTGACAGCTGGTGGATTTTCCATGTCAATCTGGAGGACAAACAAAAAATGTAGGTGGTAATATTCTATATATATATAGTACCATAGTGGCACCATTTTCAACCATCATTGTGGAATATGGTGGAATACTTGATGTGGTTCCAACAATGTCCTTTCTCCAACAACTTGTGGATGTGTTTTTCATGATCCGCTGGCCTTGAATCACTGGGAATCCGATGTGTTGGGGTCAAAAACAAGGGTGGCTGTGTGCATCATTTGTTGTCCTCCCGATTCAGAGTCGTCTGACGAGTTTCAGGAGTCGTGCTTACTTCGGCACAATCTCACCACCAGATGTTTCACCAAAGGATCGAAGCTTTTTCCGTTTGGCTCACAACATGTTCGGAGAAAAACCAGATAAAACGGAACAAAAAGGATTGACTTCAGGTGCCATGGTCAGAAAATGGAATATCATGGTATATTGATGTATATTGATGTATAGTCATCCCACCATCATCAATCCCACTTCAAAAAATCATCCCCAAGCCTCAAGCATTGAGATAGGAGGTCTTGTCGATGGACTCAGGCATGGTCGGTATCTGCACCTAGCACCGGGTCCGATGGAAAGCTGTGAAGGTTGGGTTCCAAACGGTTGAACAATCACGAGATGTTGAATTGCTATCTGGTTGAAATATGTTGAAATGGCTCATATTCATGAAACCTGAGATATTTTCCAGCGTCTTGTGGAATGTTGAAGATACTTGAACGCAAAACAGTTAAACTGTGAACGAAATTCGGTGGCAGATCCTTTGTACCGAAACAACAAGAATCGGCTACACAACCATAATTTTTTTCGTCTGTCGGAAAAATGTTGGGATGAAACCATCAATATTAGGGAAGCGGAGATTTCCCTCGGTGTCGTAAAGGCAGCAGCCAAATAAAACTGATCAATGAACTTCTTTGTATCCTTGGGGCAGGCAGACAAGAGCTCAGAATAAACACGAATGTTTATTTCGGAGGTTTGTAGAACAATAGTTATTCAATAGTTGTGTGTTTTCCCCTTCGACCCGTTGGTCCATGTTTTTTTTTCAATGCTATAGATCTACTGATCTCAATTGAACCGGCTAGTCCAACCTTGAAACAGCATCATATGGATCAGACTTCTGTATCTTCAAGATTGAGTTGTTAATTACCCTTTGGTAATCAAAGATAGCTGTTGGAAAAAAACAACCATAAATGGGCCATATTCCGTAGCTATGTCAATTTACAGGAATGTAACTGCCATATTTTCGATGGGTCACCAAGTATCCTCAAAAACATTCATTTTGAGCATCCTTCGTCGGTCCATTATTTTCATCTTTTCCAACGTATGCGAACAGCAGGGCCCCATGGGTAAAATGACCATACCATACCACTTCAACATGGCCCAATCACAGGCCAATTGAACAGCTTGCAGAACCTATCCAAACCTGTTGTGGATTTGGCTGCTTTCCAAGGAATTTTCATCATAGTTTGACCCATGTTGATCTCTAGTTCATCCTAGCTCCCGCTGAACCAGCTAGTAGAACCGTCACTCAACCATCATTTCTGGGTTCTATCATGTTCTACCCTCACTGCTGTTTTGAATGACCTCGAAGCGCTCCTGCACTTTGGACAGCACCTGTAAAGCTTCGTAGGCACAAGCCGAAGGTCCAAGTGGAGGTCTGTAGATATTTTTCAGGACAAAACCGCTCCAAATGGTCTCATTTGCAAGTAATGACACTGGAAAAGATTGTTGATTTCTGGGTACACTGAAGTCTATTGCCCCTGTGCTAGGCACAGCGAGAAAACCTCCTTGGCCACGCCCACAGCCGCCCACATGCAAATAATATGCCTGAGGAAAACTTTCCTCTCAGAGTACATGTTGTCAAGCAGCTGCCCCAAAGTTCCGTTTGACATTTCCAAGAGCAAAAACATGGTTACGGCGCCTGTAGAAGTGCGGCGCTTTCAGCGTTTCTGAAAGTGGACAATCGTCATTCTTTTTTCATCTTCATGCGAGACGCCATAGTCCAACTCTGTTGTTGTGCTTTTTTACAAAGCTTTCCTAACTGATCCCATAGGGAGTAGCCAGGAGCTAACACTTCGTGCAACCATTGCCATATTAGGCAGTGTTTCATCAAGGCAGCTACTGTTGCATGTGCATTTAATTTACTTGAAAAGAGAGTACGTGCGAAGAAGATCAGGAACATCTTGAAAGTTACTTGAAGAAGATGTTACAACGTATCAGGAACATCTTGCAAGTTACTTGACGGAGATGTTACAACGTATCAGGACCGTCTTGCAAGTTACTTGAAGAAGATGTTACAACGTATCAGGAACATCTTGCAAGTTACTTGACGGAGATGTTACAACGTATCAGGACCGTCTTGCAAGTTACTTGAAGAAGATGTTACAACGTATCAGGAACATCTTGCAAGTTACTTGACGGAGATGTTACAACGTATCAAGACCGTCTTGCAAGTTACTTGAAGAAGATGTTACAACGTAGCAGGAACATCTTGCAAGTTACTTGACGGAGATGTTACAACGTATCAGGACCGTCTTGCAAGTTACTTGAAGAAGATGTTACAACGTAGCAGGAACATCTTGCAAGTTACTTGACGGAGATGTTACAACGTATCAGGAGAAGTGAAGAAGATGTTACAACGTAGCAGGAACATCTTGCAGTGACCGGAGATCTATCAGGACCGTCTTGCAAGTTACTTGAAGAAGATGTTACAACGTAGCAGGAACATCTTGCAAGTTACTTGACGGAGATGTTACAACGTATCAGGAACATCTTGCAATTTACTTGAAGAAGATGTTACAACGTAGCAGGAACATCTTGCAAGTTACTTGACGGAGATGTTACAACGTATCAGGAACATCTTGCAAGTTACTTGAAGAAGATGTTACAACGTAGCAGGAACATCTTGCAAGTTACTTGACGGAGATGTTACAACGTATCAGGAACATCTTGCAAGTTACTTGAAGAAGATGTTACAACGTAGCAGGAACATCTTGCAAGTTACTTGACGGAGATGTTACAACGTATCAGGACCGTCTTGCAAGTTACTTGAAGAAGATGTTACAACGTAGCAGGAACATCTTGCAAGTTACTTGACGGAGATGTTACAACGTATCAGGAACATCTTGCAAGTTACTTGAAGAAGATGTTGCAAGGTAGCAGGAACATCTTGCAAGTTACTTGACGGAGATGTTACAACGTATCAGGACCGTCTTGCAAGTTACTTGAAGAAGATGTTACAACGTAGCAGGAAATCGCTATTGACAACGCAGACCACAGGACGCAATAAAACCCCCCCCGAACCCCCCCGCCGTCACCAAAAACATGACCAAAACAGTGGGCGCCTGTTGGTCCTGGTCGCTGGCGCAAAAGGTGATGGCGAGGCCCTGATGTCGAGCCGGGGAGCTGGGTGGAAAACCTCTGATGGAAAAATGGTCGGTCAATGGGTCAGAAATGGGGAAAATATGGGGAACATGTCATTCAAAGCTTAGATGGTTGGATTAGAGGGCAAAATGGCTGTATTGTCATTGTAGATATGTAGATTGGTTTTCTGGTGCATCAGAAACTGAAATATCCTAGAACAGTCCCAGAAAATGGCCTTAAACGAGCAGTGTCAAGACCTCTTGGAAAGTCCACATTTAGTAATTATGTAATTATATGTAATTCTCATAATTAACGGATTATGATCATCCTCACTGTTTATAAAGGATGTAATCACTCATATTCTGAAGGGAACTGAAGGCTTCGGTATCGCTGGTAGTCCGAAATCCTCAACGCCGCCTTCGTTCCGAAGCGCCCAGCACGACCCACGCGGTGCAAGTACATGTCGCTCTCCTGGGCATCGGTTTCAAAGTGCCTCATCCTTGCCATGAAAACACATGTTCATAAGTTAATATGAAGGTGTCCCTAAATGGGGGTATCCAAAATGGTTGGTTTATAATGGAAAATCCCATGAAAACATATTAAAACCATGATTTTGGGGTAACCCTATTTCAGGAAACCACCATATATATGATGTTTCTCCTTCATGAGTTTCCTTTTCATAAAAATCATCTTCTTCCTCATCATATTCCTCTCCCCCTTAACATCCACAGTCACCCTCGGTTGGTCTTGATTGGTACCTACAGCAACGGTGCAGAGATGTGCAGAGCGGTCCTCGGGCATGTCATAGTTGATAACCTGATTCCAACACTAGTTCAAACAGAGCACTCACACAGAGCGCTGTCTGCATGCACCCAAATGTATATAACTGCCTCTTTTAAAGATCGAAGGTAGTGAAAAACAGTGTTCTGAAACTGATGTTTTCTAACCTATCTAATCTATCTATGAATATATATATATATAGTAAAGGTTTTTTTTGTATGTTTATATCATGTATCCATCAAAATGAAGTTCAGACTTTGATTCGCCGTTCACCCCCAGCATGCTGCGAAATTGCTGCAAGGGGCAATATTCACTTTCTCCACGTCCATGCCACGTCCGAACAAGTCGGTTGCTACAAGGATACGCTTCTTGAAGGCCTGTGGATAGAGGGGATTTAACAAACACACAGTTTCATGGGAATATAGTGGGAGAGTTTATGTGAGTTATAATTAATGAGATTTAATGAGATATATTTCACCAACTTGATAATGATTTGGACAAACAAACCCACATCTTTGATGAGAATGTCTATCTATAAGGGGATTTTCCATTGCTGGTAGGTTGTCAAAAAAATTGGTGGGATGTGCTCCAATTTCGGAAACTCAAAGATCCAAGATCTTGGGAAAGGGATAACCAGCCAATGGTCTCCAGATGTCTCCAGATGTCTCCAAGTTTGATCCTCGGGTGTCAACATGGCCATGGCAAATCCCCCCATGAAACCGACTTTCCAAGCGAACTATGGCCATACCACAGCTCCAGGAGCTCCAGGGATTTCCAATCGCCAAGGGAGGTCCATTCGCATCGCGCGGCGAACACCGCACCTTAAAGGCTTGCAAGCGTTCAATTCGCGAGGATTCCGCGCTGAGCACGTCTCCCTTCTTAGCCTGACATCAGGCATGGAAGATCATCCATTTTGAATGGGAGAATATAGGACATCTAACCTGGCAGGGGAGGGAACTCACCATTTTTTCCTATAGGAACTCCAAGCTTTTCTTGGCTGGGCAATTCCCCATGTTTTCATGGGAAAATAGGATAGGAAAACATAGGAAAACAATTGATATAAATGGATAGCATTCCAGTTTTTCCCGCCAAATGATCATTCCTGGGTTCGATCGATGATGAGGGGTCCAAAAAGCAAAACGCAGTAAGTCCTTGCTGGCAGAATCGACCAAGGCCTTGTGCGCAAAGGCTTTGGGAAGCGGCTGTAGAGTCATGGAGGGAAAGGAATGATCCTGGCTGGGTTCAGGCCTGGAGTCCTTTGGATTGATCGGTGGCAAAAAAAACACGGCTGGAAATGTCCCCATTTACTTCGACGATTGTCCTTAAAAACAGGAAGGTTCGCGAACCGAACCGCGAACCGGGAACCGAACCGCGCGAACCGGAAACCGCCCAGAAACCGGCAGTTGGGAAACCGAACCGAACCGAACCGCTAATGTATAAAATAAGCTCCCGAACCGGACGAACCGGAGGGAGGAACCGGATGCGAACCGCCGGCATGTGCTCTGTTTGTTTCTCTCAAGCAAACGTTCCCTTCAATCTCTGCCCTCGTATTGGATTTGTTTTTTTTTGGAAGCCCCACAAAAACCAAAAATACAACCCTTGTGCCCTCCTATTGGATTTGTTTTTTCTGACAGCACCAAAAAAGCAAAAACACAACCCTTGTGCCCTCCTATTGGGTTTGTTTTTTTGCAGCCCCAAAAAAAGCAAAACCATAACCCTTGTGCCCTCCTATTGGACTTTTTTTTTGTGTGGAAGCACCACAAAAGCAAAAAGCACAACCCTTGTGCCCTCCTATTGGATTTGTTTTTTTTGGAAGCCCACCCCAAAAAAAAACAAAAACACGACCCTTGTGCCCTCCTATTGGACTTGTTTTTTTGAAGCATCAAAAAAGGAAAAACACAACCCCTGTGCCCTCCTATAGTTTTTTCTGGAAGCACCAAAAACGAAAAAACACAACCCTTGTGCCCTCCTAGTGCATTTGTTTTTTTTGGAAGCCCCCCAAAAAACAAAAACACAACCCTTGTGCCCTTCTATTGTTTTTTTTGGATGCACCACAAAAACAAAAAACACAACCCTTGTGCCATCCTATTGGATTTGTTTTTTTTAGAAGCCCAAGAAAGAAGAAAACAAAAACAACACCCTTCTGCCCTCCTATTGGGATTGCTTTTTTTGCAGCCACAAAAAGGCAAAAACTCAACCCTTGTGCCCTCCTATTGGATTTGTTTTTTTTAGAAGCACCAAAAAAGCAAAAACACAACCCTTGTTCCCTCCTATTGGATTTGCTTTTTTGGAACCCCAAAAAAAGCAAAAACACGACCCTTGTGCCATCCTATTGGATTTGTTTTTTTCTGGATGCACCAAAAAAGCAAAAACACAACCCTTGTGTCCTCCTATTGGATTTGCTTTTTGGGCTCTCCTATTGGATTTGCTTTTTTGGAAGCCCCAAAAAAGCAAAAACACAACCCTTGTGCCCTCCTATTGGATTTGTTTTTTCTGAAAGCACCAAAAAAGCAAAAACACAACCCTTGTGCCCTCCTATTGGATTTGTTTTTTCTGAAAGCACCAAAAAAGCAAAAACACAACCCTTGTGTCCTCCTATTGGATTTGCTTTTTGGGCTCTCCTATTCGATTTGCTTTTTTGGAAGCCCCAAAAAAGCAAAAACACAACCCTTGTGCCCTCCTATTGGATTTGTTTTTTCTGAAAGCACCAAAAAAGCAAAAACACAACCCTTGTGCCCTTCTATTGGATTTGCTTTTTTGGCAGCCCCCAAAAAGCAAAAACACAACCCTTATGCCCTCCTAAACCCTTGTGCCCTCTTATTGCATTTGCTTTTTTTGGATGCCCCAAAAAAGCAAAAAAAACTGGTGCCCTCGTATTGGATGTGCTTTTTCGAAAGCCACAAAAAAGAAAAAGCACAACCCTTATGCAAAGCACAAGCACAACCCTTGTGCTCTCGTGTTGGATTTGCTTTTTTGGCAGCCTAGAAAAACGAAAACAGCCTCCACGACCAGGTCCACCTGACGCAACGTGTCCTTGACATGAATCATAACAACCAACTAACTGGGAACATGTTTTGCTTTTTTGAATGGCCGTAAAAAGCAAATACCAAGACCATGACTTACTCCGAACCGGTTAGAAACCAGAAACCAAACCGGTTAGGAACCGGAAACCGAACCGAACCGAACCGTTTTTTAAATTATATCCCGAGGAACCGAACCGAACCGAACCGGGAACCGGAAATTCACCAGTTCCTGGAAACCGAAACCGAACCGAACCGAACCGATCCCACCCTGTTAAAAAGACGTGTCTTGGTTCTGGTCTTCGCAGCAGAATTCGCAAGTGAAGGGCTAGACTTGAAATCAAATCCTGGTAAAACTTGATTTGGGGTGACACTGGAACATGTTGATGCCATTTTGGTATGTTCTTTGGGATTCTGGCAGGTCTCTCATTTCAAAACACCTTCTGAAAAACGGTGACAGGTGCCCAGTTTCGTTGGTTCATCAACCAACCATGGTAACCAACCAGCACTTGGTCTCTGATTGATGCTCAAGTTATCCCTTACAAATCATAAATCCCACCATTAATCGCCCACTTAAAATGCTTTCATCATGTACCATCCATGTGATATCAATGTCAGATCAATGTCAATGTTGAATCCCCATATGAATAGATCATTTTCCCACCATTTTCCATGAGAATCCTGTTTTTCCCAGGGCAGCACGGCTCCTGAAGGAGTCCGTCCAAGGCCATTGCTCTTCGCACGGTCGATACAAAGATCACCACCTGCCGCCATTTTTACGCCCAACCAGTGGACCAGATTCCCCAATTCCCCTGGCTGTCAGAATGTGAATGCCAACCAAGAAAAATCTGCTCTAAACAGAAATCGAAAACCTACACTTTTCAGCACCGACCTGATTGAATTCCAGCGTATCCAGCAGGTCAAAGAGTTTTTTATTTTTCTGTTTCTCTTCGAGCCGGACATAGTACCTGGACTCGCACATGGGGAGCGTTAGGAATTGCCAAGTCAACCAAATTGAGGTTGTCATAGGAGAATATAGGAAAATAATCTACAAATAATACATAGATGTCTGATCATGTTGTGGAACATTGAAGTTGAGCTGGCACAGATGTCTTCATGACCACCATCCCATTTTCAGGGAGATGTTCTCCGACAGTATAGCCTTCCAGCCTACCATAGCCCCTATCTTGAATAAAACCGCAAATTGGGCACCACTACAATTGACCAACAGTCACAGTCCCGAAAATGTATGAAAATGTGAGATCCAAGTACAAGGCAGTGCCCACCAGTTTTAAGTAAGTTGGTCGATAACGCCATTCACCACTTCGATATATCTACCATACAGCACATTAAATGGAATTATAAACTATGGTGTATGGTAGATATAATTATACATTGACATATAATCATATACTTATATATAGTTCACCATAGTTAGATAATGTTAGATATAGAATATGATAGAGCTGTCTTTTCACTATAGTTATATATATAATACTACAGCTATATATATACTTATATATATAGTTCACCATAATACCACAGTTATATAGTTATATATAATTACTACAGTTGTATATAGTTCACCACACCATAGTTAAATAATGTCAGATAATGTTAGATAATGTTAGATTCAGATATAGAATTCCCATGAATTGCCATGAATTACCACTTAACAAACCCACCATTTCCCACGAACGTACGCGACATTTCGGTGTCGCGATTCAACGGTCGCGGGTCACTGGAGCAAGCCATGGAGAGTCAACTTGGACTCGTCCACGGTGATCTCATGTGGACCTCGGTTGCTTCAGATATCTTGGAAAAAACGATGAGTTACTCTAAATGCTATATTATATAGTATGATATAGTATGATATAGTATGATATAGTATGATATAGTATGATATAGTATGATATAGTATGATATAGTATGATATAGTATGATATAGTATCTACACTTATAAGTGTATGTGATTTGGCTTACTTCAATGGTTTCTTTTTGTATGCTCCAACACTCTCCTGAGGACCCGGCTCTGCATGAACTTTTTGCAAATGTCTCGTGTATCTGGGCTCAAGGTGGCACTAAACATCATGACCTGCGGCTGAAGATGGCTGATGGCTGGAGAATGGCTGGAGACATCTGGAGACATCTGGGGGAAACCCATCTCCCCACAAAATTCTAGCGATATGTGGCGATGGATTGGAAAGTGTATCAGGCAGAGCCAGAAACTGAACCCAAATCCTACATGCAAAAGATGCAAATAAAAATTGATGAATAGATATGAATACTGCTTGGTGGTTTTAACCATCCTGAAAAATATGAAAGTCAATGGGAAGGATTATCCCATATATTATGGAAAGTAAAACATGTTTGAAACCACCAACTAGAATAGGATGCTTTGCAAATTCGTAACCAGGTGATTGCCTGTGTCATCAGTGCCGTCTCCCATGGTTCATGAAAGATAACATGTTCATAGCTTCACTGCTAAAAACCTACCAAGCTGCTCATTGTGGGCAGATTACCATGGCCTGAAAGCTGAGCCTGGCACCTGTTTTTTCTTTGGTGTTTTGATAAAGATCTGCTGTACATCTTTCCGAAGATCCAGCTGGTCAATACACCTGTGGCGGCACCCACATGTTGGACGGCTTCGATACAGCATTTTTGAGCCCTGAGCCCTATCGTAACTAGCCCTGTAACGAATGGTCTATCTCTCTTTCCACATTGACATGCAAGTGAGTCCCAATCAGGCACATCATGTTAGGTAGGCGTGGCATTTCTATCAACTGCTTTCATTGAGACTACTTTGTTTCACTGATAGAAGGGTATCTTTCAGAGCCAGTTTACAAACCCCAATCACACAACCTCCAAATCCCAAAAATAACGAAGTGTCCATTCAACTATCATGTGGTCGGGAAACTCTTAGTAGCTCCTCGGCTCCTCGTCTAATAGGGAATATATGGGAATATGAATAGCCGGAGTTCCTTGGCTGCCCCGAACCACCAAATAGTCAAACCATCAACCAAATATATAGTCGAGCCACCAAATAGTCAAACCGCCAGACAGTCAAACCATCTATCTTTGGCACCCTCCTAACCACCAAAAACATTCAAAAACATCAGTGATTTCCAAAAAAAACTGGGAACGTTCACAGCACAGGATTCCCCCACCTATCGCACTCGTCCAGGACGAAGGTGTTTAAACCTTGGCTTGGACAGGGAGTTTCTGTGCAAAGCCTGAAGTAAATTACATATATATATATATACATATTTGTTTAAAAAACTTTGGATTTTCATGGATCTAACATGATCTAACATGATCTACATCCAGGAATCTGGTAACTGGATGATTCCACGCTTAAGTTTATTTGATTTTCAAAATTATATAAAATATTATAAAATTATATGAGTAGAACGTAGCTTTGTTACTGTTTTTATTATACATTTCGATCGGCACAAAGATAGGGATGTGACCCAGAGAATTGGGATTCTCATAAAAATGTTGGAGATAAAAATAGACATTGTCAACCAGCAAGGAAAAAAAACTAAATGGCTTTGTTCGACCAAATTGACAGGAAACCCATCCGAATTTATCCATGAACAGAGGCCTTTCCTGTCATGTATTCATGCAAACCAAATCTGGGACTCGGGTATCTGCCGCACGTGCATGCACTTGGCATGTCTCATGAATCATATTGAGAAGAGGCTGGAAGTAGGAAATGGATGAACATTTGAGTACTTGCCCCTCCAAAATGATCAACATCTCTCTTCGTAGATTAGATTAGATTAGATTCGATCAGCTTTGGTTAGATTGGATTAGATTTTTCCAGATAGCTTCATGAGTTCTTCCCATCCTTCTAACATCTTCCAACTTTACCCAAGAAAAAATCCATTAGTCGTCCAAGGCCGAGGGGTTGAGGCCCCCACCCTCCAGCTTCAAGATCTTGTCTCGAACCAGCTGCAGAACCCGTCCAGGAGTGCCCACCTGGAAGCTCGAAAAAAATCAGCGAAAAATCAGGGCAGGTTACCATGGTGAAAATGCTCTGTCCATTGAAGATCATTGAATGGGCTACCCCAAATGTAGATGATTCCCTCGTGAAACTGTACCACATCTTTGGTTGACAAGTTCCAGGATGTTCCAGGAGTATCTTTGGCAAAAAAGAGACTGAGCTGAGCCACCAAGATGTGAGGGCATTGGCTGTCTTTCAACAACTCCTTGCCATCTGCTTCAGGAATGAACATCGGATTATGGTAACAACATCTGGCTGAGCACAATGAGATTCTGCAGCAGTTACAAAATCCTTGTCACTTCGCAAAATAAGATATCTTAAGTGACACACGACTTTGAGCGTCAACAATACACCACCAGAAATAGGTGGTATAAACGTTATAAACCAATCCCAAATGGATGGTTCATTCAATGGATTGGTTTAAGGGAAAATCTACAGGAAACATGGGTTTTTACCATCAAATATAGGGCTTTCCGGTTAAAATTTTCCCATCATCCAATTCTATGGTTTGTTATTCTTTGACCCACATAGATTTTGACCGTTGACCCACAGCGGCTCCTTGTCTTTATCCAGGGGTTGGCCTCCATAGACTGAGCCAGTCTGCCAGCGGGGCGCCAAGGGATGTTCTTAGATTATGATACTCTCTGGTAAACATACAAAAAACTATGGAAAATCACCATGTTTAATGGGAAAACTCACTATTTCTATGGCCATTTTCAATAGCTATGTCTGATAAATATCATTAAATATCAATGTTTGGCAATTGATCGTATTTGATACTACTATATATCACTATGTCCTCCTAGGTCATAATATTTGATTGGCGTGTTCATCAGCATCAATGCTTGACAATTGTTGACACGGATTATGACAAACATTGTGACAAGTGTTCATCATGTTTCATCTCGTTTAGTCCTTCAACATCCACTACCTGCATCGAAACAGTGTCACCATCCACGAAATTTAAGGCTCAATCTCAGCAGCTCAATCTCAATCATTGTAAGAAATCGAGTGGTCCGTCTCCCCAGTCTATACCCTCTGGTGAACTAACATAGCAATGGAAAATGGCTATTTATAGTGGATTTTCCCATTAAGAATGGTGATTTTCCATTGCTATGTTAGTTCACCAGAGGGTACCTCCATTGTTCTCATTGGTCTCCGGACCTTCAGACCCTGGAGGTGCTTCCCCAGGCGCTTGAACTCCAGCTCGATCTGAAACCTGGGGATCTCATGGGATCCCATTGGTTGGTTGATTACCCGGCCTGGTTATGTCAAGCATAGCTATTGAAAATGGCCATTTATAGTGGATTTTCCCATGAAAAATGGTGATTTTCCATAGTTTTTTGTATGTTTACCAGAGGGTAATAGAGGGCTTTGAAGGAGTTTAGCCCTGAAAAACAAGAGGTTTCCATGATTTTCTAGATGTACCAATGGATGATATCAATGTGATATAATTACTAGTGATATCCTGGCTGGTGGTTGACTTAACCATCTGGAAAAATGATGGACTTCGTCAATGGGAAGGATGACAACCCATATATGAAATGGACAATAAAAGCCATGTTTGAAACCACCAACCACTAGTGATATCAATGTGATATCAATGTGATATCTACTTGGTCATATGTTTGTCATAGTCATCTCCGCTTTTTTTCACCAAGGGGATGTGATATCATTGGATTCAATGGGACAATGACGACCAGTTAGAGATGTCAACCCCAAGGCATACAGCGATACTATCGAGACCCACAAGGCGGGATATGCTTATCATCGTTATTACTGGTGTTATGATTATAATAATATGATGATAATAATGATTATTGGCATGATGATTTATTATAATTATTACATATTATTACTGGCGTTCATATGTTTATGTTTGTTTATGTTTATTGGCATTATGATGACCTGCGGCTGAAAAATGTTTTATCGTTTTCCTTGCTGGTCCAATCCCATTCTTGATGGAAAATCCTATGAATTGACCATGGCGACCATAAGGTCCCGGCGCCAACTCGCGCGTGTGGCCGATGACCAGCACTTGCACGGCCTCAGGGCTATCCACAAAATTCCTGGTCAAGACTCGGCCTGGGTTTATCATCCAGTATTTTCACAATATCTATTGATATCACATTGATATCTATTCTCAGTTTCTGCATAAATATTATACACATCGTCACATCGTACTATTATATGGGTTCGGACCTGAAAATAGTGTACCTCCAATGGCAGTGGATTAGAAAAACATTTTCCCCAGAAACAAATTAGCCATTTGGAGGTATACCCCATGTTCAGACACATCCATATCATTCCATATCTAGGGTATATTAGTATTGGGGTATACCACATGGTTTGAACCTGGGACCAATTTGGTACTAATTTCAGCCATTTTGGAGGGTTCCCACATGGTTTGAACCTTGGATTAGTGGGACTCTACTCCCACGAGGCGGCCAAAAACATGTTCCACAACCAACAGTGGGGGCTAAAAAAAATCTGCAAAACGGTCAAACCGGAGTCGAAATCCAAGTCAAATGATTTCCGACCTGTCAAATCAGGAATGGTTTGGGTGTGTCTGAAATTGGGGTAAGCCGGTAAGCCTAAGTGATGGTGCTTGAGGCCATAAATTGAGCATTAAGTCACTCAGATCCGCGTCACAAGTCACGTACGATTCACTGGATCAGCGCAATCTTCACCCAATGAAGATCGCAAAGAAGCAAGAAACGGTTTCAAACCATTCATTGTCACTGTTTCAAGTGTATACCAACCCCAACCCATCCCCCAACCTATCCCCATTGGTCAAACCCCACCAACCCCAATCATCCCACCAACTAAGTCCTGAATTTTGACCAACCATCCCCCCAAAAAAACCGTCTGGTGACTTGGCATCCGACGCTTTTGGAGATCTCTAAATTCTGCAGGCAAGCCAGCACAAAGACCGCCGTCTTGCCCATGCCGGATTTCGCCTCCCGAAACTACTGTCTGACCATCCCAACCATCCCATGATGGCGACGCTACGTAGATATGGCATACTGCTTCCGTACCGCAAGGGACCGTTGAATGGGACCGCACCTGGCAAAGAACGTCGGTTCCCAGCATGGCCTGGGGTAGGCACGCATGTTGCACCTGACAGGAAGTCAGAACATGTCCTTCCCAGATCCCTCTTCTTCCCAGCAAACAATGGTGTTTCATGGGCTTTTCCCATGGTTTTTCCCACCAAAAAAATGATGCCTCTGAGGGATGCTCAAAGCCGCAGTCGACTGTGGCCTACCGGGGGCGGTGTTTCTTGCTGTTAATATCAGTGGCATTTGTATGTTAGATAATAATATTATGGGAGTATGATGTATTGTGTATAAAATATTATATAATATATATATAGTAACATTCTATCTAGCTATTTTACTTGTCATTTATATCGTTGGCATCTTTTTTTTAGTGTATAATACATAGGTGTGTGATACAAGTATGTATGAATATGTACTTCATTTGTCTGTTCATAGCTGTAGTTACATGTACGAGTATTTTAGCCACGGGTATCCCGATGCAGATGGAATATCACCTCTCTTCAAGTTTAGTCTGATGTGCCTGCCGTGGATGATGCTTTCTAGGTTTGATCCATCTGCCGTGAGTCAAGTGGTCACTAAACGCGTAGTATCAGCCACTTCCGAACTTGGTGATTTAGGAGGCCTAAGCTAGTTCAACTGCAACACTCGTGGGAAAACAACACTGCAGCTGTAGACGGGAAACCAGATATTGAAAACCTCTAGGTTTTCCACCCAATCCTGTAGCTTTCCCAAGCTTACAGAGGCACCTGCAACAGCTCTGGCTTTAGAAGAAAATCTTTGAAACCCGAAGCTGAGATGCTGCCCTTGGCCTCAGAGATGTTTGACAGGTCAGAGCTGGGGAGTTGTGGGTATTTTCTGGTGATGTCTAAGGACCTACCCTCTGGTAAACTAACATAACTATGGAAAATCACCATTTTTAATGGGAAAATCCACTATAAATGGTGATGTTCCATAGTTATGTTAGTTTACCAGAGGGTACCAGAATCATAACCAGATTTACTTCGCAGCCGTGGCGCAAATCCTGTACCATTGCTGGGGGCACCATCTCTGGCATCCTGACAACGAGAACCCCTGCAGAATGCTTGGCAGCGGCCAACCAATGGTTGGAGACCTATTAGGCAGAATGATTTTCAGATTCAGATGGATGTGAATGAGAAAATCAGAAACAATTGTGCTTCACTGCTTGTCTTTTTTTGGCATGTGTATGCATTTCTCTTGCTTCAAAGCATCCAATTGGACAAAGTTGAAGTTATTGGCTTATTGGCTCTAGTGCGAGAACAATCAATTGACTTCCACCCACTAAACATCTAATAAACATCTAATAAACATCTAATAAACATCTAATAAACATCTAATAAACATTAATAAACATTAATAAACATTAATAAACACATCAGATCATCAAGTTTCACCACATTCCCAACTTCCAAACCCCGCAGCCCATGCGCCCAGCATTTTTTTTTGTCTCACTGGGCTGCCAAGATCCTGGGCTGCTGAATGGCTAAAAAAGAAGTGGCTCGAGTAAACCTAAGTCTGCAATCATAAGATGTTCATACACTCTCACCCATTTATTTACTTATATACATATGTATATGTATAATGTGTATATACATATACATATATGTTCACACAAAAAAAGACATAAATGTAATTTACATCCATAGCATATCAATCAGATTCTGCTTTTTGGGGGTGAGCGAGTCTGCAGTCGAATTTCATGAACTTAAATTAACCATGGAGTGAACGGGATGGTGAAAACCAACTGATCCAAGTCTCCATTCCACTTCTTGTGGAGCCAGCAGACAGCCTGTGGTTATTTTGTCTTTGGCGACGTTTCTGCCTGGTTAGCAAGGGCCCATCATCAAAATAGATTTTCGGAGCTTGGCTGAAATGACGAATATATAGTTATTTATAGTTACTATGTACTTCATGATGTTTTCAACAGCATCATTATCAAATATCCAATCTGATTGAATGTCAAATATTAACATATCGTCCATTGGTTGTTGGAGAAAAAACACACACTGGGCCCTGGATTCGCACCTTTGGCGGGAAAGCTGCCATCCTGCCAGGTGTTGCGTTTTTTACTGTCTAACTGACCCACGATTGGGTAGTCCTGGTAGGCCAAAGGCTTGTGACTTAAGGAGTGCAGGAGAATGAAATCCCGCCTGAAGTGAAGGAATCCAGAAATCATCACAATGTCTGATTCATGTTTGATTTGTTTCTGACACTCCAATATTGGTTGCTGATGATTTTGCATGGCCTTTGCTGTAGATTCAAACAACGTAGTTGACTGAGACAACGATTTAAGAAAAATCTGGTTTATCCTTTTGTGCAATGGTGGGGTTCCTACCTAAATGCTGGAATGGGCTTATAAACCGTTTTGGTGATAACAGAGATTCAGATTGTAAGCTCATTTACAATGTAGCGTTAGTCACGAGTTGGTTGAGATGCTGGTTACTAAATATAATCTATTGGGTTTACACCCAGAACCCAAGCTTCACCCCATTTCTATACCTATAGATATACCACGCAAATATATACCACAAATACCTATACTATATATATAGTATATTATACTAGTACATAAATAGATGTTCTATTTATTCATATTTATTCTATTCAGTTCTTCATTTCTCATATAAAGCTACCAGATGTTTTGTGGCCCTTTTTGCACCTCGGTGTACAAGGAGCCTTGACATATCTCTCCAAGGCCTGGCGAAAAGGGTCCCGCTCGTCGTCTGTTCGGCCATGGGATGGGGATCCGAAGAAATCTCTATGGAAAATCTTAGCAACGAAATATATGGATATACCCTCTGGTAATTTAACGTAGCTATTGAAAATGGCCATTTATAGTGGATTTTCCCATGAAAAATGGTGATTTTCCATAGTTATGTGACAGTTTACCAGAGGGTATATATATATATATGGATTGGGTGTATGTTCTTACTTGGAAAATATATGGACCTAGAATTAAACATCTGAAAGACATATATATATATAATAGAAAGCTGATGAAAGTGAATGAAACATATGGAAATATGATGAAACAGAGAGTGGATGAACACAAAAGATGCAAATATATGGAAGTGTCTGGAAACGGGGATACCCTCAAATGCTAATCTTATCTATTAATCTTAATCTTACATTGGGAAGTTATTATGATCCACCATCAAAAAAACATCAAATATGGGGGTACCCTGAAGTCGTGGATGAGTTGATCAACATTAAAAAAAAGTGGGATCCAAGTTCCCTTCGAGCAATGAATGGGTCTGGTGCTGTAAAAAGGACAAACCCTCAAAAACGGAGCGCCGCACGTTTTGAATTTCTGTGTGCGAACAAGGTCCATTTCACCGGACGGTGGTTCAATCTTTGTCTCCGTCCACGACTTCTTTCTATCTTGATCTGGGTGTGTCTGAGAATGGAGATGCCGCAATGCCTTGAAAAATGGCCAGTTTCATGGGCAAAATATGGCACAATGATGATTCAGGAGTGGATTTGATTGGATTTGGCCATGCCCTATTCTCAGACAAACCCATCTTGATGTTTTCACTCAGCATGTTGTCTGTTGCAACGGGGTCTGCAGTCAGTTAAAACTGTACAGCTGTACAAGTTACAACAGTTTGAGAGATAGCGGAATCCAATTGCTAGCCCGAGAGTTGCCGGCTGCCAACGACGGCTTGTGAATTTCACTATGCCAAAGAAATAAGAAAAAGAGCAATACAAAAAAAACTAAAAAAAGTGATCCAAAACATCTCTGGAGCATCATCAACATGACATAACATGACTTTCCTGTCGCAATCTCTGAGCAGGTTAGCAATTGTATCGACCTCAAAGTTGCGCTACCTGCTGCTGGCTGCTGGCGAGGTAGACTTCCCTCGAATTGGCCAACCATCTGAGACGGATGCCACCGGATGATCCCTCAAACAGCAACGAATCTTGAGTCGCGACCATGAGAAAAGCATGGTAAGAAAAAGCATATTTTCTGTGAAAGAAACGAAAGATTTACCATAAATCAAGCAGAAAATTAAATTCTGTGTGAACTTAAATCTGAAGCAAGAATTTTTCTGTAGAACAGCAACTCTGTGATAATCTGGACTTCTGGACTGTCACTTTGTTATTTTCCAAAGTTCCTACAGGTTCGTAAACTACTTCCTCAGGTGAGGATATCATGCAGGACTTGATAGTCTGTAGGGCTACCAAAAGTAGCCATCCAAATAAAACAAGCGCAGCGTCACCCAAGCATCGAGTGCTGCATACTCCACCTGACAGAGGAGATCAGAGGAGTGGCAAAAATCATGATGAAATACGTCGAATGGATACTCATATCTGTATGTGTATACATATTTTTCAACATTATGGAACTACGGATATGATTGTCGTGTTTCTGTGTGTTTCTACGTATGAAATCTACGATATCTACAGTGAGTTCGTCACGTCACGGCGCCTGCTCCATGGAGAGTTCCGAGGCTGACCAGTCAGACAAACAGCAGCGGCGGTCCTTCTTCAGCGCATAGCCCAGCAGCTCCTGGAACCGGTGCAAATTTGGAACCCTGCAGTCATCATGAAACATGGCTGGAAAATACGTGAAAATACACCATGTATAGATGATACATAGATGATTTTCCAACTTCCATTTAGTTTGGTGATTTTCCAGGTTCCATAGTGGGACTACCGGAGGGTAGCCCACTTTAAGAGAAACTCCCAGCGTTCCCACGTGTGCCACACATCACCCGACATCACAGCTATTCCAACACCCATCCGAAGGAGATACGGGTTTTCCTAAAATGGAACGGTTTATTCCTGGAAAATCCAATTAAAATAGATGATTTGGAGGTACCCGGTGTTAGGAAGCCTCCATATTTCAGATTCCCCGCACAATGGACCCTTACGAAATCTAGATTGGAGGGAGGCAAATGGTACAGTATTGTTTGAATTGTGGTCACGCCAATCATGTTTTCACCATGTGTTCACAGGCTTTACTGAACCAATAAAAAAGAAATAAATGTTGGTGGTTTCAACCCCCAAGCAAACATGGTTGAAACATGTTGAAATAAACAATAGTTCAAACCAACAGCCAGAAAATGATTGTAGAAGTTGGATATAGTTCATATTTGGGTCTACCCTCTGGTGAACTAACATAGCTATTGAAAATGACCATATATAGTGGATTTTCCCATTAAGAATGGTGATTTTCCATTGCTATGTTAGTTCACCAGAGGGTACTAGATTGTCGACCCTGCTCCATGAGAACACGCCTGCTGTGTTTATTATCAACCACCAAGCTTTCCCTGGCTAATGGCCAAACTCCGGGAAAATAACTCTTCACTGGCCAAGAACCATGATTAACCTTAGATATATTTATCCAATATGCTCTGCAAATAATAAATGGATATTCATCTAGTTAGCTATACATATCATATAGTTCTAGTATAGTTATAGTTATTAGTATATATGTATAGTATATGTAATATAAAATATATAATTCTATATATCATATATATCTGTATAGTATTATATAGTTTATATTATTAGTATTAATAATTCACCGAATAGTTCACCATATTTCACCCTGAGACTTGGGCCATTTCCTCACCATTCACGTCTACCCAACCACCAACCACACCGGCGGGTTTGATTTGACCACCTGAGCGGCACGGCGCAAGCCCGGACGAGCAAAGCCCAAGAGATGTGCACAGCTGTGCTGTACATCAAAGATTGAATCCTCCAAGGGGTCTTCAGGGCTCAGAAGTAAAATGGAGGAAAACCTGGATTAATATGGATTTTCCAATGAAGCAAATTATGAAGCCATGTGTGGAACCCAGGAAATCTGACTGGAATATCTGACTGAATGTAGAAAAAACATGGATAAAAATAGGAGTTTCCATAAATGGGGGTACCCAATACCCCAATAGCTGGCTGGTTTATAGTGGAAAATCCCATCTATAAAATGGATGATGACTGGGGGTACCCCCACTTTAGGAAACCTCCAGATGTGTCTCAAACATGGATAAAAATGGTGAATCTCACTGGAATACCCTGACTAGAATCTGACTGGGATACCATGGAATCTGACTCATTTTCTGACATGTCTTTCCCAATCTGAATGGAATACTGCATCAAATTGAAGGGGCGCCTATTTTCAGACCCGTATCGACCAACTCCCTCATTTATCTTTGTAGCTGATTCAGGGTTGAACCATTGGTCCCCAGGAATTTGAAGATCAATTGGGAATAAACATCCTGCTTGCTGGGAAAAAACTCGACCAAAAATTTTCACATAGCAAAAGAAAAATGCAGAATCGCATATATCGCATAGGATCGCGTTTTGCGTTTTTGTGCTTGGGGGATTCAGCCTTCCAAAAAAAAGGATTCAATTTGGATCAGCCTTTTCTTCAAAAAGTCGCATAGAATCGCAAGGATCTGAGGCTAGAATCTAGAGTAGAAACATGCTCCGAAAATCGACAGCTCTCCTGGTACACGGAGATACCCGTGGTCGCCAGTTTTTCAGTATCTTTGAAGTCAACGCCAAAGCCCACTTTCATGACTCTGGGGTTCACCTCAGCAATCTGTCGCAATCTGTCATGATTACGGACATACACAAGATGAACTGTGAAATTGGGGATTTGATGGATTTGGGATGTAAGTGGATGTCATGATTTTACTTACATCCACACATGTCATGATTTGGGGTGGATTTGGGATGTAAGTGGGATTTGGCGTGATTCGGGATTTAAATTCGATCCCAGAAATTGGCTGTGCGATGCCTTTTTTTCGCCTTTGCCAAGTTTGACCATTTTGGGAGGCCCTCCTGACAAAACCCACATAGATTCTGCAACAGCCACCATTTGTAGATCATTGTCCTAAGGAAACCATGGCTTTTCCACATGTTTTGTCTTTACCAGAGGTTACCCAGTTGCGACCCAAGTTGCTAACATCATCTGAACCTCTGCGGGCAGATTGCCAACTCTAGCCAACTGGACCACATAGACCTTGCAGGGAAGCACTAGACCACTAGGGACGGACAACGTGGAGGTGAACTCATTTCTTCACCATAATATTAAACACCCTCAGAAACCACGGTGTACAAATGAACAGAGGTGTTTATATGTAAATCCCCTACATACACCATTAGGGTGTCAGTCCAGTGTGTAGAATTTAAATATATTTAGATATGTATATTTGGATTTACTTAACTCAATAGGGGCCCATAGAATTGTTGGGTGTTTAATACTATCTACATGGCGCCACCTCTGGATGGGGTTTCCACATGTTTCCATCCTCCAAATTCACCTCGCGAAACATGAAACTCCAACATATGTCCAAGAAAACAAACGAAAATAAGATTACCCTCTGGTAAACTAACATAACTATGGAAAATCACCATTTTTAATGGGAAATCTCACTATAAATGGCCATTTTCCATAGCTATGTTAGTTTACCAGAGGGTAACCCAAACTGTAGGACTCCCCGGACCGGTGTTTTTGCTATGTTTTTCGATGCAACTCCCTTCATCTGTCACAGATCGGGTTGATGGTTTCGATAAACGTGTCCCAATCTTTGGGAATCGACTCGGATCGACAGGCAAATTTTAAGTTGGGATGAATAGATGATATCCGATGCACAGCATTCTTGTTGCTTGAAATATGGGAATATCCATGGGAATATCCATGGGTTTATCAACATATTGCTGATATTTCATGGAATATCCATTAAAAAAATATCCTGGTGAATTCCCCCCCAATTTCTTGGCTTAGATCCAGGACGGTCGATGACCAGCCTTACAGCTGGACGGGAACGCGAACTGAAGAACCTTGGGGAAGCACCAAGGATTGGGAACGCAACCATGAAGAGTTAGTGGGTAAGATCAAGAAATGAAATATGATAGAATTTATGATATATATTATATATATATGGGTACTGGATATATATATATATGTATATATGATACATCATTATTATTGCTATTTATTATGTATAATAATTATCAATAAATGATAACTACTATTATGATAATTAACATGCTGAATCGACCTATTTTCTCGCTTCTGGCTGCTTCTCCACGTCAGCTTCGAGCAACAACAGAAATGGGATCTGAAAAACATGGGAAATGCAGCCTTTCTGGTATGAAAGCGGCTAGTTACTAGTGCGAGATTCTTGAAACATCTTAACATATGTTGTAAAATCGCTCACATAATGGTTCCCTTCACATGGGACTCCAAACTCACCCAAGATGTTGGTTCTGATAGGGAAAAGCAAAAAATGATTTTTGTATGAAAACCGATGGAAATAAGATCCCCCATTTAGAAACCCTCCAAATCCTAGACTTTCAGGGGTCAACCAAAAATATCATGGTGCCATTTTTAATGGAAATTTGGCAATGGTTCAAACTTCAAACATCTTCCTCAGGGCAGATCAAATCTCAGAGTGCCAGTGGCTGAAATGGGTCAAGAGATTGTACCTTCACATCGAAATAGTTGGGTGTCATGGACGTTTATCCCCCTACATAATTCGTATCACAAAAAAGAAAAAGGTACAGTAAAGGTATTGATACTAATCACTAATTGTGGGCTCTCCATTTTTCAGAAACACACCAAAAGAAACTCGTGACAAATATATGATCAAAGTTAGCACCTAATTTAATATCCCCAAAAGATCTCGTCCATATCTCAACCATCTCCGTATTATCATAGCCATCCATATCCATCCCAGTGGATGAACAATAATTAGTATGTATATAGCACTTCTACAAAAAACATAACACCCAAATATGTAGTCTATCATTAGAATCTATATCATTCTATATCCACGTCTCACCCATCTCCATACCCATCATCCGTCATCCATATCTTAGTTTTTGTCCCCAAGATTCCCAAGATCTATAAATATATCTCACCCATCCTCCCATCCCATCCCCATCCATATCCCAGTGGCTATGTCACATCATTATATCATCCCCAAAAATATCTATCAAATCTATGTCCAATATATCATCTTCAAAAAAAAAACGTGTCGAAATATCTACATCTTCCCCAAAAGACATATATCTATCAATATCTATAGCCTCCCAATCCCATATCCCCCATATCCCCATCTCCATATCCCCATCATTCTCCATATCGCCATCCCCACCCATAGCCGCCATAGCCCATATCGGCAGGACCTTCCATCGAGTGGCTGAGATGGGATGGTTGGAGCCCTTAAAATCCGGCACCCATTCGGCATCAAAGGCCACGAGCTCCGCGCACATCGAGTCGTGCCGCAAGGCCTCGTAGGCGCGGCCCGTCTTGGAGTTCACCACTTGGATCCTGGGTCGAAACACGGAGAGGATTGAGGATTGGGGAACCTTTCTTCGGGGCCCTTAAGGACATGTAAATATGGAAAAAAACATGGAAAAATACACTCAACTAACACAATATGAGTGTAACTATAATTTTCCAAGAGTATGGTTTGGCCATGTCTATGTTGGTTTTTTCTGAGCGTCATCAACCACTGTAAATTTGGATCCACTTGTATCCCAATTTTGACCCATGCCAGTACAACCTTCGCTCTAACATCATATACACAAATGGCAAATGGTAAATTCAAAAGAAACTATGCTCAAAAGGGAAATATGGTTTCACTGAAGGATTCGCTATTTATCAGAGAGTATACGGGTGCTGGGGGGATAAAAGTTTTGGCAAGATGACGGTCAATGTCGCAAGTGTCCAACTCGTGCATATTGGAGATTTGGAGATTATCATCCCATGAAGTTCCGGGAAAAATCTGTCATGATACACACGATATTTTGTGATGCCAAACACAATCATGATAATATCATAAGAATATCCGGAAAAAAATGAATATGATCATAACTACTATGTATTCTGACAACTAAATATGATCAGAATCAAATATCGTAAGGTTTGATGATAATCAGCAAATAATGAACACAAAATCAGCTGTATAAATTATATAAATGTCGATAGTAAAATAAATATGTGTAATTATATACTATATATAGGGATCATTGCCCCTCATCATCATCCAGTGACGTCACAAATGAGGTCTTTACAATTGATCCATACATATACCCAAATTGGAATACAGTTGGTTAGCTCTAAATCCCGTTAATAAAATTAAATCCCCATTATCCGATGACTGATTGAATGTCCGTAGCTAGTTATATCCCATTGTTATCTCCCATTAAATTCCATGAAATCCCATTGTATCCAAAAAAATATTATACAAATCACCATAAAATAAAATCCCATTGAATCCCGTTCTATCACCATAAAAATCCCATTAAATCCCACTCAAAACCCATTAAAGTCTTAATAAATCACCATAAGATCCCATCAAATTCCACTACATCCCATAGCTAAGCCCCATGAAAATCCCCTTCGTCGAACTCCGAGTCACTCCCACGGTTCTTCCGGAAGTCCAGCACTGGGCGTCGGCGCCACAGGCGGCGCCGGCCAAGTAGGAAAGCCTCGCTCAGCTCCAAACTGAGATGTACCTGGGATGTTCGTGAAAAGATATATCAAAGGTGACTGCAAGTAAATGTATATATATATATATATGTATTGTTTTAGAAAGTTTATAGTTATATATGTTTATAATGGGTGTGTGTGTAAATAAATGTATATAATGTATATATTATTCTATATTTGTATATATATATACACATGTTATATATATATATACATATACATATATATATATATACACACATATGTTACAGATGTTGACCCGAGCGTGCCAGAACCTACGGGGGCCCAACTCGCCCAGTATGTAGCCATGGATGTAAAGGAATATGGGTGCAAGTTGGGAGCTGATTTTGCGGGTGCCACCTAGCTGTCTGGCTGGAATTCACATGGACTGGCCGCAGCTTCAGTGGGCCGAGGGAAAAAAATATGCTACATACATACATATATATATAATTATATAATTATAATATCTATGTTTTACTTATTTAATTGCTTTAAAATAATGTCTGTATATAAATCAAATGAAAAAAAAAACACAGTTTTTTTAATATTTTTTGGAAGAGTCCTAAGTCATCAATTTTTTCATTCGATTCATATACATACATTGTTGTAAAGGTATTATTAAATAGATACTAAAGTTTATAGATATGACTTTTCTCAATTTTTAATTTTTCGTTTTTCCGTTTCCCGTTTTGTTTCCCCGTGGTGTCTCCCCGTTGTGTCTCCCTGTTGCGCACGAGCGTGATGACTTAGGATCATTTGAGTATGTTTCTGCTAGTTAAGTCCTATTTCATCATGGTTTTACGAATGTTCCATGCCGCACTAAAAATCAAACATAGTTCCTAATCTCATTCGGACACCTGATGACATAGCACTTGTCCAGGGGGGCGTCCGACGCATGATGACATAGGACTTGGCCACCCCAGGGTATCTTTCACTAGTCCAAAGTCACGGGTGCCTAACATATATTGTTCCTCTATCCAATTTCCTCGGCTTCATCACGTCACCAATCACTACCGTCGTCAACAATGAATTCAATCAGTTGAATCCCAGCAAAATCTGAACGCCATCGTGACCCCATTCCGGAACCACCCAATGACAACTCCGAGTCCTCAGCCGTTCTCTTGGGCAGTCTCGCTTCTGCATCGCGAAGGTGTATGAAGCTCACCATGATTTTCAGGGGTGATTTTCCTGGCTCACCATGGTCAGGTTTGGAAAGTCGAAACCAGCGTTGTGCACAGGGATGTTGTCGATCAAATCGGTGAGATTCTCCGGAAGCTTTGTCGAATGAAATGCGCAAAGGTTGGCGCTGGGGAGGTGTTTGCGGGACAACAGACGTGTCTTTGCCTCTCATGACAGTCACCGCCGAGAAAAGCGGGGTGTCGTCACAACAACATGTTCACAACCTCCTGGCAGCCAAACGAATGCATAACATATGTTTCCATCAAGTGCATTGAGTCTAGAGTCTGTTTCATGGTACCCGACCAACATGACCCGGATCAGTCAAAGTGCTCACCATGTCGATGCAGTGCCTGTGCTTTGCGGTGTTTCTGAATAAGGGTATCTTTGGACGGGCTCCGCTGGCTGAGTTGGACCATGGCCAGGATACAAAACGCTGTGATGATCCATGGTGGAACCGCACAGCGGCAACTAAGGCTACGAATGGTTGGGCATGCCAGGCAAGAAATGATATGAGATCATGCGTGCTACCGGCATGGAAACTCACCCAAGCCTGAAGCAACGTGGATGTGAACGTGATTGTGGTTGAAATGGACGTGCTTGATGTGGATGCGCGTGACGTGGATGTACTTGATGACGGCGCATCTGCATGCACAAAGGAGTCGCATCTGCAAAGTCAAGTATGCGCAACGCTTGCTATTGCTGCTTTGGTGTGTCTGCGGGTCCCTGGTGTTTCCCTGAACTAAATCGGACGGCCAAACCCATCATCAACACTAGTCACCGGTGCTGCTCCTAAACTGCAACATGGAATCAACTGATGCAGAAAGAGAGGACTCAACGATGCCCAAACTAGTGCAATTACTTTGCCTCAATTGATCCCCGCAGTCTGACATTTTGACTTGACATTTGTTTTGACATCTTCAAGTGACTCGCTGTCCAACCTTGCCACTTTTTACTGCACTAGCAAGGACTTCCGAAAGTGCGGCGGCCTTGAACTTCGCACCTTCTGCTTTCAGCTCCTCACAGCAAGTTGGTGCCAAATCTGGCCACATGTTCTTCAGTCTGTGTATTTGCACTACTTCCATTTCACAAGATATCCATCCAGCGTCAGCCATGTTCATGCAAGCTCTGTGCTCCCAAATGCAGCGGTCCTTCAGGGCCATTTTGGCCAGCACCCTCGTCAGCCAATGTGGGTATTCCGCGGCCATCTCAAAAATGCAGGGCTGTGGGGTGGAGGAGCTTCAAACACATTTTCAATTTTGGTTCACTTCGGAAACATGGACCAATGGACACAAAGGATCCCTGTAATTCCGAACCGACATGCTGCCAGCTGCCGTCTGCACCTCTACGGTATCAGTGGTGCTGCTGCGCACAAGGTGCTTGTGATGCCTTGTGACCGGGCATCAAGCTTCTAAGCTGAGGGTGATTTATCATTTGGCATGGTGTGAATCTTGCACCACACTGTCTGGAACAAACCCTTTATGTGCACAACTCACAGGTAACACAATGTACATACAATGCACTTACAGTAAGTCATCTTAATTCAAGTAGTGACGCATGTGTACCGCACGTGCGTTCATGTCGATCACATGAGTTCCATGTCAGGGACTCCAAGCAAAAATGCTGCTGCACCAGCAATCACGATGGCAAAGAGACCGAACCTAAGGCCAAATGCAATGAAAAGCATGCAAAAGCATGCAAAGGAGCTCTTGAACGCTCCATGACCGCAATGGGCACTGAATGTGAAGTGTTTCGCAGATAGGTGCGTGGCAATGCACAACTATGATTTCAAGTTGGCTTGGCACATGTAGCCATGCAGCGGAGTGTGACCCGCCGAGTAAACTGAAGACATATGAAGCAATGGAATCTTGAAGCTTCGATTTTGCACATTGTGGCCAATAGCTTGGCCAATTCTCGTGTCCTAGCTGTGTTGCGCTGAGTACTTCACACAGCCCATCGCGCTGGCTTTGGCGCTCCGGGAGAGGTCACAGGCCTCAACAAGCAGGAGCTGGCTCGAAAGTGTGAAAACATCGTTCCCCCCACCCCGTCTTCAACGTAGCAGCAAGAGCATGACTAAGGCCAAGCGAAGGTTAACATCCATGACGAGTCCGCTGGCTAGCAAAGACGAGCAGTAAAGACAACAAAGAAGCACATCTGACAACAAAATGAAACTTTCAATAGGGCAATTTGGATCTGTTGGATATTTTTGAACCCGTTATCTGCTCACTTCGGAAATCCACGTGCTCGATGCTCTTGAAGGCTCAAAATGCCCAAGCCGGACACCCGCTCGCTATCCGATGCCTTTCCCAGCTGAGCGCATAACATCGGAAGAGCTTCATATATGACCTCGGTTGAATCACATGCCAAACCCGATTCCTGGAGCCAAGAAAGCCTGGCAACGCGGCCGATTCATGAAAACATATGAAAAACATACCGAACATACCCGTGAAACATAAAGGCCTCACAGGAATTGCTCCCAAATTTGTCTGATACAGGCAATCGCTAAGGACAAAACACGGCCATTTTTCCACAGAGAAAGACCTGCGCCAAATTCAAGACGATGCCTCAAATCTCAAATGAATTCAAATGAAAGATCATTGACATGTTCGCGCGGCAAAAACAAATCTTCGGGCTGCCACAAGATCAGGATAGGCCAAATCCTTTGGGCTCGGCTCAATGCACAAAGTTATCTAGGTAACTGCCGTTATTCGGGTGAAACTTGAAACTAAGAGCGGCTACGCTAGCCCATTGAAACTCAGATCAAGAATCTTAACTAGTCGATTTCTTCCCGGTAGGACCTGGAAACGCTCTGCTGCGCATCAGCCCAACGGGCTGTGCCGAAGATCGGATCTCCGATCAGAGTAGGCAAACAGCTTCTACTCCAATCGTTCCAATCCTCCGGGCTGGTGGAGGCCTGGGAAGTCTGCTTTCCCACATGTTGTGATGAATCTGCATCCCCTTCAAGGATGCGCTTCTCATCTTCCTCAGCAGCCCAGGGCATGGCACTTTCTCCACCTCCAGGAGCTGACTTCCGTTCCGGCTCATGCCATTCCTCCTTCACTCTTCCGCAACAACAGGACTCTCCTATGCCGCTGAGGGAAACACTGGAACTGTGATGGAGTTGAAATCTGGCTACTTGAGCATTAAAAATCATACGGTATCATGACATGTCATGAGGATGCTTGGAGCACATCACAAGTGTATCCTGTAGGTCCTGGCAATCTTTTGCCAAGAGTCAACAGTCAGGCTACTTTCGCATATTAACTCAACGCGGCTAAACTTTCAAAGGACAATTGAGTTTTGGATCAAAATACAACCAAAAGTCGCCCAAAAACCATGACTGGTATTGGTCGATGTTCACCGTCCCGTTTGATCCTGGTCGTCCGCGTGTCTCGATCGGTGCGTTCACTAGTTCTCGGACAAAACATCACCTGTTTGTGGCTAGTCCAGCTTGATCCCAACGGGGACAAATTTCTGGTAAATGATGGTAATTATGTAACTGCACGGAGATGCACTGAGATTTTTGGTGTTCATTGCATTTTACTGCCAACTCATGTGGCTCCTCACCCCAAAATTCAACCCCAAAACCAGAAATGTCAGCCATCGATCCACTCCCAAGCCGTCGGCTCACAGAGACAGAGGTTAAAACCACCACTAAAGTGCACACACCTGCACCGATGATTTTCTTAGTTTCAGATCTTGCTGTGAGATCAAACCGTTGAAAAACCAGCTCTTTCAATGACCTTTGATATTGGTGGTTGCTGCAACATCACAATGCCTAGCTTAGAGCTTGGTCTCGTGAGACATGTCAGCACAAGTCGACCCCTCCCCAAGCTGCCTAACATGCAAATGACGCTCGCCAGGGCCACTTGTTTCAGTGACCTGATCCCAAAGGTAGAGTCAGAGATCTTGAAACTCATCACATGAGTTACTTGCTTGGGCAGGCACCATAAATGCATTTTGTACAATAGTGGCACAAACATTTTGAACACAATGCATGGAATCATCAAAGTCCAAAGACTTCTGGCATCTGCTGTTTTTTTTGGTCAATTTCATCAGACTAAATGTTGCACTGCTCGTGCCTCAGCAATGATCCTGGCAAGCATAACAACGCCGCAAGCAAAACCTGAAGGCAATCGGATTCAAGCCCTCCGGCCGAGCTCAGTGAGCACCGCTGGACCTCAACCTGGGACCCGCCGAGCTCAGTGAGCACCGCTGGACCTCAACCTGGGACCTTCCGAGCTCAGTGAGCACCGCTGGACCTCAACGGCCAGATAGAATGCTAGAAGATATGCCAGATAGAACGCCAGAAGATATGCCAGATGGAATGCCAGAAGGTATGCCAGATAAAGTGCCAGAATGTTTGCCAGATAGAATGCCAGAAGATTTGCCAGATAGAATGTCAGATAGAATGCCAGAAGGTATGCCAGATAAAGTGCCAGAATGTTTGCCAGATAGAACGCCAGAAGATTTGCCAGATAGGATGTCAGAAGATATGCCAGAAGATATGCCAGACAGAATGCCAGAAGATATGCCAGAACATATGCCAGAAGATATGCCAGGCAGAATGCCAGAAGATATGCCAGAAGATATGTCAGATAGAATGCCAGAAGATTTGCCAGTAACAAAACGTATAGATGTCATGGTGGGGATCACACGAAGTAAAGTAATTTGTGAAATATTTTGTGAAAAATAAACAAAAGAAGACATATAAAAACATATTCCAAAAATATATCAAAAATGAAAAGTGAAAAAAAATATAATATGTATATGCACCCTCAGAAATCTAGGGGGAACCCAAAATCAATCCATGTAGATTCAGCACTAAAACCAGCCTTTCTGTGATGGATAGGAGAATGATGAGGAATGGGATTGTGACTTAGACCAATCCCAAGAGGTGCATACCGAGGCTGGTTGGAGGTTTGCGTTGCTCATTCTTCAAGGTATCGATGGACCACAAGGGTTCCAAACAGATAGCCCTCAACCGGATTTTCCCCACAACAAATCAAGACCCAGCGGATGTAAGCGTTTGACACCATATTTCTAGCGGAAAAAAAACACACAACACGCACGACGCACATATCAACTTTGTCAAAAACCACTCGGCAAGCCCAGGCTATCCCAGGGTGCTGGGCCAGTAGGTGGAGTAGTCGGCATAGTACTCTTTTTCAAGCCACGAGCCTGGCTGGATAGTGTCAACAGATTCAATACCAAACCAGTTCTTTTTAGGGCATTGTTATCTGGTTGGTGGTTTCAACCCCTTTTTTCCTTTCCTGCTGCTGTGCCGTGTTGGCACTTGGTCGGGTTTCAACCCCTCTGAAAAATATTAGTCAGTTGGAATTATTATTCGGATCCCAATAAAAAAGGAAAAATAAAAAATGTTCCAAACCACCAACCAGTTATTCATCTAGGGTAAAGGGATTCAATCGAAATTGGCAGTAGCTACCGTTGGTTCCGTTCCAGGGTTTACTTGGTGTCCGATATTGATGATTCCGTATGGAGGTGATCATCATGGTTAAATCAGCCCAACCCCTCAAGTACTCGAGTTTGGCCGAGTTTGCTCATTTTGTGCCCATGAAAAACCATACTTAAACCGCCATTCAAAATACCAAACAACAACATAAATCACGATTTATTATATATATATATCATAATACATATCATAATGCATATCATAATACATATTATAATAGCCCAAAAAAAAAACTCTACTGTAAATATCTCTGGTTTCATCCCATTCTCTCAGTGGTTTCCCCCTGCGCCTAAAGCAAGTCTCTGAGAGTCTGTCCAAGGCGAGTATCTCGCCATGGCTCAGAGAACCACGCCACGTTGAGCGTACGGCTCGGCCGGGCTTGGACGCCGAAACTGCGGGGTGTGAATGTTGATGGTGACTTCGGCCATTGATCATAAGTCATGAGTCATCATATGAAGCATTGATAAAATGAACCATTGATAATTTAAGAAGTAATGATGTTTTGACTTATCAGGTTATTATATGTTATTATCAATGGTTCATTATGAATAATAATAACCTGGTGATAATCACTACTCATTTAGAACACTACTCATAAAAAGAAAAAACTGATAATAAGCTCTTGTTACAAGATGTTAAAGTGGTTATAAATGGTCAAAAAGAACATCATACCAATATAGTCATAACATATTAGAACCATTTATAAGCCATCAGTTGGGCAGCGAAATCGTTAAGTTCAATGACTAAGAAGTGCCAACCCATGTGAACCCTGCACCTGGGTGGTGTTTTTTTCAAATCTTCAGAGGTGTGATTTCGACAAATGTTGGCTAAAAATTGACCCAAGTGCTCATATGATCATATTTGGGATGTAGTACTGGTATAGACAAATAATTGGGATGTAGTACTGCTGGTAATGATTTTCTGCTGTACATCATTTCTCCCCCCCAAAAAAAATCACCAGCAAAGACATCCTTGGCTTTGCCTCCCTCAAAGTCCCGCCTCCAGGCTACTTCTGGACTTGAGATTCAAACGCGCGACAACGGCCTGATGGGCTGCCAAGCTGCTGGGAGAAAAAATCAAAGATCCTCCCTGGGCCTGTCGATCTTCCAGGTCCTTGTCATAGATGACCTCGTGAATTCCTTGGCTGCAAAGTATAATATGAAAATAAAAGCTTGGTGGGGGCACTCTTTCTAATATAAATATGTATACATACGCAACAATATACTTAATTGATCTTAATTATATTTATAGAGTTTGTTTGTTCGGGATGGTTCGGGAACACTACCATCAAAGGTTTGGATATCCGCGAGCGTTGATAACTTGCCATAGGAAGATCATCGTAGCAGTCCAAGCACTGCGAAGCACTTGAGTGAACCACGGCGAACACTGCAATGCCGAACTGCTCTTGGTGAAAAATTCCCCGTATCTATCCTTATCTAACATCCCTTATCCCCTATTTTTCTATGGTTATGAATGAAATTCTTAGGTGATTTGAAGATGATTTCGTGGTGGTGATGAAACACGAAGTTGATTGATCCCTCCACTTTGGCCCTGGACAAGCTGGTCAAACATGCTCCCCGTGCGACATGTGAGCATCGAATGCACAATCGCATCAAGCCCGCTGGCTTTCACCAACTTAAATTGACATCTCACATCTATGATCATCTATGATATGCCATTCCCCTTTGATCAATCGGTATCCTCCTTTTCAGAAACAGGTCTAGTGCTCCAAGGCTCCATATTTGAAAGCATCAGTGAAGTCCTTCCACCTGCCGAAAAACTTCTCCGGCATCTCTTTGCAAACAATGACTTCTTGCAGTCCTGGGAGACGAACTCAACTGGTCCCATTGGTTGGATTTTTCTCCAAGGAAATCATCCAAAATGGCAGTGGAATGCCACAATGGACAAATTTGGGCGCAAGGTTCCATGGCCCAAAGGGGAAACCCCGTGTCAGAGCAGAGCACTACTCTGTTTCATGTGTTCCCCTAAAATGAACCACGTTGATCCGCGAAATATGTAGATTCCAAGGGTGTCAATGTTGGAGCACATACATTTCTACCCAACTTGGACTGATATAGCACTGAATTACACCCTTCTCGCTAGCCGCTAGTTGCCGTCCCACTCATTGTTTGCGAGCACTTTTGACAAGCCGAACCGACCATCGCTGAAGATCCTTGGTCTTCTCACTTAGATCCACTTGAAAATACAATGATTTGTCCGATAATGAAACCCAAACATAAGCCTACCATTTGGGTATAAACTTGGAATCCCATCCATTTATGTTGATTTTGGGGGATGGCTTACCACACTACTGAAGATACAACGTTGTTTGATCTACGTTAAGATCATCCATATCCAGCCATGCCCAGAGCTCCTGTGTTCCTGGCTGCGTCACGCAGCACTTCGCCCAGGGCTGCGCTGGGGTGCCAAACATCTCTGGGTGGAGGTAGCACCAAGACAGATACACCTGGCACGACTGGCACGATGATCAAAAATGTGGAGGATCACCATGGATCACCTCTGCAAAAACACGATGATAAGATATCGACTATAAATGACTATATGCTGTAATTATATTGATAAAGAAGTTGAATGACGTTTATGGATAATAAGTGTAGTTCGGATTTCAACACTGACATTTCTCATGGAGGAACGACTGGAAGACGAAAACATTGCCATGTGAACCTTGCTGCTCTGCCAAGCTCATCAACTGCTGAAACTTCTCCATGACTCGCACTCTCTCCTCCTGGATTGGTTTCAGGGACAACATTTACAGGAAAATTATGGAAACACCATGAAACACCCATGCTTTTGATGGGAAAAAACATGGGTTCGAGTTTCGACTGTAGATTCGGCCTGAAATCATCCGAACCTGGACGACCTTTCAGCTTGGAGCTACTCCATGAGATGCGACCGCATCTTGGGGGACCTTCCAACTTCCTGTGGCAGATTGATTCACTTTTATGCGGTGGTGGCCCCAGGAATTTATTACTCTTATTATACTATATACTTATTAGTAAAAACGCATGTATGGAACATCAAACCGTGCATTGATTCCCGACGAGCCCATGGGTTTTCCGATATTTATCATACACTATTCATGTCAACTTACAGAAGATCTGGAGAGTAAAACATCCACCCGACTTTTTCAAAGCTGACACACGTCACTAAATGTAGCTGAACTGACCTTGGACTCTGGAGCTGTCACCACCAAAAACTGGATAGCCCCACGTCACCACGCTTCCACCAGCCAAAATCGCAGCAAAAGCACCGTATGTGCTACAAATCTGCTGGACATTCTTGAGCTGATGTTGGACTCTGGAGCTGTCACCACCATAGCCTGGATTGCCCCACGTCACCACGCTTTCACCTGCCAAAATTGCAGCAAAAGCACTGTGCGTGCCACAAATCTGCTGGACCTTCTTGAGCTGATGTTGGACTCTGGAGCTGTCACCACCATAGCCTGGATTGCCCCATGTCACCACGCTTCCATCTGCCAAAATTGCAGCAAAAGCACTGGCTGTGCCACAAATCTGCTCGACATTTTGGAGCTGATGTCGGACTCTGGAGCTGTCGCCACCAAAGTCTGACATGCCCCACGTCACCACGCGTCCATCTGCCAAAATTGCAGCAAAAGCACCCTCTGTGCCAGAAATCTGCTCGACATTTTTGAGCTGATGTTGGACTCTGGAGCTGTCGCCACCAAAGTCTGACAGGCCCCACGTCACCACGCTTCCATCTGCTAAAATTGCAGCAAAAGCACCATACGTGCCACAAATGTGCTGGACATTCCTGAGCTGAGGCTGGACTCTGGAGCTGTCACCACCATAGCCTGGGCCCCATGTCACCACGTTTCCATCTGCCAAAATCGCAGCAAAAGCTTCGTTTGTGCCACAAATCTGCTGTACATTTATGAGCCGATGTTGGACACTGGAGCTGTCACCACCATAGCCTGGAGTGCCCCATGTCACCACGCTTCCATCTGCCAAAATTGCAGCAAAAGCACCCTCTGTGCCAGAAATCTGTTGGACATTTTTGAGGTGATGTTGGACTCCGGAGCTGTCACCACCATAGTCTGGATTGCCCCATGTCACCACGCTTCCATCTGCCAAAATTGCAGCAAAAGCACCGTGCCTGCCACAAATCTGCTTGACATTCCTAAGCTGATGCTGGACTCTGAAGCTGTCACCACCTTTGTCTTGATCGCCCCAGGTGACAACCCTGTCAGCTCCAATACACCACAAAGCAAAGGCAGACCTTGTCGCAGCTAGCTTTGGCTGCTGGACGACAGCTGTAAGGTTTTCTCCATCTCGAAGCCCAGAAAGTCGAAGAGATTCTGCTGGGTCGAAAAGGCGCCCGTCAGGTGCAGCAAGCTTGAGGAAACGTTGCCCCAGAGACTCTTGTGCTGCTGTTTTCAAGTCAGCGACGGTGCCAATCCGTGAGACTGCAACGGTTTCACGCCGTCCACTTGGCAAAGACACGTCAAATTTGATGAAACTGTCAGACACCTGACCATCCACAGTTTCGCGATTCATGGCACAAAAACAAAGGCGTATCTGAAATTATCTGAAGAGATTCTATTATCCAAACATTCTCCAAACATCAATATCAGCGCTTTTCCCACCCAGAATTGGATGATGGGAAAAGGAAACCTCAGCCAATTTGGAGCTAAACTGACTATGGTTTCAGCTGCAGATTTGCCAACCAAAAAAACATATTGATTCCCCATCTGAACAGCTTTGTTTTTTCATGGCAAGGTGCGGCTAAACAATTAGACATTCTCCAAGCATCAGTGCCAAAATCTCTTCACTGCTGACTCTACGGTGGATTCCCGGTGGATATTTGATTGATTTTGACTTTATCTTCCTATGTGTTGAGTTGCTGGGAGCCAAAACAAATACCACGTTTGCATCACTAGGGGGTGCAACGATGAACATTTCAGGGTGGTGGTTCTAATCCACTCAATGGCGACATCTTTCAAAAATCAAGGTTTTGCGGAGAGTCTAGAACTGTAGCTTCACCATTTGGCCAGAATACCATTTACGTATTCTGACCGAGTGGATACCCCATGAACATGCCCATTTAACAAGGCACACTTCATATCAAGGCACACAACTCGAGCAGTCCTCTTTGAGGTAGTGATCTTTCTCCGAGACATCAGGGTTTCGCTGCAAGTTGAGCCAAATGACATCCATCCTGACACATGGTGGCCAAGGTTTTTCGGACGACTGGTTCCTTGAAACAAAAAAGGTCAGCCAATGAAACATATGAAACTAGGGGGTTTAAAAGCGAAGAATTGAACGGTTAAACAGAAGTTTCTAGACTCTTGAAAACTGACTTCGAAACAATGAAACCCAACAAAATGGCTTCGCAAGATGAATTTCCTATTGGAAATTACTTTGGGGTTCAGGTAAGTTTGAGGGAGCAGAGTATGATCAGCAAGATGTTCAGCACCCTTCAGGGTTTGTGTCAAGTTCAGAAAATCAGAGAGGAAAAGAACAAATCCAAGCAGATTCACGCAATAGGCCATGGCAGCTATGCCTCAGAATTCGGTCCTAAACTGCACGAGCAAGTGCTACACATATATATATATTATATATATAGATATATACGTATATATACACACATGTTTTTTCTTTAAATAAATTATATAATCTAGTTTGATGCATCCACAGAGCCAAGGATTTTCATATCCAACATGTTAATTATCCTCCGGCAATCTAACCTGGCGCTGGGACACCTCCCTATTAACTACCCTCTGGTAAACTAGCATAGCTATTGAAAATGGCCATTTATAGTGGATTCACCCATCAAAAATGGTGATTTTCCACAGTTATGTTAGTTTACCAGAGGGTAATTTAATATATTTCACACTTCACCAAAGTTCATCAACATTCCAAAAAAAAACACGACACGCGCACCAAAAAAACATCTCCGATTGATCCATCTCCGACTTCTCCCACTGAAAAATATCGCCAAATCCATGGATTTTCCGCAGATGTTCCATAAGTTCCATAGTGTTTTCATGGATTTGCCGCTATTGCCAGAGATTTTCCCATAGATGCCATAGAGGTTTCATAGATTTTCCCATGTTCTGGTGATTTTCCCAGGCATTTTTCCATGGATTTTCCACCTCCCATGGCTTTCCCCTGTGATCCCCGCGCCTCTGTGCCTGGGGCAGCCACGGCGCCCCTTCCTCCAAGGGGCCACGGAGCAACGAGACGTCGGAGGTGTAGACGGCCACGTCCTCCTGGAGTTCGAAATCGGGAAATCGAAACGGGAAACCAGGGTTGATCTGGGAATTTCTGGAGTTTTTTTTTTCTATTGGGAAAATTTGGGAAATTCTAGATTCTAGATGATTGATATGGGAAATTTCGGTCGGAAACTATATGATTGTTGCCTTTTTTTTTATGGGAAATTGTTTTTTTATAAGGAACCTATATGGTTTGGATGGATAAATTATCATAAATCTATGAAACTATGGATATGTGGAAAAAAACATAGGAAACTATGATTGTTTACAGGAAAAATCTGTAGGAAGCTCTGGTATACTTTGTTTTTATGGGAAAATTCTAGAGGAAACAATGGCTAATGGGGAAATCTATGAAACTATCAGTTTTTAAAGGGATCAACCAGAAGATGCCGGAAGAACCCATGATGGCATCGATGATGCTGAATTTCCTTCATTTCTGGATGCTTTGACTATTCGAACTCTTTTTCTTCGGGGTTGCTTTAAATGGGAAATCTATAACTAGGAAACTGGCTGACTTCCAATAGTTGTTTTAGGGGGCCTCTGAAGAGTTGCCTGCAATCCGATCTTGGGATCGTTTTCCCCCAAGGCCGGTATTGTTATTGTGAAACCAACTTGACTGCTGAACTTCTATTGTGAATACGTATGTTTATTATAATATTACTAGTGCTATTACTATATTACTACATATTATTACCATCGTTCTTGTTGTTACATGCTAGTAACGTATATGTCCAAGCCCTGGTACCCAAAAAAAACACATCTGCGTGGCGTAGCTGTATTGGAGCATTCCCATCCTAAAATCTCCAACCAAATTCGACAAAATTAAAGCAATTGGGTCTTCGCCTACAAAATCCAACAGAAATGCTGGTTCTTTACAGAAAGACACCAAAATGCATCGAAATGCTATGAATTCTGATTCATTGAATAAACCCACAGCTTTGGGACCTTAAATCAGCGATACCAAAACTGCCCGCGGTCACTGCATGTGGCTTTGTCTGAAAATGGTGAATACCAAGAATGTAAAATTTTCATGGAGAAAATGATGACAAGCCATGTGATGTTGTTTGGTATCCTATTTTCAGACAAACCCATTTTCGAGGTGTTCGTCCTCCAGTGTCGAAAGTGGCGAATGGATCTGCCTTTCCATCTCAAACAGAGCCTCCATCAGGTGTCGTGTAGGTGGATGTGACATTTGCTGAAACTCCATTCTTCGACAAATAGGGGGTTTTGTTGAGCCACCCATAACTATGCCTCACATGTTTGGTGCTTCAAGACAAACCTCCTTGAAACAGAAACCACTCAGTAATCAGACACTTGAATGACTCACCCCCAAACAGCTTCATAATGAATCCCGTCCCCCTTTACCTTAAACACCCAGGAACCATGGTTTACCCTCTGGTAAATTAACATAGCCATTGAAAATGGCCATTTATAGTGGATTTACCCATAAAAAATGGTGATTTTCCATAGCTATGTTAGTTTACCAGAGGGTAGTAGTGAGATTTACACTTCGGAGCCTTCCACCCATCCATCCCACCTTCAAGTAGCTGCTTCTCAGCCAGAGGGGATCCATCTCCAGATGCTTTACGGTGAAGGCCCAGTTCGAGGTGATCCGCACAAGGGCCACTTTCCGTTCCTGCCATGGGCCACGCATGGTCAGGCTTTCATATCATAGGGCGGATGGAAATCAAATGGCAATCTTCAGCAACAAAACATCTAGGAACATCTAGGAACTAGATGTCAGCGAGGTCCTATCTAGATCTATGACTGTCACTGGATCTTGAATTCTCAAGGTGGTCAACTGTGACATTGGACCATGTTGGACCCATGTGTCACTCCAGCTTCAGCTAAGGTGCTTCTTCAGCATGCGCCAAACACACATCCACTGCCAGGGAGTCAGAAACGGTGCAAACCGCACCGCCGTGCACCTCCCAGGTCGAAGATCATGAAAGCGGTCCCTTAGATGAGCCTTGGAGTTAGTTAACTTAAAGATACTTATATAAAGGGATTATACTTAGGATATTGTGAATTTTACAAACCAAGTTACTAACCAGCTAGCTAATCCCATGGCCCATCTAAGTACAGCTCTTGATAGGATCTGTGACACAGAATCGCCATCGCCCATTCAGCAGAGCATAGGACGCCTCCCTCGAGGCTTTTACAGCGGGAAGCCGTACCAAACGAGACCTGCGGCCATCCAGTGGCCATTGAAACCACTCTGGACCCACTGGAATCTCAATCTTGAGCTCAAAGTTTTGCAAGACTCAGTTGATAGCTAAGACAGCTAAGACAATGCTAACATATGCTAACACGCATTGTCAATCACGTTTTTTTTCCTACTCTGTGTGTGGGGAAGAAGTCAATCAACAGTTGACAAACATGTTCCGATGGTGTGACGACCCCGTCTCCTTCTGAGGCTACGGGCATTGGAATGCGTACGCCTTCACACTTCTGATCTCTGGACCAGTAGAATCCCTGGGCGACTCTGAAATATCATGGAAGGCGGTATGGCATACCTATGATTGTCCTCACCAATCGACTGCCGAAACATTCAACCTAGAGGCAGTATCCATAGTATCCAAATTACACACGGCCTGGGAAAAGATCTGTTCAACCAAAGGATTGCAGCAATCCACTACCAGCACGTTACCCCATATTTAAAAAAAAAAAAGGTACTGCTTGGCGCACCTGATCTACGGCTTGCAAGATTCCTGTGGCCACCGCTGCCAGCAGCCCCTGCCAAGGGTGGGATGCAATATGATGGAAGCCTCTCCAAAAATGGCTGGAGCATCATCTGCAGTTAAGATGGGAGACGCCGCCACAACGCCCTCTATGGAGCTTCATTCTGGTGGGTATGTCGTTTTTATGGTTCGGGTGTGGAAGCCTCCAATGATGATATCAATGGGCCATCTGCAGAATAGTTGATACAAAATAGCTTGAACAATGTATGCTTGGCGATACATAGTATCTCCATTGATTTTGTCAAAATATTAGTCTACTATTCGTGAAACGAAGGAGGGAACACATAGGTTTTGAAGCCCCAGCCATTGGGCAACCTATGGTTTATAATTTATAATGGTTAATGGTCAATAGTGGGGGGTATAACATGGTATAACCAACAAAAAAAAGTATAGTAAAGAATAGACCAAAAAGGGAAAACATTTTGTGATAACAACAATAGCTCTTGATAACAACAATATTTGGTTTTCTCTGGAAATAGGCTACCCCCTATACTCCCTATTCCAATGGATTATCATCATCTTCCCAGAAAAAGATTGCCATTTTGGGATATAAATGTTCAGACATACCCATATAGTTGGATGGATATGTATATATATATATATCCCGCTCTTTCCCCATTACATCCCCTTAAATCCCTATTGATGGCTAAATCACCATAGAATAACGAATGGTGAATAATAGATAGGCTTGACCAATGTCCAAATGTCCAGATCGCCGCACCTGCCGTCGCGAGGCAGGCGGGGCTGCTGCAGCAATCAAAGGACCAGAGACTTCACCTGTTCGGTTCTGCAACCAACTGTACTCTCTGGTAAACTAACATAACTATGGAAAATCACCATTTTTCATGGGAAAATCCATTATAAATGGCCATGTTCAATAGCTATGTTAGTTTACCAGAGGGTATATGAAATGTATTTGCTTCATATTAGTCCATATTTCGTTGACAATCCACCTGGGGAACGTTGGAAATGTTCAATGGGATTTCATGGTGATTCAACCAACTGTATATGAGGATACACGATGGGACTCTGAGGATCACTAAACCAGGAACAAGATGGAATTCATGGATAGATAACAATTAATGCAATTGAATGTGATTTAATCTAATGGTGATTTAATCATCAACTTATTTCATGGGATTTTTCCGAGGATTTCATGGGGATAGAACGGGATGTAGAACCAACTATAACATACTCTAATTAACTTTCTTTATGGGTATGTCTGAAAATGGGTTGTATATATATATACAGTTCATGGCGATTTTGACAGGGGGAATGATAAAGACTAGAATAGGGTTTCCCCTAAAATTTCAGACGAACCCAAATGGCTCGGGACTTGGATAGCAGCCTTTGGCTGGCAACTTATTTGACACACAGTTCCACAAACGAGTCGGGCATCAGTCTTTGCATGCGAATCGATTGTGCTGAGTGTTGTCTGATTGCAAGTTCAAGCTTCTCTTCCCACCCAGAAACGCAGAACAACGAATGACTTTTTCGCACTTGATCCAGGATGATCAGGAGAAGTGCGGCCCAGTCACGTTTCGGCCGCCTGAAGAGAAATGTGGACTAAAGAGACACGTTCCATACAGGGATGGGTCCCTATTCGTAAGTTAAGGGGTTATAAATGCCAAGATATGGGAGATTATGTGTGAGTTTAACGGTTTAACCCAGATTTGACTGAGATTTCGACCTCATGAGTGGTTGGTTGCTTAACATGTGTGGGGTTTTATGCAGTTATAACATGATAATAAATCAGAAATAGCTTGGATTAGGGCCTAGGGTTCCAGTTCAATGGGGCTAAACCGAGCTGAACTGGTAGGGCTATAGGGGCCATCAACGTTCATGATGTGTCCATTTTGTCCCCTTCAGAAGTGAAAAGGAATAATTCTAATCCAAGATTGGAGATACCCTCTGGTAATTTAACGTAGCTATTGAAAATGACCATTTATATATAGTGGATTTTCTCATTAAAAATTGCGATTTTCCATAGTTATGTTAGTTTACCAGAGGGTACTCAGCTTGGTTGCGCTCTTCAGGTATGGCACGGGCGACGTCTCAAATCAACCTTTCAGAACGTACATTCTGCAATAGCATGATTTGCACCAAACAAATCGAAGATCATTCTTATTATTCAAAAACATGTGTCCTTTGATAGAAGCACCATGATCATCACCCAGATGGCCCAACCTGTTGCTATTTTGACTCTATCAGTATATATTACATAGTTTATATATGTGTGTGATATACACCCAGACATGTTTGGTCATATATCCGGTATATATCAGTATATCATATTATATCCGATATTTCATGGTTGATTCCCCATGTTTGTCTGTTACACCAGCTCCCTCTGCTGGCACCATATCCCTGGCCTAAGCGAGACCGCTGGCAAGTTGCAGGCCATGAAGTGTCTCAGCACCTCCTGGGGCCTTCGCGAAGTCAACTGACGACTGGCGAAGAATGGCTGTACTTTGCTGATGGAAAGTACCCTCTGGTAAACAGCCACATAACTATGGAAAATCACCATTTTTAATGGGAAAACTCACTATTTCTATGGCCATTTTCAATAGCTATGTTAAATTACCAGAGGGTATGCTTTCTTCGATTTCAAGATGTTTCCCCTGTTGTTGTTTTTGGAACCAAGGATTCTCAGGATGAATGACTTTTGTTTGACCAACATCTAGGCAAAAGGCTCCAAAAAGAATGCGTTTCGTACAATGTCGCTTCACTCAGGATGTGACGTAAGCTTTCGCCAGTCCCGGCCCTCTTCCAAATACCTCAGACACCGCAAGACATGTGATAACATTCGATGGGATGGTGAGGATCACTGAACCAATGGGAACAAGACGGGATAAATCAGGTTAGCTGGAATTTGAATGGGATTTAATTGAACGGTGATTGAACCATCAAGTGAACGGGATTTAACAGGATGTAATGGGGATAGAACGGGATATACAACCAACTATAACTATTTTAAGTATGTCTGAAAATGGCGTATATCCTCCAAATTCTATTTGTTTCAGAGGGAAAATGATGATAAACATTGATAAACCACAGGATGAAAATCGGGTACCCAATTTTCAAACAGACCCATCTCAAATCAGCACCGCGGAAGCCGTGCGCTGATCCGCTTGGCTTCCGGCTTCCGGATGCACACATTGCCTGGCCCGGAGACTCGGAGATGATCCCGGCTATTCTGCTGCTTCTCCCGGCTCCCGGAGAATGAGCTCCCCCCAGAAGGGACTGAAGAACAAGCACTTTGCTAAAAATTGGCAAACGATTCCATGACCAATCATGCACTGTTCAGGATGTCCCGACAAATCTGGCTACTTAAGCATTCTCGATCCTTCTGGCAATGGAATCTTCAAAGCAGTCGCAGAGCTACAAAATCCTTCGATGCTGGGGTGTCTGCCGCCTGCTGAAACATGATTCCACTGAGAATCCTTGAAGAATGTAAGATTCTCTTCGCAAACTCGCATGAAATGGGAAGCATAAGTCATGGCTACTTCTAGATATCCTGATATGTGTATGGTGATCCCTGCTCATATATACATATATATATATATGCATATATATGTGGCCAAGAATCACACTACTAACGTATCCATCCAAGGTTTCCCTCACGAAGTCACTTTCCCTCGCCATCAGCGCCTGCTGCAATGCTGTCACTGGCCAAGACCGGGAGATCTGGATGTCGGTGAGGCAGTTGTCGAGGCGTCTGGGAACGCAACCTTTAAAAAGCTCCAGTGCTTCCAACATGATATTTATGACATATAGTTACCCTCTGGTAAACTAACATAGCTATTGAAAATGGCCATTTATAGTGAGTTTTCCCATGAATAATGGTGATTTTCTATAGCTATGTTAGTTTACCAGAGGGTAATATGGTCATGTTAGTAAAGCAATAGTTTCTACCATCCCCATAATCCCCAAATGTCATACCATTTATCCATTTATGGGATGGTATAAACATGTATAAACATCCCGACGGATCTTTCACCGTCCCATGATTTCTCAAAAACGTCGTTCTCGTGCTAGCCAAACGCACATTCTGGGTCCAAAAAAGTTTCTTAAAAAAAGTTCATCGCAAGATGCTTTCGTCAACCCTTCCAGCATTTTGTGGTCAAAAACGTTCCGAGTTCGGTTTTCCTTTTTTCAGCTCACAGTTTTTTTGCATAAATACATGTCCACAGAGACACCAAAAAACATATATATATATAAACATATATATATGTATATAATATAAACATATTTATTTATGTGTATCATATCTATATATGTGTCCATATGTAAACATGAACATTCATATTACATATAGTGATCGCAATATCGGTGTATGTATACATATGTAGATGCGAATACTCTACAGGTAAGAATATATATATATATATAAATGCCCCTACGATCCTCTACGTATCTGTAGTGCAAGCGACCGTTAACATGCCCCACCCCACCCCACCCAACCCCAACCCCATGCGTGACGTAGCATCAACTTCATGACGCAAGTGCAAGCGAACGTTAACATGCCCCAACCCACCCCAACCAACCCCAACCCCATGCGTGACGTAGCATCAACTTCATGACGGAAGTGCAAGCGAACGTTAGCATGCCCCAACCCACCCCACCCAACCCCAACCCCATGCGTGACGTAGCATCAACTTCATGACGCAAGTGCAAGCGAACGTTAACATGCCCCACCCCACCCCACCCAACCCCCACCCCAAGAGGTTTAAGATGATATGTAACAAAAATGTCGAATTTGTGGGCCGGTAAAAGATCCGACTGCATAAACATGTATAAACCATCCATCAATGGATGGATAGAAGCACTGATTCCAACTGACATTGGGCTGGCTGGCTGTTGGAGCGATAGCTGGCCGTTTTCAACTGGTGAGCTCTTCAGAACTCTGCAACAACCCCAGATCCATCTATTTTTGATCAATAAACTACTTACAACAGAGCAAATCCATCGAAGAATCATCAGTGTGCAACTGCGCAACTGCAAAAAACCTGTGGGTACCCCAAAATCATGAGGGCTTCCCACAGGTTGAAATGATCAAGTTTCAATGATTCGTGGGTCCAAAACAATGAGAAAAAACTTGCCAAACGCTCCAGGCCTGACATTTCCTTTGGGCCGCCTGCGATGTCCAGCTTGGATGTCTGAGATCTCGCCCCAGTTCTCACAGACTTGGGTATGGAATCCCTCTGGTAATACCCGGCCTGGTAATGACTGTTACAGTTCGCTATTGAAGCCATGACCCAGTCGAAATAGTGCATGTTCCCCAGCTAGAAAATGGTGGAACTTTCCATAGATTTTTGTATGTAGAAACCAGAGGGTAACCAACAGTTTGCCATGCTGATGGCCCATATCTTCGATGATTCGCCGAACGGACAAATTGTCGATCCAAGACATTTCGGCTTTCGGAATGGCTTTCCCAGGGGGGGTAGCGAATGTATATCGCATGTTGGGGGAAGAGATTGCTTTCTATTCTATCCATTACATTATATCTACTATATCTATTGTATCTACTATATCTATGACACTATATCTATCAGATTTCATTTATATCCATGATACAAATTATACAGATAGCATTAGATATCCATAAGAAAAGATGCTGACATGGTGTCCCGGTGCCCCGGCATTCCCGCCTTGGGGCCATGTCAACGAAAAAGTGCTACCCTCGGAGAACCATGGCTGAGAAATTCCACATGAAAAAAAAACATGGCTAGATGATGTTAATATGTTTTAATGGCTTTTATCATCTAGAAATATTTCGGAAAGCGTCCGTCCAGCCATGTTTGATTACCGGGTGCCGTTCGATTGTGGGCTCGGAATGCTCGGATGCGCCGTTCAAATCGCTGTGAGTTGGCCTTGTCTGGTATTACTTTGCCAATGCAGTGCCGCTTTTGCTACTTACTTGTTCTTGGCATATTGAATCGACTCCACCCTTGAGCAAATGCACCAGTGCTACTTGAACAAGCCAAGCAGTCATTGGTCCAATACCACAGAATGCTTGAAGAGTCTGAAAACCAGATAAAAGCGGTAGCAATGGAATCATAATTTTGCATGCAGTTGTTTCCGGATGTGAATGCAGCCCATGTGCCATCCTTAGTTCCATTAGATTCCTAGTATCCTTGTATTCAAGCAAGATTTTCATACCCAATGGCCCAATGGCGTGTTCTTTTCGCTTCCATTCCTTTTACACAAAAAGGGAGATACCCAAAACACCCCAATGGATTATTCAAAAAAGCAGTGACACCAACCATGACAAGTTTTGACCTCAACTAGTCCCAACTTTAAATTAAATATCCCCAAACGAAGGCCTAGTTTAGTACTGACCGGGCTATCATTTGGGGGTCCCATGCTACAAAAACAGGAGTGTTTAAACATCAAGCCATAGCAAACCCTTGTGGTTGATGGTTGAACGTAGCTTAACATGGGGACTCAGGTTTACTTAAACCCCTCAGTTTAACACATGGGGAGTCAGCGCCATCGGCTTCTTTAAGGGCCGGCTTCTCCTCTCCATCGAAGTCTGGCAACTCGTCCTGGACAGAATCTCAGCCTTCAATGGGATAGATAGGCATAGGATTAGGATAAATGTGTGGCTTCATGAACTTCAACCTCTGCAAAAATGCATTGAAACATATGGCAGTGTGTCAAAACCAATAGTACCCCTGTAGTTCACATCAAAATAGCTGGGATTTATGGATGTTCATTCCCCTAAAAATGGTATTTTCATAGGTATTGATCCATTCCCATATTGAAACCATGTGAAATCGCTGGATCTTCCGCGGAAAATACGGACACCGAACCACGCATCGATTTCACCACCAAAAAACGACCGAATAGAACTTGGGTCGAGCCCACCAAAGCTGGTATGTTTTATAAGTATACAGAAACTGACAAGAAAGGTCAAGGATTTCATCATGGATGATCATCGGAACTCTTCTGAAAACTCTTAATGTCTGTGTATACCCCCCGGAACATTTACTGCGGGGTAACAATTACCCGGTTTTCGACTCAGCATGACAGAAAACAAGGCATCGATGCCTGCGCGTTGAGTATCTCCCACATCGGAAGGGACCACATGACCACACATGACAAAACGGAAAGCAGGAAACCCGATATTTGAGATATATATATACTATATATTATATATATTATATATATTATATATATTATATATATTATATATATATTATATATTATATATATAATATTTGCACATAGATGCACATAGCAATTCCTAGAACCTCAACAGCATTAAACAGCCAGTTGTTGACCCATAAGACCCAGAGCCAAGTAACAGCCATGGTAAGCGACACGACGACCCTTTCTCCCCCAGCCGGGGCCGCGTTCTGAGCCACAGCGATGGCATGAACTTACCATGACATGGTGCGCGGCTGCACAAAATGGGAGAAGTTGAAGAGGGCACACCCTGGATTGATTTATGTAGATGTATTTCAATTGATTTCATTCCTACTTGCATGTTTGGACAGGAAACGCATGTCATTTCATGATGCTTATCTTATATTAATGTTCGACACTTACAGTAGACTATCAAACCAATCCTATCCTGACTATTCACCACTATTCACCACTATTCACTACGTCACAAGGACCCTTTTCTGCCACGGAAGTGCCACGTCTTCTGCGGGCGTAGGAATCGCGCTCAGACTTCCGTCGTTTCCTCTGCTTTAGACCTCGCTAGATCCGCTTGCTTTCTGGCCTGGAGAAACTTGAAACTCCATGGATTTTTGGATGATTTGGATGGTCTTTATGGAGGGGTTTTTGAAGGGTTTGGGGGGGTCAAGATGATTGCTGGTTGGATGATTTTGGATGATTCTTGATGATTTTGGATGATGTTTGATGCTTGATACCACGCATTACACTTGATCCAATCTGAAAACAATACCCTCTGGTAAACTAACATAGCTATGGAAAATCACTATATATTTTTAATGGGAAAATCCACTATAAATGGTTATTTTCAATAGCTATGTTAAATTACCAGAGGGTAACATTATAATAAGCAAGTGATCCTGTTTTCAAAATTATCCAAAGATGTGCCCGTAGAGATGGGAATATTCAAGCCAAAGACCTAAAAAACACTTATTTTTAGGTCCCCATGTTTGAGCATTAGCCATACCTGCAATCAAGTTCATATCTGGGATTCTCCTCGATTGTCAGTCTTTAAAAATGTGCAACTGAAGTGTGGTACACCCAAGCATCAACAACCCTCAATCTGACCGGAAGCTGGTGATGAAAACCGTCCCCGTCATCCCCCATACCACGTGATGGTGATCTCCCGGTTCAGCCAAGCCTTGCACCCCTGAGTATAAAATAAAATCATTGGATTATGATATTGGAATAGACTTTATCGTGTTGCTGGTATATGTGATATGTATGTTGGTATAGTAATATGGTATTTTGTTCTGCTTTCTTATACCTTGTTATTTCCTATGATAACATCATCCCCGATTCCCGAACTCTACGCGTGCAACCTCTGCTTCTTCCAGTTCTTTGCGTGCCTCCCGAAAGGTGGAGTATTGACCCTCCCATGGCAGGAGACAACTCTTTCCTCCTAAAAACTTGGGAATTCCTTGGGGTCCATGTCAGATGGTAAACTGATCCTGGGGGATTTTGGGAGATTTCTATCCAAATGAGTGATTTTGGGGAATTTTGGGGCATCGAATACCATGATTGTTGGGTGTCCGATTTGAAACCGTAAACAATGAATGTCGTTCATCGGTTTCAAGGACAAACATATGCATCAAAATAGCCCATGATACCCCACAATCCCACAACTGGTCATTTTCATGACAATATAGGAATGCACCAGTCCTTTGATTATGGGGCACCCCCTTTCGGGACATATCCAAATGAAATTGAGGGTATGATTGAATGGTTTGATGTTGAAAATCTGATGACCTGTTGACTCTGCGGGGCAGGAGGGTAAGCTAGATGCGCCAAAAACCACACATCATCAATGTGGTTTTGTCCCTGAAAAAAATGTGGTTTATATTACTGTTAGCACCATTTTCCCCGCTATATGAAGGTTTCCATAAATGGTGGTACCCCAATAGCTGGATGCGTTATAATGGAAAATGCTATTGGATGATTTGGGGGTAGCTCAATTTTAGGAAACCCCCATATCTCAAGATACCATGAATTGAGAACCGATCCCCCTTTTTCACCATGCTTTTCAGAGGCCCGCCTTCTCACACCATCTGGCCGTGCGCGTGGAAAAGCGCTGGACCGCTTTTTGCCACGCGACAAGGTCATTCTCCAATTCCAAATAAGATAGTTGACCTCGGGTCCAGGTCCAACCCTCTGGGTCTCCCTAGGTGTGCGCCTTGGTGGATGATATTTCATCATTCATTTTAGTGAATGATGAAACATATTAAATCATATTAAATCATTCCTAATTAATTATACCATTCTTATGGGTGGTATAAACCATCGAAATATGGCTGGTTTATCATTGTTTTACTAAGATTGTGGGATAATCAATTGTAATCAAAATATGATTCAATGGATATGATTCAATGGGATAATATATGATAATATGAATATGTGACACTAAAGTTTGGGGGAAAATATTTGGCGCACCCAGTTAAAGTCTGAAGTAACCTAGTTTTAGTGTGAATTTCCACAGGATTCTTGAAAAAAAATAAACAAACACGACCTTCCCTTAAGATAGACCCTGCCAAACAGTCTGTGGGAAGATCAGTGTCCGCTAAACATGTGCCATTTTCAGTGTCTATATTAGTTGAAGGGAAGGTACAGGTCGGGGAAAAAATCTAGCAATTTCCTCGTGACTGGGATTTGTTTGGAAGAACCAACTTCTGTCCGTTACTAGTTCAAATTGTTTGCAAAGAAACATATGACATATACATATATCATATATTGGTTGTTTCGATCCCAATTTTACGTGGATGACATTCACCATTTGGTTTTGTCCCAGGCATCGTTTTTCCAATATATGTAAGTGGCAATGAATTGGAGGATCTCCTATTTCGGGACAACCCACAATTGTTGCCTACACATCTCATTACACCATATCCATTCATATCCCATTACATCTCCGTTTTATGCCCCTTTTTGTTGGTAAAAATCCCATGTGTCCGTTTTTGGCTGGAAACATGTCATGTATTATCATGCTATAGTTCCATATCAGTTCCTATGTTTCGGCTGACTTTGGTGATCTATACCCTGTGGGAATCAAAACTGGCTACAAGATCCCGTATTCAGTTCGATGATTTTCGCAACTCGAAAACTCTATATGGGTTGTTCGGAGATTTCCTCGTTTGCAGATGGGTTTTTCCATATGGCAGTGGGTCAAAACCTTGTACCCCTGTAGTTCACATCAAAATAGCTGGGATTTATGGATGTTCATCCCACTAAAAATGGTATTTTCATAGGTATTGGTCCATAGCCATATATTCACATTCAAAACCTCCATGCCAAGCCATGTTTCTTCGGAGACCCTCGGACGGTCCCATCCGGCCATGGCGCCGCAATCATCGGCATCAACAGCCTGGAGACGTGGTTGGTGCCGCTGTCGTGGCATGAAATATCACCAACAACAGGATGTTTAATGACTGTCATTGTTGTTACTATTTTTTTTGTATGATGTATTGATGTTTTTGGCCTGCGGACCGAAAACCGTTCCCGTAAAACGCACGTTTTTGAATATCGCGATTGTGGGGTGGAGTGGGGTGGGGTGGGGTGGGGGGTATGTTAACGTTCCTTGTACTTCGTGCATGATATATTGCCATGCTGCTGAGATCTCTGGGATCGTTTACTACGTTACATGTTGCTACGCTGCTGATGGGGTGGGGTGGGGTGGGGTGGGGGGTCGTCATGTTAACGTTCCTTGTACTTCGTACATGATATATTGCCATGCTGCTGAGATCTCTGGGATTGTTTACTACGTTACATGTTGCTACGCTGCTGAGATCTCTGGGATCGTTTACTACGTTACATGTTGCTACGCTGCTGAGATCTCTGGGATCGTTTACTACGTTACATGTTGCTATGCTGCTGAGATCTCTGGGATCGTTTACTACGTTACATGCTGCTACGCTGCTGAGATCTCTGGGATTGTTTACTACGTTACATGCTGCTACGCTGCTGAGATCTCTGGGATCGTTTACTACGTTACATGTTCTATGTGGAATCTGATGAAAAAGTCAATTACCAGCAACTTGAGTGCCAAAAGTGACCTCTTGACGGTGTATGCTAGAGCTTGGCAATGGAGATGCATTCACAAGAATGCTGACTGCCAGCTGATAACGGTGCATGCGTTGCAGCGATGACGGTGAAAAGCCAAAAAACGCGCCCCAAGTTTTTCCAGGATTTCCAATCATCAAATCAGTACGGCACTGTGGTAAAATCACCATTTTTTAAAGAAACGTGCGTTTTATGGGCACGATTTCCGGTCCGGCGGGATGTGTTTGCCATTTTGTTTGGAGAGGACGATTGTTCTTAATCATTATGATGATGATTTTTATTTCTATTTTAATACAGTATATCATAGTTGAGAACATACATTATGGTGATTATTGGTGATGGTGATTCTTCTTGTGATGATGATGATGATGGTGATGATGGTTAATTTTCAGGTGCGCACACACACACATACTTGAAAAACATCCCGCCGGGTGCGGAATCGCGCGTGTAGGCGCATCAACATGCTGAAAAAAATGACAACCCTTTCAGTGTTTCGTGGCCTTCTGATCAGGAAAAAAATGTTCCCAAAAAAGGTCATTTTTCTTGGATTTTGCAACCCTTACAGCACAAATTTCGGACCTTTTTTGCCTTGCCACTTTCATTGATCATTGTGCATGTAGACCTCACTGACTAGTGATTTGATGAATTATTATCCTCACGATATGAAAGATCTCTATCATACCAAGCATATCCAATAATGATGACCAACATATGAAATTAGAGGGTGATTTTTATCACCATTGGGATGAACTTTATCGTTACCGTGGTGAAAGACACTATCAACAGAAGTATGACAACCATTATAAATTATTATGATGCACTCCTCAAAACAGGTAACGAGAACACACGATATACGTTGACATCCCCACCCCATGATCAGCGTAGCAGCAGTGGCGTGTTCAACTTCAACCGAACGTTCACATCTCCACCCCACCACATGCTCAGCGTAGCATGCGTGGCGTGTTCAAATGCTAACGAACGTGAACATCCCCACCCCACCCCACCCCATCCCCACCCCATGATCAGCGTAGCAGCAGTGGCGTGTTCAACTTCAACCGAACGTTCACATCTCCACCCCACCAAATGCTCAGCGTCGCATGCGTGGCGTGTTCAAATGCTAACGAACGTTAACATCCCCACCCCACCCCACCCCATGATCAGCGTAGCAGCAGTGGCGTGTTCAACTTCAACCAAACGTTCACATCTCCACCCCACCACATGCTCAGCGTAGCATGCGTGGCGTGTTCAAATGCTAACGAACGTGAACATCCCCACCCCACCCCACCCCATCCCCACCCCATGATCAGCGTAGCAGCAGTGGCGTGTTCAACTTCAACCGAACGTTCACATCTCCACCCCACCACATGCTCAGCGTCGCATGCGTGGCGTGTTCAAATGCTAACGAACGTTAACATCCCCACCCCACCCCACCCCATCCCCACCCCATGATCAGCGTAGCAGCAGTGGCGTGTTCAACTTCAACCGAACGTTCACATCTCCACCCCACCACATGCTCAGCGTAGCATGCGTGGCGTGTTCAAATGCTAACGAACGTGAACATCCCCACCCCCCCCCACCCCATCCCCACCCCATGATCAGCGTAGCAGCAGTGGCGTGTTCAACTTCAACCGAACGTTCACATCTCCACCCCACCACATGCTCAGCGTAGCATGCGTGGCGTGTTCAAATGCTAACGAACGTGAACATCCCCACCCCACCCCATGATCAGCGTAGCAGCAGTGGCGTGTTCAACTTCAACCGAACGTTCACATCTCCACCCCACCACATGCTCAGCGTAGCATGCGTGGCGTGTTCAAATGCTAACGAACGTGAACATCCCCACCCCACCCCACCCCATCCCCACCCCATGATCAGCGTAGCAGCAGTGGCGTGTTCAACTTCAACCGAACGTTCACATCTCCACCCACCACATGCTCAGCGTAGCATGCGTGGCGTCTTCAACTGCTAACGAACGTTAACATCCCCACCCCACCCCACCCCACCCCATGTTGAAAATGTGTGTAACTACACGTACGGTTTGGCACCCGTTAGCAAAAACATGTTATACTCACGGTGCATTACACTACCTGACGCTACACTGCGTTGCGCCACACTGTGTTGCTCTCAAAATGAAACTACACTGACACTACACTAGGACAGCACATGGATACAACAATGATACAAACTCACAAGATCCAAACATACAAACAAACATACACGCATGTTCGCATGCACACACATTCCTACATACTAATTAGATACATACCATGATATAACGTGACACAACAAAATAAAGGAAAACCATAGATAACGATAGCACGAAAAAAAAAGAGGACATTACGTAGCACATCATTGCATTACACGCGCCAGTGATAGAAATTAACATGGCCGCATAAAATTATAGAATTACAATACATGCGCGCGAACGTATACTATGCTACAGCAGATTACACTGCAATAATTATAGATATTTTTCCCGAATGCGTAGGAAGGGTTCCCGTTTCACTCTCTGGGGGTCTGGGGGTTGAGGGGGTGTTCGCTCGACGTTGCCCAACCGTCCGCAACCGCTCCGGGCTTCATGTAAAAACACCCGGTGCTGCCCCGTCGATTTAATACCTTAATTCTCATAGATTTGATTCGATACTTTCTTCCCTAGCACCTGGAACGAAGCAGCCGGAGTCACCACGGATGTAGGAGCAGTGGACATAAACTTACTGACGGGCTGCATCCCAGCAACCAGTCTCACATGCCCTCCCGGCAATGTCTCCACTTCACTTTCGGTCTCGGCAGGCGAAGGCACGTCATCATTGACAGGCTCTTCTCCGGGGACCGCAGGCGCTGTTCCGGCATCGTCGTCCTCATAGTCGACGGCTTCTTCCTTGACCTTGACGGCTGGGAGGGACCAACCGTCACCAGCACCTGGGGGGGACCCACCGTCACCAGCCAGTTCCTGCTTCGTCTCAGTCTCGTCCTCGGACTCGTCCTCATCGTCATCATCAGGGGGCCCCTCCTTCTCGAAGCTTTTCAAGGGCAACTTGGTGACATCATCTTTTGGTTCGTCTTTGAAATCAACCTCGGAATCCTCATCCGATTCGTCTTTCAACTCATCGTCGATCTTGCCGTCGTAGTTACCACGGATGTAGAGGATGCCCACCTTTGAAACTTTTTTCCATAGAGGTGCGGGGAGGATCTCCTTGTACTCCTTGAGCAAGACCGACCACGCGTGGTGTGCCTGGGGCCCTTGCAAAGTGATTCTGCTAGAGTCCCATTTGTGTTTTTTGCTCGCTCCATGATGTCGAAAGACAAAACGCACGCCCACGGTCTCACACCACTCCAACTGGCTTTTGTAGGTGCCCTGAGGCAGGTCTTTCAAACTGAACGGAACCCGGACATAGACCACCTCGTCGTCTGGGTTTATTTTTGGTTTCTGTACCCTGATTGATTGTGGGTTTGGTGTGGGTTTCTGCGCTCTTTGACCGGGTGGCGTCACAGTCCTCTGCTGCTGTCTGGGCGGAGTCACAGGTGCTTGGGCCCTTTCATGCCTGGATCGGCCGCGACGTCGGCGACCAGCCTTAGGCGACGCAGGCCGCTCAATTTCAACCGGATGCCACTGCACGACCGGGACATCCGCGTACCAGGTCTGCTCCCAACGATAGTGACGAGGATTCCACGACCACCATATCCAGCCGCCAGGTGCTTGCTGCCACATGGCTTGATGACTTGGGTTCGGAGGGACCAACCGTCACGAACCAAAAGTCCGTGAGTTGAGGTCCAACCGTCAAACCACTCGAAGATGATGCTGTTACAAAGAAATGTTGTCGAAACATGTGAATGGCTGTCCAATTATTTGTGAAATTTAAGTGTGACAAATTTGGGTATCTGTGTGTGGTGACATAATTTTTCGTCGAAATCTAACTAACCTTGGATTTCCTGTTCATGACATTGATCCACTCAAACACTACTGCGTGGTTACATCATTGGCAAGCACTGACTCTGCAGCTCACTTGTTCAAACGTCGACCGTGCAAACAAGGTTGCTTCAGTCAAAAGCAGCAGCAGCATGTTTTTTTAAAACACATGATGAATGTCAACTGGCGTCGCCTGCATGGTTGACCCACGATGGCCGACTAATTCATCATTTTGCCAAATCGGAGCCAGGAGTCCCTTAATTGCATGGAAACAAAAAGAAAAATTGTTTTGACGAAACATCGGCACGCCTGGGCCCGGGCAATTAATTGGACTATATGGTGGACCCTGTGTGTCCATGATGGGACTAAAAGTAACGACGCAAAAAATGTCGTGCATACCCATCATTTAATTCGGATGGACCAAGATTGCATCACACTTGTGATTGGTTACACCCGCCGAGGTCAATTCTATGGCATTTTTGTTGGATTTCGTTCTTAGTCTTGACAATAAGGAACAAATTTAAGGATTGCTGGGCGCAACCGGCAAGAACTTGGATGCATGCAAACCCACGTGATGCTGAGGAACCCACCATCAAGCAACGTGTGAATTGAAGAATTGGAGGACAAGATGCTGAGGGACCCACCGTCAAGCATCTTGACTACGTGCGGAGGGACCAACCGTCACACACTAATTAAATTGTGGAGGTGAACCCACCGTCACACACTGGCGCGCTCAGCTCTCAGGATCAGACAACCGTCTCATGTTTGCCCTAAGAGCAAACCATTCAAACCACCGAATTGCCGCTCGAGCTCCCCAGGCCGCCGTCTCCCATTGTCTCTTGCTCGCAAGTGCACGGTCCAAAGGGTCAGGTAAAAGGGATCGCACAAAGTGGGCATCCAAAAAAGAATGCCCAGCCAACAATTCCATTGCCACCCGTCGCTTGCCCAAGTTCGTCTCATGGACGCGCTGCACATCCTTGCAACTTACCGAAGGGGGTCGGTAAATTGGAGCCATTTTCAATGGAAAACCCTAAGAAAATTGCTGAAAATCACTGATTTCCCGGTGGAAAATTCGAAAAAACCAATGAAATATCGTGAAAAACATTCGTTTTTTTGAGGAAAAACGTTGATTTCCTTCTAGTAACCCTGAGAAAAGTGCTGAAAATCACTGATTTCCCGGTGGAAAATTCGAAAAAACCAATGAAATACTGTGAAAAACATGCGTTTTTTGAGGAAAACAATGGATTTCCTTCTAGTTGGAGCTCTTTGGAACTACAAAAGTGGTGCTTGGGAGCTGTTGGGGGGCTTTGGGAACTACAAAACTGATTCAAAAATGTTGAGAAACAGAGTTTTTCTGGTGGAAAACTGGACAAAACAGTGGAACAGTATCATCATGAAAAAATGCCAGCCTTAAGCATAGCAAGAGGCATTTGGATGCAAGATCAGGATGCCCTCGACTGCCAAATTCTGAAACGTTGGTGCCAGTTTGGAGAACTGATTCTGCTGATGCAAAAGCAGTTCTCCACACTGGCACCAACGCTTCAGCTTTTGGCACTTCCTGACACCCAAAAAACCAGGAAATCCATGAATTTGGAATGAAAGTGTGGTGCTTTCAGGGCTCCTGACCCCACAAAAACCATGCTCCCCGGGGTGGTAATAGTCTTTGTCTGGTCAAACAACGCCTAATCAATATATATATATATATATTAATATATATATATTATATATATATATATTTCAAAAACGTGAGCTTCAACATGAATCAAGCAACATGTTGTGGGTGGAACAAACAAGGCATGCCAAGATGCACCAGGGAATATGGTAGAGGATTGCCTTGTGAATTCTTTTGCTAGTCGGTAACATTGACCCATTTACTCATAGTTTGTATTTATTCTTGGTACATGCAAGTGCACCAGCGCATCTTTTGATACCACTCTGTTGCAGGAGTGTGACTTGACTACCCGCCGCTCACAACTTGTAACAACACACCTGCACACGGCACTACCGACTTGAAACCAAAACGATTCCCTTTTTTTTACAAAACCCTGTCCTCCAGACCGGGCGGTAGAGCTGGCAGCTTGCCCCTTCTTAGACTTCCACCCACTAGCCCTCTGCCTCTTCTTAGTCTTCTTCATCTGCTCCTCCACCACTGCGAATGCTTCCTGGAAAGGGTCACCGGGGGGGAGTTGGTCAATCTAAAAATTGAAGCCGTGGTGACTGAGTCTGAGTTATCTTGATTGTAGAACCAATTTGAAACTGATATGCGTGGTGCGTGTTCTGTGCAGGTGCGCATGGAGTATGATATTCATGGTACAGTACTGCGCTCTGTCCTTTAAAAAAAAGGTTTCTTCTCAATTTTGATTTTGGGACCTGTGAGGAACCCACCGTCAACAGGCCCAAAGGAATCCAAAAAACACATGCAAATTATCTGTAGGGTCCCACCGTCAGCCTCACCAAACAAAAATGCATAGCCCAGTCAAAAGACTGGACTCTTTCCCAACCTCTTGCCACGAAAAAAAATCCAGCATTCTGTTCCAAACGTGATTTGTTGCCAGCTTGCACTGACTCTTTCCAATTTGGAGTTTGGACCTGTGAGGAACCAACCGTCAACAGGCCCAAACCCCACCGTCACCGTCAGGCTCACCAAAAAAAGCATAGCCCAGTCAAAAAAAACTGGATTCTTTCCCAACATCTTGCCACAAAAAAAATACCAGCATTCTGTTCCAAACGTGATTGTTGCCAGCTTCAACCCTTTCCATTTTTGAGTTTGGACCTGTGAGGAACCAACCGTCAACAGGCCCAAACCCCACCGTCACCGTCAGCCTCACCAAAAAAATGCATAGCCCAGTCAAAAGACTGGACTCTTTCCCAACATCTTGCCACAAAAAAATCCAGCATTCTGTTCCAAACGTGATTTGTTGCCAGCTGCAACTGTTTCCATTTTTGAGTTTGGACCTGTGAGGAACCAACCGTCAACAGGCCCAAACAAATACAAAAAAAACATCATGCCAAACGTCAGTGTCAGCACCCGGCTGGAAAATGATCAATCGACCATGGCAAATTTGGCTGGAAACATACAACATAGATATGCCAGAACATATTCGAAGGAAGTTTAGAAGTCAAACTTCCGACAATATGGAGAGATGAAAAGCAGAGCAGGGAAGAGGCAGAGAGAAGAGAAAGATTAGAAGAAAGAAAGATAGAGGAGAAAGAGTCAGAAGAAAGAAGATGCAGATGCGCGAAAAGGTAGAAAAGTCGCGAAACACTGTTTTTCCAATGATTTGGGGCTCCGGAGGGTCGAAAAGTAGGCTCGCTAAAGCGGCGGGTGCGGAGCCAGCTGGCTGGCCAGATGAGAGATGAAAAATTGCACGCCGTTGTGGCGCGAAGCACATTTGCAAGTCAAAATGTACAAAACACCTCAGCTTCGGACCACTTTTGGAAGTTGCGATGTCGAAAAAGTGCACGCCGTTGTGGCGCGAAGCACATTTCGAAGTTGAGATGTCGAAAAAGGGCACGCCGTTGTGGCGCGAAGCACATTTCCAAGTCAAAATGTACAAAACACCACATGTTCGCGCCACTTTTGGAGGTTCGGATGTTGAAAAAGTGCACGCCGTTGTGGCGCGAAGCACATTTCGAAGTCAAAAAGTACAAAACACCACATGTTCGCGCCACTTTTGAAGGTTCGGATGTCGCTTCGCTTCGCTTCACTACACTACACTACACTACATTACCCTACACTACACTACACTCCACTACACTACACTACACTACATTACACTACACTACACTACATTACACTACACTACACTACCTTCCACCACACTTCACTACATTACACTACACTCCACTACACTACAAATACAACTACAACTACACAACTACACTCCACTACACTCCACTACACTCCACTACACTAAATTACACTACACTACACTACACTCCACTACACTACAATACAACAACACAACTACACACTCCACTACCCACTGCTACACTCACACTACACTACACACTACATACACTACAACTACACTACTACACTACTACTTTACACTACACTACACTACACACTACACTACAGATACAACTACAACTACACAACTACACTCCACTACACTCCACTACACTCCACTACACTAAATTACACTACACTACACTACATTACGCTACACTACACTACACTCCACTACACTACACTAAATTACACTACACTACACTACAACTAAAACTACAGAACTACACTCCACGCCACTACACTCCACTACACTAAATAACACTACACTACATTACGCTACACTACACTACACTAAATTATACTACACTACACTCCACTACACTACATTACACTACACTACACTACCTTCCACTAAACTTCACTACCGCCTGACCTCCAAAAGTGCGGCATCATGACCTGGACATCACTGAGTAACATTCTTTTTTACTAGTAAAGTTGCATCAACATATGCAGATTGTTGTCACAGATCATTACACACCGGAGGCACCGCCGGCTGGTTCACGTCCTCGCGTCCGACGGATGGTGATACGGCCTTTTGCCAGGCGTCATTTCCATCAGTGAATCTGAATCGGCTTTCTGCTTCGGGCCTCGACGAACATGCAGTCAATCCCTGCAGCGCATTGATTTCTTTCACGCGCATGTCACGAACAGTTGCCTCGTTCATTCCAAACGCAAACACACGAGAGACCGTAATCACATAGCCCTTGTCCGCCAAACGAATGGAGCCCACCACATACCGCGGCTTCCCATCGCCCATGTTGCACGCAAAGATGTCAGCCATGTTGCACAAAGCTTCGGTGCTGAAGGCATGCTTATCGGGATCACAGAGAGACCACCTTGCTATGCCGAACTTGGACCGCTCCCGGCATTCCTTCAATGGCCTGCGGTTTCGGCTTGTCAAGGGCTGCGACAACCATGCTGACCTGCTCCGGCATGGATTTTCTGGGCTGATGTTGCATTCCAGCTGGAGAGACAAGAAACTCAGTCACGGATGCCGCGGGCAGCACATGCCCCATCCGCACCTGGCGACGAGGAAGGAGACAGGTACACAAAAAACCGTCAAAATTTTTACGCTGGTGCGCGGTGGTCCCCACCGCAACTCTTCCCGACACGCCGGGCACAGTGCCGCCTGGCTCACTATGTCATCTAAATTGGTAGGAAGGACTTGACACTCCACACTTAGCACGCCACCTTCTTCCATATTCCACAGTCTACGGTGCACTGGTATGGTAACAGGGGAAAAATGCACAAGACTGTTCAAATATAAACTGTTTCAGAAAAGTGTTCTGCGTGACTGCATATCCATGTGTTTCGACATCTGTACCATTAACATACGTGTGAGCATTCGGGTTCGTGGGCTGCATCTTGTTTGACAGATATGCAACATTATGTAACTATCATACAAGATCATGGCATAAAGTTAGATGACCTACAAACCAAAAGTCAAAAAAGAGAAGTTTGTGGTCGGAGATCATTCTCCCCGGCACAGCAAGTCAGAAATTGGGTCAATCCCAGCCCCTGCGTCAATCGCATCAAGGCCCCAGTCCCACGATTCCCATGCGCCTGACGAAGTTTTTCGCGCAAATTTTGCAGAGAATCGTTCGCTCGTTTCAGACCCGAATCCGTCAAGTAGGTCCGCGGGGATTTTTCCTGCGCTTTGTCTGAGACAAGTGCCCAAAATTGAAAGGATGGAACCAGCCTAAAAACCAGCGAAATCGACATCTTTGTTCCAAATCTGACGGAGCCCACCAACTTGTTCACACCACGAAGTGGGAGTAAATGCTGCTCAATTCTTTCTTTGTAGTGGGAAGCGGCAACTGAAAACACAAGCATGTTGGGAAAAGGCTACGCATGGCTATTCCACACCTTTGAAACCAATTCGACTTTTTTTTTTTTTGTGAAACGCTTCAATGGAGCACGTTGCTGCAACACTCTTGTGGCACACTTTTTTGGGGCAATCCTGAATCCTGAAAGGTGCAAAACGATCGAAAAGCATGGGTGTCCCTGTATCCCTCTATTTTTATCAACCAACCACGATCACTTCTACAGTATCATTCCCCTTATCAAACAAGCATATTTTATCATATTTTATCATATTTTTGTATCCCTCTATTCATCAACCAAAAAATGGGTTTGTCTCAGAATACAGTACCCCAAATATCGCGACTAATCATCATTTTCCCCATTAAAATTATCATCTCGGAGCCAAATCTGAATTTGTTCGACAATACAAACAATATTTAATTGCTTCTATGCATGAAATATGACCCTGGCCTCCACTAGGTCGCCTGTTTCAGACAAGCAATGGGGCGGCTTGCTGCAGATGCGGCAGAGGTCCGCATCATTCCGCGGCGCGAAGGCCATGGCTTCTACCGTTGGATGGGCGCAGCGCAGTAGGGCATCACCTATGGCTAGAGTTAAGGCTACCTATACTTGAAATAGTAAATGATATAGGATAGGTTCATACTATTTACCCATAGTTGAAATAGTAAATCCGAATAACCCTCGTGTATTGCGATGATGATATACCTGAGATAAAGGTCAAAACATGGGGATTTATAAAAGCAACAAATTGGGAGTGGATTTCAGGAGCAAAAAAAGAGGATATCAGCTTATCAGCCAACAAGAGATGGGGATAGGGATATCTGATCGAATGTTTAAGGAGTTTAAGGTTACTAAATGGTTACGAATAGTCCCAATCTTATGCCCCGCTATGCTCTCTTTATCTCTCTTTAGGATATGTTTCTGATCCCATCCTGGGAGAACTTGTGGCAGCTACCTCCGTGATCCTCTGTGAAGCACGGACTACTTTCAGCCTCCAAAACATTACTACTTTCATGGCGAAAATGATATGTGTTTTGCTGGTTGGTGGTTTCAACCCCTCTGAAGAATATGAGTTCGTCAGTTGGGATGATTATGCCCAATATATGGAAAAATAAGACATGTTCCAAACCACCAAACAGTTTGCAAATGGGGTTGTCCATATGTAACAACCTTTGTCACATCCAAATCTATGGTTTTTTTTGGTCTTAGGAAAGTCCAGTGCTGGCTTCCAAAGGCACGTCCTTTTTTGTCCAATCCAAATTGGGGCATTGCTGATGGGCTTCCAACATTGACCCAACATTGACCATCGAGCTTGAGCTGACCATGCTGCAACCAGAATGCCTCATGTGGAACCCTCCACTGACATTCAGCATTCTTCCCCCAGGTGCTTTGTGGGATTGACCTAGGACCCTCGTCGAGCCCGAACAAATTTGGGAAGTTCCATCCGTTTGCAGCCCAAAGCTTTCTGGCTCCCGAAAAAGATCGAAAAAATGGATGCTGCTACTGTTTTGATTTTGATGGTATGGATGAGTTCCTGTCTTTTGGGGGATCACTATCTACTGGTAGGCCAAGTAGGTGGTGGGTTGCCACACTGGTCAGCTTGCACCGCGAACTTTTTAACGACGCGTTGACACCGGATGGTGCCGGGTGGACACAGGTGGCCTTTTTATTTGTGCCGACACCACGCTAGATGCTTTGAGCGTGGTGAAAAAAACAAACACCCGGAGCCATTTGGGTATGGCTCAAACATGTCCATCTCCATCCCCAAGGAACGATTTCCATGTATTTCCATACCGAATTACATGAAACAGAAAACCATACATTGGGAAGTTCATCCACTTTTGAGCCATACTTATGTGCAAAGAACAAGTGACTGGTGGTTTCGCCATGTTTCGCCCCCTAACCCTAAAACGGTTGCAAGAAAACAAGAATGGAAACCACCAACCACATGATGTTGCCACATCTTCATGCACGGGTCATGGCACGCGTTCGAAGCTGACAACAAAAGCGTTCAGAGTTGTTCAGAAAGGAACATCGCTGTGATGAACATAGTTGGACTGACAACCCCGGTGGAGAACCTGAAAATCATGGGCCCAAACATGGTATCAGAGGCAGGATCTGTCCATTTTGTGAGCCCACCCTGATCAATCACCATGTGGATCCATGTGGGTGTTCGCAACTCGGGAACCGTTCCACCCAGGATGGCACTCTTTGATGATTCCCCCCATCCAAGATATGGCTGGCAGAAATTGAGTACCCCATCCCTACCAATTACCATCTGGTTATTTAACATAGCCATGGAAAATCACTATTTTCAATAGGTAAACCATCTATAAATGGGCCATCTATACCATGGCTATGTTAGTTTACCAGAGGGTATCCTGATCTGCCCTCTGCCAAAGCCATTGGGGGTATCCCCCCATGAAACTCATTGAAACTCGGTACCACACAAAAAAACGTCCCATCTCCCGATGACAGCCGATGATCGGGGCTTCATTGAGCCCTCCCGTGCTCCCCGCCACAAACCTCAGACGACGCCGCTGCCTCTGGCGCGACGTCGCCCGGCGCCCGTTGAGGCACAGGCTCTTCCAGTCGTTCCTGGGGGAATGGAGTGGCAGTTGGTTAAGAACGGGAGTCCAATATATCAAGGGTAGTATGGCTGGTTGTCTGTTGGTATTCGTAGGGATTCATGATATATATATATATATAAATACATACATACATATCATGATAATTCATGGTATATATATATATATTATCATGATATATCAATAGGGATTGCCAGTTGGTTCATGGACTATGGCAATCTCCAGTACATCAAGGGTCGTATAATCCCCGAACTACTCATGAAACAACTGGGCCATGAGGCTAATCGACCAATCCTGCTGGATCCCAGTCTCTCGATATGTTCGATTCATGTCCACCATGTGTTTGCTGTTGTTCGCTTGAAATATCTGGAAAAAAAACTCAACCATGTAGCCTATCTTTGGATATTTTTGGTGCTTAAAGCACCTTAAACATGATCATCATGAGCACCAAGACACGAGACGTCGCCCTTCTTCCCAGAGAGCCAGGATGGAGCTGCCGTCCTGGAAGAGGGACCAGGAAGATCTTGGAATCCCCAACATTAAAATGTTACCCGGCCTGGTTTCTACATACAAAAAACTCATGGGAAAGATCCACAATATCTTATGGGTAAATCAACTATTTCGACTGGGCCATGTTCAAGTTCGCGAACTGTGAGTTTACCAGAGGGTAAGTGATGTTGGGGTTGGTTTATGGCATGGGGTTTACCACTTACCACTAGTTTGATTGATCAGGAAAAAACTATCAGGGATTCAACCATCAACCACCAATGGTATAAGCCAAAAATTGTACCCTCTGGTTATTTGTTACATAGCTATTGAAAATACCACATTTATAGTGGATTTACCCATTGAAAATGGTGGATCTTTCCATAGTTATGTGACAGTTTACCAGTATTGTAATCTCTATGAGGCTATTGGCTGCCAATCTAAGGATTCTATGATGATTTTCTGCCGAAGGTAAGATGACTCTTTCAAAGTCATCTGCTGTCGAACCTCAACCAATAGGCCAATAGGAAGCAGCTGTACTTGTAACTTATATCCATCTGGCAATTTAACATAGCTATAGAAAATCACCATTTTTTCCATAGCTGTGTTAAATTACCAGAGGGTATCCATCTGAATATTCACTGTGACTGGTCCAGTCAAAATTGCATCTGTAATCGAAGTCCAAGGACCATCAAGGACCCGATTGGCTTCTCAGGGACTCTGAAATCTATGCGGTCTGAAACTCCCAATCCTCTCGCTAAAACGGATGAAAGCCTCCATAATGTGTTCCCTATTTTTGTTCCCTATTTTTGTAAGTTCCAGATATTTTTCCCACTGATTGAGACATGCCTTAAAGTTATTGTCTGGTTGGTGGTTGACTAACCATCTTGAAAAATATGAACGTCAATGGGAAGGAGTATCCCATATATTTTTTTCCATTCCACCGCATGGAGTCTCCTCGCGCGGACTAGCATGATTTGAATTCCTCACTGTACGCCTCAACCTTGGTAGTCAGGGAAAAACTGCCTATGGCTAAGGATTTCTGCTTGGTTGCGCATGTGATGTATCCACTTGCACTCATCACTTGTGGGCATGACAGGTTCACGTGCCCCTTCTGTACTCAAGCGATGACGCAAGCCATTCAACATGGCAATCACAAGGCTTCTGCAAAGGGCGCTAGGATATTCTTTCGCTTGCGCCGTTTTGAATTGCCCATTGGCCTGACGACCTTTAAGGCCATGCTGGGGTCTGCATCTCCACAGCTCAGCGCCAGAACACAAGGCATTTTCAACTACATTTGCAGGCCCTAAATTGAAAGCACGAAGACATGTGGGCTTCACACCAACAGCTCCGTAAAGCCACTGTTCGATGCGATGGCGTCTTGCATTTGGCAATCCCATGCACCATGTGCGGTGGCATCTCAGTCTCCACACTGACACTTTCTGCTCATCTTTGGGTTCATCAGGATGTTCCATAATGCTACCTCCTCCCTGACAAACAATGGTCTCCAGTTGTAGGGAGTTCATGAGCAACTCGGTTCCTGTAGCACACTGACGCATCTCTCCATAGGAGCGCTCAGGAAGGCACCAAGGCGAATGCGCTGTACGCAGCGGACGAGGACCCCGAGATTCGAGTTGGATGTCGCGTGCTGCCGCAAAGGTTTCGCAAGGAGGCCCAGTGAGAGACCCCGCGACAGTTCCACTCTGTGCCAGCTTCAGGATGCGCTGGAAGTTTGCTCCTGTAGACAGGTCGCCATAGACCAAGTCAATTGCAGTGTCCACTGACAGGAGTACCACGGGATACTCAGGGAGGATCTTCGCGGCAATATGCTGCGCCCACCAGTGGCAGTCACCGATTCTTCTTCTCCCGCTGAACAAATGCAAGACAAGGATAACAACACGGCCATCAAGCTTACATAAAGGAATTTGACCAGCTGGGGGCAAATCAAAGTGACAAGCAAACACTTCATCTAAAAATTGATGTTGCAAGGCACATGGATCAATGATGGGCTCCAAGGCACGATGCAAAACTTCACGAGACTTGATCATCGTCAGGTCGGGCTGGTAGGCTTCATCCATGCGCCGCTTCCAGCATACCAAACGCCCAATATGTGAGTCATGAAGAAATTGCTGCAAGGCATCATCCAGTGCACGGAAAACTTCCACCGGAAAGACCGGAAAGCGCGAAAGCCAAAGACAATCAAGAATCCAAAGACATAGCGCCCATTCTCCAAGCACTCCATGTGGCAAAGTAGAAGTGCCCTCTGCTTTCACCACAAGCTCAAAGAAAATGCCTTCGACATCATCCATATGGCAGTGCTGTCGAGCTTTCATCACACCATCAAATTCTGCATGACGTTGCGAAAGGAAGTGCAGATCAATGTCATTGGGTAAACCTTCATCTTGCCAGCATTGGTTCAAGACCGCATCTGCTTCCGCCCTCGTTGTGAGAGTGCATTCTGCGTAATTGGGCACCGTGTCCACGATCATTGCTGGTTGACGATGAAAGCGCTGATGCGGGGCATGCTCATCAATCTCTGGCACACACCGAACTGGAGGGCATCTCCATGTCAAGCGTTCATAGCATCCATTGGGATGGCGTCTACTGTTGCGCAAATGTTGTTGCAAACGCTGTGAAGTCCAATGACACTTGTGACACGCCAAACACGTAGTTGAGGTCATCATGCTCCGCTCGGGCGATATGAGCTCATGTGCTAACCATTGGTGAACATGTAGCTGATGAACAGTACCAAAATGGCGAGCACACAGGCGACACTCATGTGCCGCAAGATCTGGCACGACAGCCACGTCGTCGTGGCCCAGGATGGCAGCTGGTGCAATACATTGTAACAGCTGCCAATGAGCACGTACAGCACGTTCAATCGTGCCACCTTGTTGAAGGGCCCGTCGAAAAAGACGTCGGACAAGACGAGGTCCCGTATCTGCACAATCTGTCAGCCACTGCCAAATGATGTGCACAGGAGCATGGTGCGGGTCCCAATGCAATAATGTAGGGTCCATGCCACGAAGCCATGTCAAAGCGTGCCGCAACGCAGGGATCCAAGAAAACTGATGGTCAGATGCCGCTGTGACAAATTCCAAAATCAAACCTGGACACTGTTGGACAAAATGGAAGGCGTATAGAAGCCTCATTTTTGCGAGCCTCAGAGTGACGGTTGGCAGTTGCCACGTCATCAACAGGCGTTGGTCGTTCAGCATCTCGGTTGTCCAGAATCCATTCCCCACCACAGATCGAATCCATTTCATATAAACTCCATGTACTTTCTGCAATTGCCGATGTGGTAACAAAGGCCAGTTTCCACTTCCATGGAAAAGGACAGGCATCACCAAACCTTCAAGCAGTTTCAGTCTTGTGGCAATTGAGATATGTTTGTTGGCCAAAATTGGCTTTCGCACTTGGAGATAAGCATGTTGGGCTCGACCAAGTCGATGGGAAATTTCAGCATCTATCTTGCCCTCAGCAACAAAAATAGTCCCCAAATGTTCATATTGTGGGACACATGACAGAGGCCCAGCAGGTAAATCATGACATATCACTCCTTGGCGTGTACCAAAGCAATGATGTCTGGATGCAGCAGCTTGATGACCTCGAAAAGCTACCACGGCCTCAGTTTTCTTGGGCTGCATGTTGAGCACCAAGCCATATGAGCGACAAACATGGTCAACCTCATGCATCACAGCGGCAGTTTCTTCAATCAGCGCGTCAGCCGTGGGAAACACCATAGGCAACGCGAGGTCATCCACCCATGCTACAATTCTTGGCCGCACTCCGAGTTGACAATGTGCTTGAACAAAGAGCGGGCGACTATCCAAAATCTTTTGGATGTCCTTGATAATGGCAATCATGAGGGCGTTGTAGGCTGCATCAGCCAACGGCGAGCCCGGTCTGCTGCCTCTCATGGTGTGATGCACTTCATCGGAGGCCGCAAGTGTGTACCATGTACACGTATGGGCATCGCTCAAAAGGCGGGCAAGGGTAGGGGAGAACTGCTGTCCAATGCGTTCCTGTGCACAATGTTTCATCACTTCAGAGGGATCACATCCTGCCGCTTCTAGAACCTCATGCAGTCGATCTGGAAGAGTGGGAGGCATGTCAAACACCGCTTCTCGTACCAGGGAATGGAACGCACTCTTGATGTCTAAAAATAGGACACAGGAAGACATATGTTTGGAGGACGCAGCTTGCTCAAAGGCTCTGAGATAATGAGTTGCGAACATGGTCGACTGATGGGCGAAGCCCCCCAATTGAAGGGGTTCTCGTGCAGCGTGGAGTGCTGGCATCATTTGCGCTCTCATCACGGCATGGGATAACTTGCTCAAAACATCAATCAAAGCTATGCCGCGCATGTCCTGGATATGATGGCTCTTTTTCTTTTTGCCTATGGTATGGACCAATCCGCCTTTCCATTGCCACGGCTCGGCGCCAGTGGTCCACATCTTCAAGAATAAGGAGGTGATCTCTGCAGCCATTGGAAGACCTTGCACTTTCAACGTGTTGGGAGAAATGGCATCAACGCCAGGTGCTTTGTTGGTCTTCAAGGTGGCACACAAATGTTCCACAGTCGCTCGGGTTGGCAACTCATGCATGGGAATACAGAGAGGAGCTTCATACATGTTTTTCTGCTGATGCGTCCAACAGGATAACAAGAGCTCATCAAATGATGTGGTACATCCTGCTTCAAGTTGATTGTAATGTGCTGCCTTTTCTTCCACAGTGGGGCCAACGCAGCGCAAGTTAGAGCGTTGCTTCGCTCTCCACTTGGGCAACGTGAATTTAATAGCCTGCCACAGATGCCGTGAGCTTTTCAAAGACTCGCGTCCTGCTTGTTCAGCTAACGACTCGTAGAATGTAGCATCATCTTGTCGTACTGCTTGCACCACACGAGGAGCCAAATCAGAGAACGCTTGAAAATGGGTGGCCTCCTGAACATCACATTGACGAAGCCAGGGTAGCAAATTGGGTTGATGTTCTCGGTCATCTCGCCAGCTCTCAAAAATATGGCGAAGCAGTGCAAGCCTTCGATGTCGACGCACCTTTGCAAGACACTGTCGATGAAATTGTTTCGCTTGAATCAACTTTGCAGTTTCCATGGTCAAATGGGATTTCCGCATTGGTCGTGGGATCTCTTGCTTCTGTCGCAGCCATAACTGAATGGCGGCTGCATGTGAATGCACATCCATCTTCCAGTCAGGCCATTGCAAAGTACCTGACAGCGACTTTGTCTTCCTTCGCTTTGTAGTATGAGCCACATGAAAGGATAGGGGCACTTGTGCACGAACACATGCGTGATCTTCTCGTGAGATGGTCAGGTCGATGCGCTCGTCAATCCAAGTTTCAATGGCGTCATCATGCAAGTCATGAGGACATGCAATGTAATCAAGGCGTGCTGTGGTGCCTGTCGCATGAGTCCAGGTGCAACTTGGTCCTGAATGAAATGCAGCAAACGTTTGAGGCAGAAAGAGGTTCTGTTCCAAGAGCCATTGGTGAAAGAATGCACCTTTCGTATTCTCTGGATCAGGTTGCCAGTCTCCGATGGCATCAGAGCAAACCGAGCCAACACGGCTATTGGCATCAGCCAGGACAAAAAGCCTCCATGACCTATATTGTTGAGGGATTGCCATGGTGGTTGCGTGCCAAAACTGGTGAAGGGTTTTTTCATCAGTGTCAACTGGGGCGTGCAGGACAAGCAAAATAAGTCGAAGTCCTTGGCAGCTAAAGCGAACCACAAGCCTCTGAGCAGTTGCATGCAAAATGTGCAGATGTGAAGTATCAACTTCAAGCTTCACACGTCCATCCAAAAGACACTGATGCACCCAAAGTTGCACGCCTCCAACGCCTCGTTGTGATGCTGGCGCAGACAAGACGTGGTAGTGCGGCAGTCGAAAATGCCCATCTTGACGACTGCGAGTCTCTTGCAAGCCAATAAAATGCACACCCAAGTCGTGAAATTGGTGATCAAGCTGTTCAGCTCGCGCACTCATGTAGTTGGATGCATACTGCTGGCCTGGGAAGAGAGTCAAAACGTTGGCGGTCGCAAATTGCAGTTTGATGTTCGTCGCCTCTCGTGGACCTTGAGGTTGCGCATCTCGCCGTTGAGCAATTGGTTGCTGGCCAACTTGTGGCAAAGATGTCAGTGGCTGCGCAATGTTGAATCGCCAATGAAGATCATGGAGCGGAGGTGCATCAACGTGTCCTCGTAGGGATTTTTCAAGAAGCCACAACCACTGGATTGGTATAAGATCTTGTCCATCGAAAGTGCACTGCTGATGATAGGCCTGCATGTCTTTCTGCAGAACGGAACGCTTTCGACCATGGTGACAAAGGGTGTCGGCTGCCTCATTCCATGGATGACCTTGATGCCCTCTCAAGTGAGTCCATTGAACAGCTGCCGCAAGCCAATGTTCCAACCAATGTAGAAGGGCACGAATAGGCACCAAAAGATCAGCATTGTGATGGCCGCCAAGCTTTCCTTGAGCAACTCCTGCAACCTGTTGACAATCAAACGCAAACTCGACCCACGGTTGTATGTTGTGAAAGTGGAAAAGCATCTGGCAACACCATCGTATGGCCAGAAAGAGTGCAGTGGCTTCCGCTCGTGGTGCAGTTTGCTCACCAAGACATTCGGCATTGAGATAGCCACCCCATCGTTCACCACCATCAGTGTGCACGATCAACACGACCACTGCAGTAGCCAGCGGACTTTTGTGGGTAGCAGAACCATCAGTGTAAAAGGAGAATCCAAGGGGTGTCTCCGTAGTCCACTTCAATGTTTGAGCAAGTTTCTTTGCTGTCGCTGGGTGCCAATCCACATCGAAATGATCAAAGGTCGGTTGCAAATTCATCCATTGAGAAAGTTGTTCACGTAGAAACAAGACCTTCTGACAATCGATTGTTACCCACACTGGAGTGACGACATCTGTAAGAAGTGCATCCAGCTGAAGACGATTGCGCCCTGAAGACTTTTGAAGTAGATGAAGACCATCGGAATCATCGTCATCCGGCGTGGTGGCATGAGAAGCGCCTGCTTGCCAAGGGATGTCGCGCTGAATGGTAAAATGAATGGCCGCTCCATGTTGCACTGGAACGTTGGGATCAGCAGTGATTTCGTCTTCACCCCGCCAGGTTCGGCATTGTGTGTGTGCAGAAGCCTGTGCACACGCATTCTGAAGGTCAACCAGACGGAGTAGATCACGATGAACATGAGTATCAGCTACCATAAGGCACATCAGACGAGGATGCCATGGATCTTCTGCGTAATCGGTAATAGATACCAGCACGGAAGAATGGTGCGGGATGACGTTCTGGACTAGGATGATATGGGCCACAGCTTCCGGATCACCTCCTTCAGGAAACGGCTGGACAATCTGACACAACAGCTCATGAAATGGATCAACATGATCTTCCCAAGCCATCACAATTGCAGTGTACCACGATTGAGGATCAGCATCAAGCCGTACCATTCTGCCGAGACCACTGTGTGGTCTGCGCACGTGGTCACTGAACCAAGTTTCAACATAGGTATGAGGGGAGGCATGATCATCAGCTTGATGTTGATGTTGAAGCCGTATCTCAAAGAGCTCTTGCACAAACGTCGGAAGGCCGTTGACAATCGCCTGCATGGGGTTGTCCCTTGCTGCTTGGCTACGAGCTTGTTGCAATCGACCAACTGGCTCATCATCTAATTTGTCCACAGGGTGGGTCATGTCAGCCGTAGAGTCCACCAATCGACAGACTTTTGCCACTTCATCAGCCAGCATATCGTTGGGAGGCAACGGCACAAAACTGAGCATGCCAACATCAACCTGCAGAAGATTCAAGTGATCTGCTTCGTCAAGGCTGTGAAAGCGCGCTGGTCTTTGACGTCGCTCATACTCATCCACATCTGTCATGCCAACTTCATGGAAATCTCCAGGGGAGAGCGCTGCAGAAGAACGTCCAGAGCGACGCGGAGCAGTTCTTGTTCTACTCACACATGTTCTGGTGGAAATCGATGCTGCAGCTCTTGGCCAAGGAGGAAGAGCAATCCTCAAATAATCTCCATGCTCCAGATGAAAACTTCGTTGTTGTTGGGCCTCCACCAAGATATTATTCAGCCACATCATACATCGATTGCGCACCTTGTCACAGTAGATGTCCAAGCCTAACAGGCGGAACAAGGTGCGTCGCTGTGTCAGATGCGGCAACGACAAACATCGTCTCGAAGTAGAGACATCAGTGGCTGGAAGATGCTCATGAAATTCAACATCGACTAGCACCAGTCGATGAACCGACCCAAGGGGAAGGTCTGCCACGGTTTGCATAAGAAGCACTTCCGTATGAGCTGCTTGAAGATCCATCGGTCGATGGCGTACATGATGACAATACGCAATGTCATCCTCATCCACCTCAGTGAATTGCGCCACACGTCCTTGAAAAACGGATGCATCATTCCAGGGAAGATATCCATGGTATACACGTCGATGCGTTCGGTACACATGAGCAAATCGCCAATCCAAATCGTGCTGTCGTGATTCAGGATCATCTGAGCTGTCGGATGCAGAGACTTCAGCTTCAAGTTGATCATCTTGTTGAACTGCAGGAGGCAGGTCAAAAATGGGTTGATCTGGGGGATAATCTTGTCGAGTTCAAGCTGCAAAGGAGACCACATCTGTGTCAGCTGGTGGGACTCTGATGTCAATGTCAATGCTAAGACCATTGGCAATAGGCTCGAGTTCATTCTCGGCCATGAACATGATTCCTGATCTGGCAATCCATCTCCTGCCTTGGACCAGATGAGAGATGCGCAACAAGTCCACAGCACGTGTACCACATAGCCATGTAGGCGATGTGACCGCTTCTTGGAGTAGCTGCGTACGGTGCTCCTCAATAAACCTGGCAGTCAAGAGAATACCATAATGATCAGGACTCAATCCTTGTGTCAGAATGATGTGTGGCATGGCCGGCTGATCATCTGCATGAGAAGGTTGTGGCCGCACATATTCAATGTGTAGAGCTTCACCCTCTCGGATATTGTCGGCCCATACTTCCCGTATATCATTCAACCAGAGGTGGTCCATTCGATCAAGTGTCACAATTCTCGGATGAGAACATCTTGGAGCATGTTGGTGATGCAGAAACCAAGTCTTGATACGAAGGATCCGACCCTCTTGGGGATCATGAGACACAGCATGTTCTCGCCAATCACTTCGTAATTGGATATGCCACGACGACTGCATGTCATAGTCTGCTCGATCAGACGCCATTGGAGTCGAATCTGACACGGTGGAACCAGATAAATGTCCACCAGGTTCTTCAGGATTGGCTGCAACCGATGCGACAAACAAGCTGTTCGACACTCCTGTGTAAGGGTCAACTGCTGGGATCGACACGGCCAAAGTTGACAGCGGTTCCACAACAGCGACATTCTGTGCGTTGAGTGTCCATGGCTTATTCATCCATGTTTGCAGTTGATGGTGAGTCAAAACTGTAGGTAACAAAGTGTCACCTTCACTCCCGTAGAGCAATTCAATCTGGGTCGTAAAGCTCACTGCTTTGGTACTCGTAGAAGATTGAGAAGGAAGTGCACGACGACCAGCATGAAAGCAACTGGACCCTTCCAGAAGCTGGGAACAAGCATCAAATCCATAAACTTCGATGCACTGGTCAACAGCACGTTCAATCGCAACCCATGGCGCAGTGAAATTCTCTTCCATCAGGATACTATGTGTCCACTGATGCACGCACATAGTCCCTGGAGATCCTAGGGGTTGGCAGGCCTCTTGACAGTCTACTTGCCCCCCCCCACCAAAAGGCTGCAAGGCTCGTGAGCCATACACAGACCTTTCGTGCGCCGCCTCTTCGCCATCCTCCAACCTTGGCTTCTTGAGAGCAGAGCCTTCTAGAACTTCGGCTTGACGATCTCGAATGCGATTGAAGGTCTGGACCATGGACTGCATGTCGTCGTGAATGCTGGGTGTGACATCGGTCATCAACTCTTCCTCGGAAGGTTCGACGACTGTCGGCACTCCAATGTCGGAAGCACTCACTGCTTCCTTGGATACCTCCATCATTTCCTTTGCATTCTGATACTTGTCCATGGCCTCTTGTATGGCTTTCATATGTTCTGCGTCTCGAGCATCGAAATCTTCTGTATGCTGGTTCCATCTCTGGACTGCCTCCGCAATGAACTTGGCCCATGAATTGTGAAGATTCTGCCTGGCACGTCTGGCTTGCAGAAGTTGATCTCGAGCATTTCGAAGCTTTGCGGCAGCACTTTGAAGTTGAATCGTCGGATCGACCACGACCACCTTGGAGGCATTGGCGAGGGCTTTCTGCACATCGGCAGTCAATGGTTGATCCATTTGCTTCACTGCGGCGGCAAGCTCCTTCAAGTGCGTCTCTGCAGCGCTGTTGACTGCGGCACTCGCTGGTGTCGATTTCACCATAGAGTCGGAGTCGAGTGTCCACTCTGGTTCTTGAGGAGGAATATGACGTGCTTGACTTTTCGATCGTCCGTCTTGCTTGCCTTTGTGGGACCGAGCTGGGGATTTCTTGGGTCCACGTTTTGGCGATTTGGCAGCACCATATGAGCCCGTCCAAGGGCCTTGATAGTAGTTGCCATTGGGATCTGGATCCCATTCGCCTGCATATGTCCATGCTTGGCTCTGTCGCCTCTTCGGAGACTTTGTAGATCTGGAGGATCGTGGAGTTTGCGGTCTGCACTCGGACCAATGAGCTCCACAGAAACCACAATTCGAGAAGGTACCTTTGATGTCCTTCTTGCACCATGTGCAGTGCCATGGTTGCGCCATCTTGGCAATCTGCAAGGCAAGGGAAATCCGGTGGATGTACTGGGTATCGGCTGAGTGATGTGTTCGAAGAGTGTGCAAGATCCACCTCAGAACCTCCGGTGAAGGTGAGGTATGCCCTGTTCGAATCTTCCACCACCAAAATCGAGCAACAGCGCGGTTCCGTCGGAACCTCCTTCGCAATGTTGACGATGAAGCCGTGTTGTACCACAATGACAAACAAGAAAATGATGACAAAAGGGGCAACCAAAACTGTCATACACCAAATCCTCGAACTTGTCCAGAAAGTCCTCAAAGAAGACAAAATAGGTGAAGCCCGATCACCTCAAAATATTCAAGGATCAAGTTCTCGTAGATACCCAGGGGTTTTACGAGTCTGGGACCTCGAAGAACCAATGCAAGCTCCAGGGTTATCGCCAGTTCAGAGCAGCAAAGAAAGAAGGCAAACGACAAAGTATGGCGTAAGCCCGCGGGATAAATTGGAACGGTAAATCCCGCTAAGGGTGTTGATACAGAGGGTACGTCACGAATCCCTCTTGAACCACAACCTTATCCCATATATTATAGAAAATAAAAGCCATGTTTGAAACCACCAACCAGTTCTTGTAGATTCATTGAATCTAGATCCTCCAGTTTCCAGAAAATCGCCCCCCCAAATGGGGTCCAGGTGATGGTAGCGCCCCTCCCCGTGCTGTTTGCCGTTGTGCCAGAAGCCCTCGTACCTGCCACCCAGAGCGCCGCAAGGCCGGGCCATGGGGAATAAATGGTGTCGGGGGATGGTTCGTAATCCACCTATTGAACTTTTAATAACTGTTAATCCTGCTATTATATATATATTATATTATATATTATATATATTATGTATATATATTATATATATATTATATATATATTATATATATAATATTATATATATATAACTAGTTGGTGGTTTTAGCCATCTTGAAAAATATGAGTTCGTCAGTTGGGATGATTATTCCCAATATATGGAAAAATGAAAAATGTTCCAAAGCACCAACCAGTAACTGTTGAATTGGCCTGTATGGCAGATAAAAACAACAGCACATCAAGTGGAGGACCACGCTTGTGCGACGAATGGCTGTCATTGTGCGGATCTCAAAGCAGCCGTTTCACCCACGCCCTTAATCATTCCCAAATTTGCACCACAACACGTGTGTCGGCAACCCTACAGATCATGTGTCAGGGTTTTGGACCCTTCTTCTGCTACTCCCCAAGGGGTCCAGTGGGTCCGTCAAGCAGAACGACCTCCTGCAGTCCGGCCAAGAGAAGATGCCATAGCCAGTCTTGCGGTCATTGGCATACCTAGCCCAGAACAAAAATGATTTTCAAGCGCCTCGTAGCCCTAATCCCAAGGTATACAGCTCATCGTTACTGAAATTGAAACTGCCCAGTCAAAAAAGAGAGATCCACAGATCTTCGGCTAGCCAAACACGAGACAATACGAGAAAATAGGTTAGAAATACTTCTGTAAACCTGGTGTTTCAGTGATGCAGATAGTACTCATCTTTGACCATGGTTTTTGAGCAAAAACTTCGAACTCGCCGAGGTGCTGCCCTTCGTAAGCGCGTCCATCGGGCCAGCTATAGATCCCACAACCATGGATCATGGAGTTCTTCCAACGGCCACGGAACCTGGGAGGCTAAGGCTTCCAGAAAATGGTGACTTTTGGGGGAAGAATTGGAGATCCAAAGCTCGGAAAATGGTGCATGGGCTGGAAGAAACGGGCTGGAAACACAGCTAGTGGATGCCCTGGTCCTTTTTCTGTCAAATGGGTGATCTGACAGCTGCCATAGAATCGAAATCAATTCAGCTTCGCCTCTCGATGAGTATGGGCGAGACATCATTGATGTTGATGACAGCGCAGCTAGTAATTCATGTTGGTCAACCCAATAGAATTCTGTATCTACAAACAGGGACCCCGCAAAAAATGTCCAGGATGTAACATAATGCCCAGCTTTCCAACTGTTATATCTATAAGACTAGGGGGTTCTATATAATATAAATATATAGAGATACATGGGTGTTTCTTAAAATGGTGGATCCCCAAAACCATGGGTTTCAAATGGTTTCAATACAAAAAGTGCCTAATTTTGGATGATCTGGGAGGACCCGCATTTTTAGAAACCCATACTGAACAGAGAATTTGGGCTCTTAAATCTGATGAACACTCCTGAGCACTGATCAGCACCTTTTCACTCAGTCAGCTCGAAGGTAGCTGAAAGCACTAAAATGGCTGCAGCACATATACAAACATATATGCTACATGTGACATAGTCTACACTGTACACATATCTGATCACGCCTCCCGAGCCTGTTTAAAAACGGCGCTCCCGTCCAATTATTTGAACTAGGCGAGTTTTGATATGTACAGCTACTCATAGCCACGCTCAAGCCATCTATGCTCTCAGTGTCAGGTGATGCTCACCTTCCAGAAAGTGAAAATTCATATTTCGCAAGGCTTTATTCATTTTCTCTTCTATGACAGGTTTCGTCAAGACGTCGGCAAGCATATCGCCAGTGTCGACCTTCTTCAGCCGAAAATAGCGCTTGGCAACGCGGTCTTGTACCCAATGGTATTGAGTATCCACGTGCTTGGCCTTGCCTAGTCCTCTGCGAGAACCCATTGCTATTCCTGCACTTGCGTCCATGAAAACTTCACTCTCGGGTTGCAAACCCCAGTCTTTGGCGGTTGAAACTTCTCCCAGCAAATTGCTGGCACCGCTCACAAGAGCGTAATACTCACTCTCTCCAGACGAAAGACTAACAACTCCTTGTCCTTTAGAATAAGTCTTGATACAACAACCTCCGGCCATCAGGACGCCTCCTGACACGCTCTTCCTCGTCTTCACGCAACCAGCGTGGTCAGCATCAGACCACATCACAAATGGACTGAGTTTGCTCTGATGAGGAAAGAATTGTGCCATGCGTGGTCGATACCTTAGGTATCGTGCAACTCGTTTGAGCATAAGCATGTGGCTGGTAGTTGGTCGTTGTAGCCCTTGTGCTAAAGATCTTGTCGCTACTTGCAGATCTGGTCGATCTTGTGCCAAATAAGCTGCTCGCATTGCAACTGATCTGTACTGGGTTGCTTCTTCATCATTGAGAAAAACAGTGGCGTTCTTGAGGTCTTCCACTGAACCCTTGGCAAGTGGTGTCTTGACTTTGGCTCCTCGGGGACCATCTCCGAGTAAATCAATCACCAACTCTGCATGACGTGCATCTGGTTCCCACCAAATTCCATTCTCCTTCCATGTGATAATTCTGTTCAGGACTCTGATGTCCTGGATGGTGTTTGGTGTTCCTGGTGGTCCTAAAATACCACGTTCCACACATTTCCACTTCTTCGACAGCTCTTCATGAAGCCATTTGATGTTGTCAAATGTTCCGGCTGTTGTAAAATCATCTCCATGTACAACAGTTCTGAGGTCTCGGCCTGCATGGTAGTAAATGCATGGATTGCTTTTTCCTTGCTTGAAACCTAAGGCTAACATAACCTTCTGTATTTGCAACTCCCAGTTGAGAGGTGCGTCTCTGGTTCCATACAAAGACTTGAGCAATCTTCCTACCACATCTTCTCCAGGCTTCTTTGCTTCTGCAGGAAGTTCCACATAGATCTCACGCGTCGCATCTGAGTAAAAGTGGGCGCGTTTCACATCCAAAAATCCTAGAAGTCTACGCTTGCGATAGGCTTCCTTGACAGCTTTTCCAGCGTCTGGCAACTGAAACGTGACGGCTATTGTAACTAGCATCTTCAAAGCCGACAAACTGGGCATAGCTGCGAAGAACTCATCAAAACCTGAGCCCTTCTTGACTTCTTGAGCTACTAGCCTACTTCTATAAAGTGGATTCTCTTCATCCTGCTTGTTGACATCTACCCATCGTGTTCCAATGGTGCGTACCCCTTTGGGCATCTTGTGTCTGGGAATCTTTTCCCAAACTGGAAAACTTTCGATGATTTCGACCTCATCTTTTCTGGCTTGTTCTACACCTTTGCTGTCTAAAATCTTTCCACTGATATCATCGTAATAATACCATGTGGCTGCTTCATCTTCCAGTTCTGGTGGAAGAGGAATTGTCTCTTCACAAACTGGCTCTTCTTCACCTTCAATGGACTGAAGGTACTTCTCCCGATCTTCCATGATCAGGTTCATAAGACATTGGTCTATGTCATCCATGTCTTCTGGTCTCTCATTCTCAGGTGGCCGTTTGGTGCCCTTAGACGCCTGAGCTGAAGCAGCTCGGCTGTCCTTGGACTTTGACGTTTCGCCTCCTGAGTCTGCAGGTCTTTTCCGACCTTTGGTTGGAGACATTTCCAACCTTTTGTGTGCTCTTTCTTCTTGCTCGCCTCCTGCCCTCTTGGCTGAGGCTGTGCTTGCGCTTGCGCTTTCTGCAGGTGGATCTGCAGCTTGTCCGGTAGCAGGACTCTGCCTCGCGATAGCAGGTCCAGCTGTTGGCAAACTTGGAGCAGATTCCCCTGTGGCTGAGTACCACAGTTCAGTGACGATATCTGCGTCATCAATCAAAGGCGCGTTGATGACTTCATCTCCTAAACTAGGATCCATTGGTTCAGACTTGATAATGTTTCCTGTTTTGAAATCTCTGGTGACTCTCCACCAGACATTATCCCAACTGGGACCTTCTGGCATAGTACCCTTGAGATACCTTGCATTCTTGTCAAGGCGCGCAAACACCTTAAAACCGTGAGGAACTTCTTGTGGTTTCTCACTTGAATACCCATAAAGAATCTTTGTGCCTTCTTCGGACACTTCTTGTTTCTGACCAGTGATTTCAGAATCAACCTTGGCCGTATGTTGGGCTACTCTCAGGTTGCCCTCTTCTGCTTGAAGCAGACGTTCCATCCTTTCTCTGCAGGCTGGAGTGTGATGAACTCCAGTGCCTCTCTTGCCAATTCTAGTGGCATCACAGGCGACACAACCAGCGGTGTAGCCATACTTGTCCAAATCACGTTTGGTGATGTAAAGTCGTCTTGTCGACTTCTTTGGTGGCTCAACTGGCACTGATGGCGCCAGTGGCTGCTGATCTCCCTCAACAATCTGAGGAAGCAAAATGTCATCTCTTTTTGATGCCTGGGGATCCCAAGGAACCCCAGTGACTGACATCAACGTTTCGACATCATATCTGTCGTCAGCACTCTTGCGTCGAATGCTTTGCACAGTGAAAACACCTGATGCATTTCCCACTATCTTCTCAGTGGTATTGTCTTTGACTCCCAAGAAAACTCCTTGGTGCCATCTTTGTTCAAACTTGTGACCTCTTTTGAGGAATTCAATTGTTTCCCCAAATGGTGGTAATGACACTCTCCACTCACGACCACGGTGTCTAGAGTACGGTGTCTTCCCATCTTTGACTTCCAATGATCTGTGAAACAAATTGTAAGTGGTGCTAGCATGTTCAACCAACCATGTCAAAACTGGGTGGTCGTCTGGCACCTTTCTTCCATAGCTTGTCTCCAAGGCACTTCTGAGTGTCCTGGATTGAGATTCAATAGCTTGAACTGCTCTTTCAATTTCCCCTTTGGATTCTGAGACTCCTTTGGGAACTTTTTCCAAAACCAACTGTTTGTCAAAACCATTCTTGGCTGCCTCAACTACGGAGTTGAGTGCCGGCTCTGGGTCATATCTCATGACCATCTTGGGGTACCCAAACTTCTTAAGGTCATTCAAAAGACACTTAGATCCAATAGGACCTTGGGTAACTCCCTTGTATGGCAAAACGTGTGCGTAGGTCAACTTGGACCATCGATCATGTACTATCAAAACTGGTGCATGCTTTTTCTGCACTTCTTCTGTGATGACAGTGTCATCCACTGAATTCATGAAACAATAGTCAGCTGAGATCACAGGAACTGTTTCATCTGAATGATCTACTTTGACATGTCTCATTGCCTTTGCCCTACCTCGAATGCAATGTTCACACCAACTCCTAAAAGGATAATGGCTGACAAAATGCTCTTCTTTTTCTCTCTGCGTCGGCGCTGCTGCAGTTGGTAGCGCTTGAGAACCTAGCTTACTACTGCCCAGTTCATCATCTCCACTACCTGCGCTCTCTGTGGTCTCCACAGGACTTACGCCTTCAACCCTTCTGTGGGCTGCCCATGAAAATCCATGGCTATCTTGAAAACACCTCCAGTCATGGTGACTGGAACCTTCTTGGCTCCCCTTTGCAGAAACGATCCATTGGGGCCGAAGGTTACTGTCCAGCCTTTCTCAACCAGCTTGGACACAGACAACAATGGCTTTGCAACATCCATTGCCCGGAACTGTCCCACACCTTTGACTTGTGGGCCTCCTTTCTCACCCATGGTCACTATAGGGTTGCACACCCCATGCACCTGGACTGGCTGCCCTGATGCGTTGGTGAACGGCTTCTCATCCACAGGTGTCATAGCCAACTCCAATGACTGTGCCAATTCCTTGGGTAGGCAACTGGTTGCTGCCCCTGAGTCAACGGTGGCCCAGACAATGGTATCCACCTGAGATGCCAAACTTCCCAGGAAGTCAAGGTTGGAGTCTGATCGAACTCCTCCTCCTGGTGAGTGCTCCCTGGGCTTGGGAGATGGCGTTTTCTCCCTCTTCTTCCTGGCTTTTCTTTCCATGTAGTTGGCTGCATCACGCACCGTCTTCTCCAGGAATCTCTTGGTGCCCATGCTGAACTTTCCCCTGCCCTTGGACGCCTGGGCTGAATCAGCCCGGCTGTCCTCAGGCGCTCTCGATGGGGATTTGGACTTCAGCTCGATGGGTGCTCTAGGTGCCTCTTCTTCTTCTTTCTTTTCTTCTTCCTCTTGCTCCTCGACCTTCTCTTTCTCCTCTGGCCTCTTGGGGATCTTCTTCACTTCAGGCTTCAAATCATCTTTACCCTGGTGCCTGAAGCGCTCATAGTGCTCCTCAAGATGCTGCTTGCGCTTCTTCTTCTCTTCATCCTTGGCGATCTCTTGGCGCTTTTTCTCATCTTTGGCCTCTGCATCATCCATGGGGCGCTTCTTGGATGCCTCTCCTTCAGCCTTTGCTTCTCTTTCAGCCTTTGCTTGAAAGTGTTCTTTCTTCCAGAACTCCAGGGCGTGTTGAGGATAGCAATTCTTGCTCTCCACATGTTGCCAAAAGCTTGCAAGACTCATGGAGTTCAGTGCCTTTCCACATGCCTGGCACTTCACATAGGGATGTCCTTTGTTGGACACAGTTTTGGACTTCTCGTGCAACTCCTTGAATGACATGAGCTCTCGAGAGGAAGTCTCCCAATGATGAACTACGTCTTCCATGCCTGGTGCAGGTTCCTGATTGAGTGGTAAATCGTCTGAGTCGACCTCTTCCGATGATCCTAGGTCGAGAACTTCACCATAAGCCTTTTCATAGGCCTCCTTCAAGACATTGTCTAACTTGCTGAGAACTTCAGGATCGGTTTTCAGCTTTTCAAGTCTGCTGACAAACTCATATCCTTCAGAGGAAATGCTCTCCTCAGAGGAAATCTCACACTTGTCATGGATCCATTGTGGGATCTCATCCTTACTCATCTCTTTCATCTTCTCCTTATTGGCCTTCTTCCTTGCTTCATCTGCTCTTCGTCTTTCAGACCTGTGATGTCCTCCTCTATGGCGCTTGGGTTCCAACTTTCTTGCTTTGGGAGGTTCAGGAAGATCTCCCATGTCATCCTTGTCCCACTTGTCAGGGTTGGCCTGTCCAAAGGTGGCCAACTCATAGCGCTTGAAGCTGGATGCTCTTTGTCCAGCAGTGGCTGCCCGATGACTGGCAGTTCTCTGCCTGTCCTTCTCCTTCTTCTTGGCAGCTCTTGGATGTACTCCAGCATCAAGGTCGGCTTGCATCCGACGAGAGGGTGCAGCCGGTGCTGAAGCAGCACGGCCTTCTGCCCTCACTTTGGCCATTGCCTCTTTGGCCTCTTTGTGATGCTGGGCTGCCTCTTTCTTCAACTTATCCAGGGCTTCTTGGCGTTCCTTAAGAGCTTGATTTGCTTGACGCCCTTTGTCCTGAGCTTCTTTGACAGCGCTCTCAGCCTGAGCAATCATCTTGCCAAACAGCTCCTTGTTAGACCCAGAAGCTGATGCCAAAGCGCTCTGAGCCATGACGATAGCGCTCCTGGTCACAGTGCCCCTTGAAGGTGCTTGAAGGTTTGCTCGTCTTGGGCTTCGACCACGACGAGAAGATTCATCTCGAGCTTCAGACTTGGGTGGCATAGTGTCTTCCAAGGCAAACAGCGCAGTGATCTCTGGTTCAGGTTGATCACCAGATGAGGCTGCAGGTTGTTGCTCTTGAGCCCAAGTGTCGGACTCAACATTAGCAACTTTACGACCTTTGCCTTGATCCCCTTTTCCTTTACCTTTGTCTTGACCTTTCTTACCTTTGCCTTTGCTCTTGGAGTCATTGGTATTCTGTTTAGACCAAGACTGCTGATTCCAAGATTGATTGTTCCAAGACTGATTGTTCCAAGACTTGTTGTATGAATTGTTTGACCAAGACGAAGACTGACTCTTTCCTTTGTCTTTACCTTTGGACTTACCTCTGCCTTTCCCTTTGTCATGTTTTCCTTTTCCCTTACCCTTAGCAAGGGAATCCACATCCATGGGAACGGCTCCTGACTTTGCTTCTTTCCTGGTCTCGACGTTCTCAAGGTAGGCCAAAACTTCAGCTTTCACCTGGTCATACGTGGTCAATCTCGAAGCCTGCAAGTCCAAATGATCTTGCAACTTGTTGGGACACATCTGCTGCAAGCAACTCCTGCAGATGTCATCTTCAAGTGGTTTCTTTCTCCTGTCTTCGTACTTTCTTTTCAAGTTCTCCCAACTCTCAAGCCCTTCTCGAAGCTTATCAAGACTGCATTGACTTGGATGCAGAACCTTTTTCAACAAGGCTGAATTGGCTTGAGGATTTTGAGGATCATATTTGCACAACAGTCGTCTCATGGCTTCTAGGCCAAAGTGGCTACCACGAGATGTGTTCTTGACAATTTCCAACGCTTCTCCCTCAGTCAATGATATGAGGGCTTGTCTAGCCTGAGCTGAAACTAGCTCGGCGCCTTCATCAAAGTCTACTTCTAGACTTGACTCAGTGATCTCTTTGTCACACTGAGACTCGACTTGTGCCACAATCTTCACAGCATTCTTGTGGCAACTTTCAACCCATGTCTTAAACTTGTACCACCAACTATCCCAAGTGCCTGATGCTCCAGTGAACTTATCAGGTTTTGGTATGCCTTTCAACTCTGATCTGTCTTTGTATTCAACAGATCTCTCAACATTTCTGTTGATCTGAAGCTGCTGGTTCATAGCCTCGGTCATTGCCTGGCTCAACTGCGCCTGACCCTGAGTCAATTGGGCCATCATTTGCATAACCATCTGGGACATGTTGGGACCGTTGGTCTGTCCTTGTGCTGGTGCTGGTGGAGTGCCTGGTTGCTGAGGTGGCTGCTGTTGCTGAGCCATCCTTAGTCGTTCTTCAGGTGCTTAGAGACCTGGTTCAAGAGAACCCTTGGATACTGTTGGAGATGCACTCCCAGGTTATGGAAGTACCTTTGGAGTTTCCTGATTTTCAGGAGCTTGAGTGTCAACCTTTTCCAGTTGGCACTGGGTAGGCGCGCCAGAGCTGATGCAGCTCGGCGTTGACACCTACACATTCACAGCTGGGTATCAGAACCTCAGCTCCGCTACCATGAACAGAGAATTTGGGCTCTTAAATCTGATGAACACTCCTGAGCACTGATCAGCACCTTTTCACTCAGTCAGCTCGAAGGTAGCTGAAAGCACTAAAATGGCTGCAGCACATATACAAACATATATGCTACATGTGACATAGTCTACACTGTACACATATCTGATCACATACAGTATAATATATATTAATATATATATATATAGTAATATTTATATATATATATATATTCATATTCATATAGATTTATATATATATAATTACATGTATATATATATATATGGTTAAATTATATATATATATTATAGATCTCCCCGTTGCGATGGCCCACATCCGTTGTTGCAACCTGGCGTTTGGTCAGGCGGCTCACGCTGGTCATGGCCCAAGTAGTGCCCTGGACCATGGATTGCATTGCGCCTCCAACTGCCTTCGTACCTGCAATTCCACCACCAACTTACGGCGGGAGAAACCGTTGCCAACGGGGATTGATTGTGTATACCCATAGGATCCATGGTGCTGGTATATATACTAACATTGGGGGTATATTGATGGTAAATGTTACCATATATGGCATACATGGATCCTATGGGATATATATTGAATGAAGTTTTCCAGATGAATCACCATGTGTACCCTCTGGTAATGACTAACATAGCTATTGAAAATGACCATAGAAATAGTGGAATTTCCCAGCTATAAAATGGTGGATCTTTCCATAGTTATGTTAAATTACCAGAGGGTATATATTTTGAATGTTAGTTCACATTATAACTATTCACATTATAGTATATATATATATAATGTATGTATATGGTTATGTGTGATTAGAAATATTGTTTTATATGACTTTATATGGCTATATATGGTTATATGTGTTTTTTTTAAAAAATAGGGTTATATATGGTTATATAGTATGTAGTGGTTGATTAGTCAAATCCAATATACTGGTTGGTATAATGGGAGGTATACTTCCTCATGGGTTGTGATTATCCCCAATTAATCGTTTTTCGAATTTGGTTAGTATAATCCCCGAACTACACACCAACCGGGAGTTCTGAACACTGCTCATATAAAACCAACAACGGTTTAGGGTGGCAAAGCTGCTGCCTTTCGTATTTTTCCAACATTTTCCAACATAGTTTTCAGATAAGGATGAACCCCCTACTTTCCACACATCATTCAACAGAATCCACGAGAGATTTTGGACCATTTTCGACCCGAAAAACCACACGAAGCCACCTTGGGAGCACCCGAAAGACCGGGAATGCCAAGGCACATGGATCCGTCGGCCCAGCGGTACACCCCGACGCCATTCTTCTGGCCTCCCTGGGCATCAAAATTTGGGCAACTTGATGATACTTGTCAAAAGCCAAGATTGGAGACATATGGAGACATATGGAGACATATGGAGATATGAGAGCATTCACATTAACATCTATTCAAATTCACTCGCCTGAAACAATCAATGGATTGGTTCAAGGGAAAATGCACAGGAAACCATTGATTTTACCCCCAAGTTGTAGAGGTCGCCTGCAAAATGTTGGGAACTACGGTGGTTTAGAACTGAATTTTGCCATTTCGGATAGTCAATTCCCCATTCTCGGACAAAGTCAAAATCATATTTAGTTGGTTTATATAGTTATTCATATATATACGTATATATATATATATATACGTATATATAAATAATAATCTACATACACATCGCAATTATAGAAAAATATAATTCATGATAATTCTATAGATTCTATGTGTATATACAATTAACTGTTACATATCCCATAAAACTTCGCCAGAAAAAAACATCTCCGTCACATCGGCACCCGGAATTCGCCCTCGAAGCAGCTACCCTCCTCCCAGCTCTCGACCTCGGTCTTCCGCGGCGAATAAGGGAAGTGAGGATTTTCACGGTACCCTCTGGTAAACTAACATAGCTATGGAAAATCATCATTTTTAATGGGAAAATCCACTATAAATGGTCATTTTCCATAGCTATGTTAGTTTACCAGAGGGTACACATGGTGATTCATCTGGAAAACTTCATGCAAAATTTCGGGGGATGGTTTGCAGCACCCATTAAAAATGGTGATGGAAATGCTGAAAATGGCATTGGGTTTACGATAGACAGTGAAAAACTGTGATTTGATGATTTACAAAAGACATCTGATGACATCTGATGACTTACCCCCTGAAAAATGGAAGATTACCCAGTAGAAATGGGAATGTGTCAATTTTGAACCAAGCGAGTGATGTTCACGTGGCAACAAACCAACAATCCAGGGGAACTCTTCCGACAAGAACTCGTATTTTGATATCTCACTATCGAAAACTGGATATGAGTCAGATTTGAAGACTGAGGGAACAACAAATGGGCTGGTCGTTTTCAGTAGGACTCAGTAGGAACCGTCTAATCTTGGATGGGTCAAATGTTCATGATCCAGATTCGTTTGGTCAGTTTAGACTTTAGACATCAATTTGCTTGAAATGGACCCCCTTGAATCCCTTACTATGTTTCAGGAGAAAACACCATGCATGCAGCAGCAGGTCTAGCCCCAAGTCCCCCAAGATTTTTCCCCATCTCATGTGTTCCCAGTCTTGAACGCAAACCAAGCCGAAACAACATTGGCAGAGCTTCCCAACGCCGAAACCATGTTGCAAGTCTTGATGCCATTGGCCAGAGTATCTGGTGACCTTCATGGGTTTCACTGACATGGCCAACTCTGGGATTTTTCATCAAATACCATGTGCACTAGATACAGATTAGGACAAGTTGTCCAAAAAAAACCGCCTAGAACTCAGGGGACACCCCCTGGAAGTTAGTAGGTTTGGTCGTTTCCAAAAGACCCCTTCGGAAATGTTCACGACCTGGAACCCCAATGTCGCAAGATAAAAGGTATTCAAGGATTTTTCCCGCAAAAAAGGAACATTTCCCCAACAAGGATCAAAGGGTTATTGCTGTGTTTTTACATTTTGATGTCCTATTCCTACTTGACACCCTGAAACCTTGCTACCTACAGACCTTGTCAATCATAAAAGCATCTGCTAAGAGCACTGTTTTGCAAAAGTCGCCCTGCTGGCGAAGCAAGCACGTTCTTTGTAAGTCGCCCTGTTGGCGAAGCAAGCACTGCTTTGTAAGTCGCCCTGTTTTTGGCGAAGCAAAGAACTATTTTGCAAGTCATCATGCATCTGCTAAGAGCACTGTTTTGCAAAAGTCGCCCTGCTGGCGAAGCAAGCACGTTCTTTGTAAGTCGCCCTGTTGGCGAAGCAAGCACTGCTTTGTAAGTCGCCCTGTTGTTGGCGAAGCAAAGAACTATTTTGCAAGTCATCATGCATCTGCTAAGAGCACTGTTTTGCAAAAGTCGCCCTGCTGGCGAAGCAAGCACGTTCTTTGTAAGTCGCCCTGTTGGCGAAGCAAGCACTGCTTTGTAAGTCGCCCTGTTGTTGGCGAAGCAAAGAACTATTTTGCAAGTCATCATGCATGCTCATCGGCCCTTAACACAGGCATTATTCGAACACTGATTCGAACAGATACATGGACGGAGTTCGGTCTCTCTTTTCGAGAAGAAGGTATTCAAAAGCTTGGTATCCAAAACACTTGACACCGCATTCAAGACGCTCTCAGCCCTTGAAAACCAAACAAGGGTCAAAAGCTAGAGAAAAAAAACACAACCGCAAGCATAGTAAAGCCCTCTAAACATGACAACAATAGCATGCATTCCAAGCACAACTCAGAAGAATAGATTGACCGCACAGATAAGAAAGATAAGAAGACAATTAATAAATGAAACACGAAAGAACTAATATACAAATATAATAATGAATGGTAAAATTGGGAAAAATAGGAAAAACAACCCAGATACTGTGCCAGATCGTTTGTTTCCTCATCCGACAATGGCACATGCCCAATTTCTGTCCCCAGCTGTTGCAGGAAGTCGGCGTAGTTGCGCACGTCCAAAATATGGCAATGCCACACAGTGTCCAGCTCTTGAGTGGGAGCATAATTCCTAAGTTTTTGCACCCAAGCAAAGTTTCTGGCACCAAAAACCGACCTGAAAAACCAAGCCAAATAATGTAAAAAGACAAAACTGCCAGAAATGTATAGAAATGTCGAGTTTATAGGGGTCTGGGCCTCACGTGCGCACGCGTTTTTTGGCTCACGTGCGCACGCGCAAGAAGGCCTCACCTGAGCACGCGTTTTTGGTCTCACGCGCGCACGCGCAAGACGCGTTGTTAGTCTCACGCGCGCACGCGCACGAGTTTGTGGGGTGGGCCCCTGCGTTCCACTAAACCATTTTCTCCATTCTACTTCTTTATTTAAACTTACCCCCCCCTGCGTTCCACTAGACCATTGTCGCCATTCTACTTCTTTATTTAAACTTACCCCTACTTCTTTATTTAAACTTACCCTCCCCTGCGTTCCACTATACCATTGTCACCATTATACTTCTTTATTTAACGTCCCCCCCCCTGCGTGCCACTAGACCATTGTCTCCATTCTACTTCTTTCAGTTAAAAACTTTTCCCCCCCCCTGCGTTCCACGAAACCATTGTGTCTCCATTCTACTTCTTCCTTTAAACTTCCCCCCCGCCGTGCGTTCCATAAACCATTGTCACCATTATACTTCTTTATTGAACTCCCCCCCCCCTGCGTTCCATTAAACCATTGTCACCATTATACTTCTTTCCGCGTCATTATACCCTTCTTTATTTAAACTTACCGCCCCCCTGCGTTCCACTATACCATTGTCGCCATTCTACTTCTTTATTTAAACTTCCCCCCCTGCGTTCCACTATACCATTGTCTCCATTCTACTTCTTTATTTAAACTTCCCACACCCTGCGTTCCATTAAACCATTGTCACCATTCTGCTTCTTTCTTTAAACTTACCCCCCCCGCGTTCCACTATACTATTGTCTCCATTCTACTTCTTTATTTAAACTTACCCCCCCCTGCGTTCCACTATACCATTGTCTCCATTCTACTTCTTTATTTAAACTTCCCCTCCCCTGCGTTACACTATACCATTGTCTCCATTCTATTTCTTCATTTAAACTTCACCCCCCCTGCGTTCCACTATACCATTGTCTCCATTCTACTTCTTTATTTAAACTTACCCCCCCCTGCGTTCCACTAAACCATTTTCTCCATTCTACTTCTGTATTTAAACTTACCCCCCCCTGCGTTCCACTATACCATTGTCTCCATTCTACTTCTTTATTTAAACTTACCCCCCCCTGCGTTCCACTAAACCATTGTCACCATTATACTTCTTTATTTAAACTTACCCCCCCTGCGTTCCACTAAACCATTGTCACCATTATACTTCTTTATTTAAACTTCCCCCCCTGCGTTCCACTAAACCATTTTCTCCATTCTACTTCTTTATTTAAACTTACCCCCCCTGCGTTCCACTATACCATTGTCTCCATTCTACTTCTTTATTTAAACTTACCCTCCCCTGCGTTACACTATACCATTGTCTCCATTCTATTTCTTCATTTAAACTTCACCCCCCCTGCGTTCCACTATACCATTGTCTCCATTCTACTTCTTTATTTAAACTTCCCCCCCCCCTGCATTCC